TTTTTTTTTCTTTTTTATTTAATTACTTTGTTTGAAAAATATATATTTTTTTAATTATGGATTTTTTAACGTTTTATATTTTTTTTTATGAATATTGCATGCAAATAGCGTTAGACGTGTGTTCATTTATCGTCGCGGTTGTGACGACACGCTGTGTATGTCGCTGCAATAAGTAGAGAACAGTATTATCTATACTCATACCAATGAAAATGTATAAATTTCTTACCAATTAATGTTATTTCTTACCTACTCCATTCTATTGAACTGCTAACTGCGAGTATTCGATAAGAATCCCTAAAAAATACTCCGGATATCCGATCCCAGAGATTACACGCAAATAGGTCTCCTTATGGCGGATATTGATCTTACTGCAGAGGGTAAGGCCATTTTCAATATTTAAGTTTAGAGACTTTCGGTATTCGACATCAAACCCCCAAAGAAGTGCAAGCAGTATTATGGACCAATGCCACAAAATTTCGGACATACCACGTGGTACTCTTTCTCCCGCCCTAGATGTGTCAAATGCAGTGGATATCAGTGGACTGCGGATTCCCCGAGGCTCTAGTGAATAATCAATCTGGTACATAAAAGGCGTATTCGCCCGGTTCCTGTATTAACAAAACCAGGCGTTTTCCTTACGAGCCGTTGCATTACCTACGGAAAGTGAGTTACTAGCGTTCTTTAATTTACAAGTAGTTATGAAAGTTACGAAGCCATTTAACTAACGGCCGTTCGTTGAATATAGGAACCGGGCATATAGGGAAACTTCATCCGGGACCTCATAGGTTAAGGAAGAGATTAAATTTCTCACTCACACGAACAAATACCGACTAGTCTGCCTCCAAGTTTCACTTCGCTAACAATGTAGGTAATAAAACTATTTTAATTTTGAGAATAAAAATCTGTATAGTTCAATTAATTTAATATTGTAATGTATGGCAAACCATCATTTAATGTAGCAAACAAGAATTGTTTACTTTTACAATAAAGAAAAAAAAAGAAAAAGAATTAACATGCTTTACAAGAATAATTACAAACACGTTAAATTAATATTCATATTAGCTAAGGTATACTAATTACACAAACAGGGAAATATCTTGCGAATAAAATTATTTTTACAATCCTTTGTTAAATTTTAATACCGAATGTCCGTATTAAATTGGTTTAAATTATATAGGTCAGTGATTCTCAACCACTGTGCCGCGGCACTTTTGTGTGCCGCCAAATTTCAAAAGTGTGCCGCCAAATTTTGCAAATATATAATAATATTAATATTATTAAATTATATCATTTAAAAAGAAAAATATTTTTTGGCATTAGCGAACATTAAAACTAAAAAAAGATCAAGATTGTTAAATGTAGAAGACGATATGAGAGTAGCATTGTCATTTTTACGACTATATATAAATGAAATGAAATTATATATGAAATATAAATGAAATTATCAAAAAAACATCAAGCTCAAATTTCGCATTAAAAATTTTTTTATTATTAGCTTGTAATTAATCCCTTAATAAACGTTTAGTTATTATTGTAGTATATATTAGTTTATTTCGTATATTTAAAATTTTTGTCATAAACTATTTATGCAGTGTGTTGTAGTAAGTAAATATTTTTTATCTTTTTCTTAGTGTGCCGCCAAATTTTGAAAGCTTTAAATATGTGCCGCAACAAAAAAAAGGTTGAGAATCACTGATATAGGTATTTAAAAACATGGCGGTTTGATATCAATATTTACCGAATCTCAACATTGTAAATTTATTATTCGTCCTATGACTATATTTGCGAACTTTTAGTATTTATTAAAAATTCCACATTCTGAAATCTAATAAGAAAATCATAAGGTAGCGTCTCCTTCTTCCTCCGATCCTTTTAAAATAGGAACAATTTTGCGTCGGTAAACAATTATCACCACGTGTTTCAATGAATATTTTTTTAGATACAGACTTAAAAAATGGTAAAACTAAGTCGTGGAAAGACTGGATGGGATTGAATTAGCCAGAATTTACATTTTATCTACAACTAACATCCATTCATAAACAACAACAAATGTACCATAAGCTACTTTCGATTTAACAGCTATACATAAATATTTAATAACTTATTTACTTACTATATTTAATAAATAAATAATTAAACTTTATACCTGTATACGATATTTTATATATCGTTATGTGTGTAATATTAGTGTAGTTTTTTCGAAGAATGTGCAACAATATTAGACCTATACAGTATTCTTTATTACGGTAAAATTGTATAGTAATTAAGTTCAATATGTAACATCATATTGCGATATAATGTATATAAAAAAAATTAATTGATACAAGGGATTGAAAAAAAATTACTCAGTTTAGCATGACCAATGGAAGTATCTTAACTTGTTAAATACATTAATCGAAACTTGTTTTGAATTGTCTATGAAAGTAAATTTATATTTATATAATTCATAAAACGATTAAATTAAATTACATACAAGATGTGTACAAAGCTTGTCGGCAGATGTATTTTTTTTCCTAATTTCAAACGAAAAATAAGTTCAACTAAGGATAAAAGTATATATAAGATATATTACATAGATCTATATTAGAACAGATCCACCTTAAGCCAATCTATGAGGCCCTAATATGTGTTGGGGTTGTCGCGTAAATTTTTTTTGGAAACATTTTTATATCCGAATTAGCTATGCGTAGATATCGCTACCATTTCTTTTGAAGTGTGACAGAGACACGTTATGAGGACATGAGAGTAGTGACAGAAATTATTATTTATATTTTAACATGCCTTTGTTCAAATTTTAAAAAACGGATGCAGAAATCCGTAATGAATTTTATATCAATACGATTCAGTTTCGATTCAATAATAATTTATCCGAATTATATATTCCCTAAAAGTGAGCCCCTGTATCATTTATATCAAAGTTGGGACTATGTTTATCAAAAGTATAAACTAAATAGTAATGATTATAAATATATATGTATATGATTATAAATTTCGTCATAGACTGAAGTCGTATGATAATGGCGAAATTTTAAGCTCCAATGATTAGTCGCAATATTTCTATAAACTAACTCGCAAACTATTGGAGGTACTTCCCTGATTATATAAAGGTCCGGGATAAAAAAGAAGTCTAACGCTCAGTAAATCAAATAAGTATAATATATAAAAAAAAACTACATTTTTATAGTCTCCAAAGTCGACTAACCCTTAAACCCAATTCGATGTTTCGTCTATAAAATAATCTAATTTGTACACAAACAACTAACACGTCCCTTGCCAGAATAAATCGTCAGTTACTCTTCAATAACAGTTTCCCGCTCAACAAACAATATACACATTGAATTAGCATAAATAAATAATATTCAATACAAATAAAATATGGTCTATGCGATCGTTAAAACACCTATAACGAAAGTCGATTCAAATGTCTTTTCAGAATGTTGTAATAACCATTCATATTGATTTAGGCTGAATACATGGCAGAGTCAACTGGCAACAATAAACAATAAAGTGGTGTAATTTAAGGCCAAATATCGTCTTCGCTAGCACCACCTCATCAAACGTTCAGTCTAAGAAATCACTGTACACATCCGTACACTCAAACATCAACATTATACAATTCATAAAACAATCTCCAATCAATATTTCTAATTCAAATACATCAAGACACTATTTTTAATTATGTTTCAACATTTTTAAAAATAAGACAAGTAAAATGTGTTCGTACCGTAGTTACGAACACACCACGGACTATAACTACTTAATTCAAATAAAAATTAATTGTCACAAAAAGAATGAATACAAGCATATTATATAATTGTATTTTTACACACACACACACACTTTTCAACAGTTTACTTAAAGAATTAACTTATTTTTTTCAATTTCGTCTTTGGTTTAAAGTCATTAATGCATGTAACCATTCCGAAATTTGTTACACATACATGAAAAACATGTCATTTTATATACGAAATATATACATAAAAAATTATAGAATTTTTTTTAACTATTGTCAGCCTCATATTTAAAAAAAAAAGATTTATGTGTACAATTCTGAATGGTTAGACTAGCAAAATAAAATAAACTCTCACAGAACTCACCATACACATACAATAAATTCTCTTAAGCTAAAAACGACATTTATATTCATATCATAATAAAAACAATGTTTACTTGGGCAAGTTATATTCTGACTCCACTTAAAACATATATTTTAACTCATTTCGGTTGTGTTATTGCGGAATAAAAGCACTACTAAATTTCATTACATCATTAAAAATAATTCTTTCAACCGAAATCTTGTCATTGCACTAAGTTGTATTTCTCTTAAATCAAGAAAAGGTGCTATTTACACAGTAAACTTAAATGTATCTACTAAGGCAAATGCTTCGAGGAACCACAAAATACAATATACAATTTTAAAAAAAAACTTACTATTTCTGTACAATAAATCTAATGAGAAAATCGTACGCAAAAACAAACTTTTACTTATAACAATAAACAGTGCAGTGTTTCTGAATGCACCTTTTTTTTCCTTCCGTTGGAACTTCGTAATAAAACTATATAAAAACACTCTCCTATTCAAATAGTGTAGTGGGAGGAGTGTGCATATATATATAAAGTCAATGCATCGACTAGTTTGTGATTTTCGTGGGCATATGGATTCAAAATTTTTATATGTAGAAGATAAACATCAATAATAATTTTATATGTTCTTAACTTTACTGAAATATTTCATATATTATATTTAATACGAAAAAAGTGAAGAGTCGACTTTTGAATCTTCTACCTTGGTTTAAAACCTCTAGAATTTGCTCTCAAAGCAATAATAAATTTCAATTACCAAATATTTCAATGAGATACTATATTGAACTGTTCTTATCTCATCCTGTCAAAACGTAAAAAATTACTTGTTGGAAAAGCAGCTTACTTCTCCGTTCTGCTTTGTCACATAGGTACCCGTGTAATTTACTTATACCAAATTTCCTTACATGAAACATTCACTTGTATTCATCTATGAACCTTTTGCACATATGAACGAGATCTATAAACTTCGGCCTTAAGTTCGGGTCGACGGTCCAACAGTCCTTCATCAGGTGCCTAAATATCTCCGATGGGCAGCCTTCAGGTATTTGGAAACTGAAACAAAAAGAAATTCAAATTTCGAATACGACAAAGAAAAACACGAATACATAAATATTGAAATGATTATTGATAACGATATAAAACGATTATTGATAACGATATAAAACGATTATTGAAAACCGCATCAAAATCCGTTGCGTAGTTTTAAAGATCTAAGCATACATTGGGACAGACAGACCTAGGTGTGGTCGGCGCAACATGTGAAATATGGTTGTTTGTCGTATTGACTAGATTTTTTACAGGCAACCACAATGCTAGCTAAAGATCGGGCTAAATCTAAAGTTATTTTATATTATTTTATAAATTATTTTATATTAGTTATTTTATTTTACATTTATTTGTCTTTATACAAGGTACAACAGCATATTTTTTGATGTCAAAGGCAAGCGTGCAAACGGTGCAACCAGCGGGTTGATGCGTTGCCAACCATTACACATCGGGTCCAGTCACCCCGCGCCAGTCGAGTGTGAGGCCGTGGTACTTCCCCAGACGATAACTGCCCCTACAACAGCATCTGTTGCTTGTCCCTACCGCACTATATTTTGATTTAATATAAGTACTGTTCCATTTTTCATTTGGCTATTAATATAACATAAAAATAATAAAAAATAATGTATCGTCTTTTATATAATAAAAAAAAATAATTATGCATAACACAGCCATGTAGCTTATCATCATTTTGTTAAATATAAGTGTTATAGTTTTTTGTTTTGTTTCACTTAATATTTGTATAAATTAATGTTCTAGATTTTTTTTTCTTAATTATTTTTACGGTTATTTTTTCTATTTAATTATTTATATTCATGCCATGTCTACTAGTGCAAATCGTTGGTACGATTTTCTTTTACTCGGACGTCTTATTTTTCTTCTATGCGTGGTTACCAGGAAGCGCGCTCCCTCGGCCGCTCCACGTCGAACTTGGGCACCTCCTGTCGCGCACGAGTGAAGATCTCCCACGCCGTGACGCCGTACGACCACACGTCGCTCTTGGTCGAGAAGTGCCACGGCTCCACGGCCGACTCGGGCGCGTACCTGTGAACACGAATACTAAGTACAGCAACTTGTGTCACCGCTGGCCAATGCTCCAACGTTGAAGGCTAACGTCATGTTAAGTGATTACCGCCACCCATGGACATTTTCGACACCTGTAGGGTTGCTGGTGCGCTGGTGCCACCTTTTAATAAAATGGTCCCCGGTTACCTCACACACCAGAAGAAACGCAGAAGTGTAATACATCCACTTCACGCCGGTCTTCTGTAAGGTCGTGGTACTTCCCCGGATGGAGCTGCCCATGCGTGCAACAACGAAAACTGTTGCGTGGTCCTACCACAGTGGTCTCAGTAAAAAAGTAACGTAAAGTATCAGCCTATACATGTCCCACTGCTGGGCACTGGGTTGTGTCTCATATAAAAATAGGAATGAAATTTTCATGTATGTTTGCTCAAAAACACATATTTAATTATAAACAAACACAAATTTATTCTACTCACAACTAGACTGCGTGAAATAGGTCAGTTTTTTATGGGAGAATGTATTTTTTAAAAATCCCAGAAAACATTCAAAATGGCCAATAGAAAGGACTTGAAAACACTACTTACCAATTAATAGGTAATAGCCTCTCTGTTTTGATTCGGTACGCGTTCTCCTCTTTCGGTATTATCCTGGCGAGACCAAAGTCCGAGATCTTTACATGGTACTTGTTTACAACCAATATGTTCCTCGTCGCAAGGTCTCGATGTACCACGTTCTTAGCAGAAACATGATCCATGCCCTATAAATTGAAAGAGATAACAAATTTAATACAATTAATTTTAAATAGTATAGTAAAAGTATTAATAAGGTAAAGTAAAGCGTAAGGTAGGCATTTTTAATACACCCGCAACCCACTAGTTGTTGCCAAAGGTGTAGTCTATTTTATTTTTATTTATCTTGAAAAAGTTATTTTAACTGCATGATATAGCCATAGTCTGAGCAGAAAAAAACACCATGCAGGGAAAAAATCAATAAAATAAGATAAATGGTCAAACTGTATATTATTTAAGAATCTAATATTACTATTATTGGTGACCAGTGCAGTTGCTAAGCTATTGAATTCGGCGCCGGGGGTCGTAGGTTCCATTCCCATACGGGACAAGACCGTGTACGAATGAGCAAGTCCGTCCAGGAAGTATCACGACCTCATAAAAGACCGGCGTGAAGCAGAAGTGTTACACTTCTGAGTTTCGTCTAGTGAGTGCAATAGCCAGGCTCACTTTATTGAAAGGTGGCAAAGCATCTGCAACCCTACGGGTGTTGCGAATGTCCATGGGCGGCGGTAGTCACTTAAGTTTAGGTGAACCGCCAGCTCGTTTTCCACTTTCTCATATAAAAAAGGCAGCCGAAAGCCAGTCGTAAAAACATAGCCAAAACCGTTTACAACATAATTGACATATTGTGCCGACCACACGTAGGTGGGAAACGGGCAGTAGAATGATGTCAATGAATATTTCTATTATTGATAAGTTTCGCAGGATGCGATGGGCGCACCGTGGCAATATCCTTGGCGTATTTGAGCAGGTGCGAGATGCGCAGTTTGTCGCCTTGAAACTTGAGGTAGTAGTTGAGGGAGCCCTCCTCCAAATACTCCATCACGATGAGCACGTCCGATCCGTGGTCCCAAGAATAGCCCAGGATCTCCACAATGTTTATGTGTTGCAGCGACTGAAAACAAAATATTTAATGAACAATACATCCTCAACTTTCTTTGCCTATTTATCAAATGGATACGGTTATCACATAATAATTTATGGATTCCGATAATTCTCGTTCAAGAGAAAAAGTAAAAGGTTTTTATTGAAAACAGACATTTCATTGTAAATATGATATATTGAATATCTATTACCTTCATAATCTCAAGTTCATTTTTAAAGTCTTCATACAAGTTTCCATTTCTTTCAGAAGCTTGTCGGGTCAACTTTTTAACTGCCACTTCTTTCCTCTGAGATTCCTGGTTGTCGCGTTCCATCCAACCTTTGTAGACGTGACCGTAGTTCCCCTTTAATAATGTAGGCTCAATGTTAATATTGACAACATTAAACATAAATAAAGAAACAATTATGTGTGTAAATAACATTGAATTGACTATAAATTACTTGGATGTTCGAATTGAAATGAGATTTGAAAAATTGATTATATTATATGACAAGTATATTTACAGGCTTTGACTAAAAACATTATGAATTTTGTAGACAAGTAACTCTTTTAATCTCAATACCTATATCTACAATTTGTATAAAGTGTATGATATGTGAAGTAATATATTAATGTGCTTCATTATATAAGTTACACATTATGCACAAAGCCTCATTATTGTGATAATTGAATTGGTGGGCGAGGGATGACAACAGTATTTCATCAGTTCACCTCAAACCGTCAACTCAATTGGCAAACATAAAAGTTATTGCTTAACCTAAAAAAATCATCACCACAAAACCAACGAGTAGTGAGAGCGATACACAAAGCGACCATAATGACTACGGTAGCGGACTATAAGCAGACACAGAGAGACATCTGTGGTACTTCTGCGTTTCGTCTGGTGAGTTAGCCGGGGCCGACTTCATTAAAACGTGACAACGCGCATTTGCAACCCAACGGATGATGCAAATGTCCATGGGCGGCGGGTATCACTTAACAGCAGTGAAGCGCCACCGTCTCACGTTAAAAAAAAAAGATGTGCATTTTAGTGTTGCGCCACTCACGCTGCCGATCTTCTTGGTCAGCGTGACCAAGTAGGTCTTGCCCTGCGACACGATGGACTCCATCAAGCGGGGCGCCGCGCTGGCGGCCAGCTCGTCGCGGTCGTCGGGCAGCCCGCACGCGCTGCTACGACCGCTACGACCGCTACGGCCGCTACGTCCGCTACGTCCGCTACGGCAGCTGCCCGCGTCGCCGCGTAGCGCGTACGCCAGCGCGTTCATATTCTCCAGCGAGTTGGAGCTCTTGTTGTCGGAGAACTGCATAGACGAAGTCGAAGTGATTTAACTAATAAAATAACTATCCCATGTATATTTGTAACAATTGCGTTAACTTAATCATAATCAATAGAATAGAAATAGAAATCAGAGCACCGTAAATTGAAAGGGCCTATAATAGACGAAATCATGTAAGACTATTCTAAGATTTTCTATAGTGTAGATCATGACAAAAAAAAGTTTAATACAACTTACAGGGTTATCGTACTGATCAGACATTGTGCCGTTCATCGATGGAACACTGCTGTCGACGGATATTAACGACTTGTTGCTTCCGGCGTCGCTGAGTTCGCTCGGTATAAATCTGTCACCTAAAAATAGTTTTAGTTCGTATTTTGGTCCATTGTTTAAACTAGAATGTCTTTCCATTGAGGTCAGCCAATTAGTGTAGATTTGTTGGTAAGCTGCATTTTAGTTAGCGATTAATTTAATTATTTACCTTCCACAGTTCCACATTTTATCATATATTTGTATTATTACTCATTATTGTTTCTCAGATTAATTCATAATGTTTTACAGCATTATCACAATGTATTAACGTAATTAATAAAATTAAATAAATAAATAACGATTACTAATAGAAATTCCAAATAACATTTTTAATTTTTGCGTGTTATAGTTTTTCCCCCGCTTTAAAATGATCCTTGAGAAAAAGTTTTAAAAGATACATATTCACACGCCGCAGTGTGAGTAACGTGGGAAACGACATTCATTACATAGACAAAATTAGCTGTCAACGAAAAGCTACAAATTATAGAAAGTACCCATTTTAACGTGAGTTCTCTCTCTCTTTCTCTCTCATGTCATTTTAAAAGAAGTGATTATTGCCGTTACGCAATAACTTCGATAATTCTGTGTGAAAGTTAATGATAACGTGCATTATTACAAACAATAAACGTTTTGTCGTTATTAACGAAACAAGATAGGTAGAATATGAGTCTAATACTTTCTTTAAAAAAATCGTTTAAAAATTTCTTATAAGAAATGTATGATAATGCCCAAGTATTTACAATTTTCTGCATCCTCTCATCTTTTCATTTAAAAGATAGGCAAACGTCAAACAATACAAAGATAGGCAAAACTTCGAAACAAGAGATCTTTCATTGATACATACTTATTTACTCATTATAATATTACTATTTGGTTACTGGACACAGTACTGTGCAAAAATTTTGCACGGGTGAACCATTTATACATATTAAGACATAATTTGTGAAATTTTGTCTTCAATCATCATGTTTACACCATAAAATGAACTAAAATCATATTACGAATTTATTTCACGGATTTTTTTTTGTTACGAGTGCGTATGCGGGACCTAAAAGTCCCGAATGTGTATAACGTCCGAGTGTTTTGGTATGATGCTGTCAAATCACCACGTAGTTGTGAATAAGCGTCTTGTATATGCGTCTTTATGTATAATATGTACTCGCTGATAGTGATATGGAAGTCTACGTACTTGAAACTGTATCGGCATGCTCCAGGTGGTCGAGAGGAATCTTCGGTTCTTCATACGTATGAATCGGCACATACTCTGCAAAAAATCATGTTTTTAATAACAGCCATCGATCAAATGGAATTGATACTCAAAATGCGTTCTGTTTACAAAAGAGAACACGACAGTTACGTAAGTATGGATGCTGAGTTTTTACACTTACATTATATTTGTTCATTGATTTATTTTAAAGATATCATAATATGGAAAAAAATATGTAAAGAAACAATATCTAAAACACTTAGTTCAACAGGATTCAAAAAGTGTTCACCAAAACATATAATTATTAAAATAAACGGACACACATCTGAACTTTAACTGAACAGTAATATTTAAGTATAGATTTGATGCCATAATTAAGATTAAGGTACAAAAAAATAATACCCACTGCTGAGAAGTTATCTTACGTCGATATGTCACTTACTGCATGGCGCAGTTTAAAACCTTTAGCCTGCTATTAGCGCTGGGCGTCATGGGTTCAATTCCCAACAAGAAAGTGGTTGCGTGATCCACTAATTACTGTTCCAGGTTTGAGATTTTTATTCGTCAGAGCCGCAAAAGTCGACATCAAGCAGGAGGCGCATTGTAAAAAACCAAGCCGAGAATCATTAGAGAGAGAAGAAGAGAGCATTATCATTAGAAGAGAGCATGCGGGCCACCTTATGTTGAGTATTCACCGCGGCCCATGACACACACACACACACTCGCAACACCAGAGGAGTCACGAATGGGCTTTTGAGGTGGGATGAGGGCAGAAGTAGGTGGCAGTCTGTATATCTGTATCTATGATAGTCTTTACAGTCTGTATTGTCTGTATTATCTGTATTATCTGTATTATCTGTATTGTCTGTATTGTCTGTATAGCATCTATCTATGTTCTGAAATGATGATGGGAATAATACCTCTGTGCAGCATGTGGTTCATGTCCCTCATGATCTCCTGCGGCCGGAGAGGGTCGCTCTGCCAACACTGCCGCATCAGCGCCCACACCTCGCTGGGGCAGCGGGCCGGCCTCAGCAGGCGGTCGCCCATCTCGTAGCTCTGTTCGCAGACACGTCCATGTAATAGACGAAGACAAGGCTTTGCTCTTCACTTTTCTGTATCGCCATCGACACAGCCACGTCTATCTATCGGTAAATGTGCCAGAACATTTTACCAGACGACTAACTGGCTTGTGGTGAGCCAGCGATCGTAGCAACTACGCTTTTCGATCGCGTCCATCTCGTAAAAAACATTTAAGTTTTTTTATCATAAACATAGTACCAATGATACAAGCTTTACTTTGAGAGTAGATGCCGTCGTTTAAAAATATGTAAAAACACTGAAGCAGCGACCAAATTTAACAAGAGATATTGAAGGAATCCACTTGCCACAGATCCGACGTTATAACAAGCAATGTTTGCAAAACCAAGTGGCTTATGCAGTGCTTCTACTAAATTACTAATATTTACTTCTACCGAAATTACTCATACCCTTGCAGTCAGTACTGGGTTCGTGTCGTTGGGCGATTGCCCGTACGAGAAGATCTCCCATAACGTTGTAGCGAACGCCCATATGTCAGCCACCACCGACCGCTTAGCCTGGTTCAGGTCGGAGTAGAACTCAACCGGTATCCAATGAACACTGAAAAAAATGTAAAATAAGTATACTGATCCCTGATGACGGTAAATTCCAAAGTGAAATATCCTAAAAAGATTGATATAATTGTCACATTTTATACCCCGAACCTTTTTTTCCCTGCAAGTCTTATGGGCCAATAGAACATCTTACACAGGGATTATAAAACTTTGCTTATCTGGAGTTCGCTGAGGGCGATGAGTACCGTCTTGGGACGTGAGTCGCTGCGTGTAGAAGCGCAGTGTAGACCTCGTTTCAATGTGTGTGACGATTATAGTTTGCTGTCAGTACATCCTTTATGTGTGTAGGTGTTTGTGAATATACGACAATTGGTTGCGATACCGTCATTTGAGTTGCGTGTAAGAGCTCGGCAGTCTTCGACATTAGAGCGGTATCGACAGACGTGCATCGGGCGCGGCGCAGTCTCTCATGGTGCTTGGAGCGAAGCGCGGGCTTCATCAGATCGGGGACGTTAGAGTGTGCTGTTGCTGCGTGCGCGTCAGTGTGTGTGCGTGTGGTTTGCCGTATCATAAATAGCCGTGCGTCAGGCGCGGCGCACTCACTCGTGGTGCGTGGAGCCAAGCGCGGTCTTCGCCGTCGGAGCGGGGCCATAAATGTGATGTTGCTGCGTGCGTGTGCGTATGTGTGCGTGTGTGCGTGTGTGTGGCGTTTCATAAATAGCCGTGCGCGGGCGTGGCGCACTCACTCGTGGTGCTTGCACCGAAGCGCGGTCTTCACCGTCGGAACAGGGGCATAAGTGTGCTGTTGCTGCGTGCGTGTGCGTATGTGTGCGTGTGTGCGTGTGTGCGTGTGTGTGGCGTTTCATAAATAGCCGTGCGTCGGGCGCGGCGCACTCACTCGTGGTGCGTGTAGGAGCGCAGCGTGGGCCCAGCGAGCTTGACCACGAGGCGGTCGCCGCTGTGCGCGGCGAGCAGCAGCCGCCGGCAGCGCAGGCCGCCGTGCGCCACGCCCGCCTCGGAGAGGTCCCACAGGGCGCGCGCCAGCCCCGCGCACACCTTCTTCAGGTGCAGCGGCTTCACGCGCTCGCCGTGCTCCCTGGACGGACAGGGGTCAACGGTTACAACTCGTATTCAGATATCTCTTCATCATCATTTCAGCCTGTTTGAGTCCACCGCTGAAAATATTAAAGGTTGCCTGGAAGAAATTACTCTTAGTAATAAGGCCGCCCATTGTACCTATGACTTCTACATTAAGTTTTATTTTTGGTTTGTTTTATTTTTGGTGTGCAATAAAGTATATTCATTTATTCATTCATTCATAAGCTTCCGCCACCAGACTGCCACAAAGCACGATCCTGACGCTCGGTTTCTGAAACACTGATCAACGTAGATGTCAACTAATCAACTGTCAAATGAATTTCAAATTTCTATCAAAAGACTTATCTCTTTGAATTGATCATTCTGATCACAAAGAAGCGTCAATTCAGAGATAGCGTCCTTTTCGCAATTGTAATTTGAAATCCATTTGACAGCTGATGAGTTGACATCTACGATGATCAGTGTTTCAGAAACCGGGCGTTAGACACCTGCGTCCATCGACTTACGGCTATGTCGGCATTTCTCTGCGTGATAGCGTTCGCAACAAAAACATCCGCAGTAGAACAAAGCTAACCGAGACAGCTCACAGAAGTTTAGGTTCGACATCTTTTATTAGGATTAATTTTCTGTTTTAGCGGTAGTCTCTGCACCATAAATTAAAATTGATTCTACGCGGCTCACGGTTACAATTCAAATTCAGATATCTTTCATTAGGATTAATTTAATATTTTAGTGCCCAAAAAAAAATCTGTGCACTAAAAATGGTAATTTATCCTAAAAGTTTAAGAGCAGAGGCGACATCTCATCAAAACATTTTATAAGCCACTGAAGAAGATTGTTCAACTTTCACCATCGGTCAAGTGTAACATCTCTCTAGATAGAGGAGTACACAAACATGATTGTGTACGTGGTCTCTCATATATCGGCCAAACTAAGAAAACAATCAGGACCAGCTTGAAAGAACACATTGTCGACATCAAGTAGGTCCAGTGATTTTGCAGTTTGCAAACCCAAACAGACTGGGTTCTTTTACGAACCCTCGCAAAAGAACATAGCCGCAAGAGACAAAGAACCAAGGATGATTTGTTATTCTATCGAAATAAAGAAGGGTCCAAATTACGATAGAGAAGATGTTTGGGTTCTACTAACATATTTTGAATCCGATTAGCCATAAAATTAAAAACAGTCATGCGTTTGCGAAAATTAATGATTTTCAAGCTGACGGTAGCCCGAGTTAACATCGGGAGCTTGAAATTAAAATCAACCGCGATAACATCCAGACACTAGTTTTATTAAACTTATTAAAAACTTATTTTAGCACATCGTCCGTTGTACAGCCCATGTTTTTTTATATTTGTAAATTTGCGAAGCGAGCAGACGGTTCACCTGATGTTAAGTGAATACCGCCGCCCATGGACATCTGCTACACCCGAGGGTTCCAGATGCGTTGACAATCTTTTGAAAATTTGGCTCCGGCCGCCCCACTCACCAGACGCAACGTCAAAGTATTATACTACCACTTTACGCCGATCTTCTGTGAGGTCGTGGTACTCACCCGGACGAGTCTGCCCACTCGTGCAACAGCCGAGGCCGCTGCGTGGCCGTAAAAAGTTTAACAAATAAATATACTCCGATTCTGATTCAGTTGTTTAAATTAACCGTAATAAACTCACCGTAAGTAATCGTCGAACGGACCGTAAGGTAGGTATTCTAGCACCATAGCGGTCGGCGAACTCAGTGTGACGCCGTACAGCCTCACGATAGAACTGGACTGCACGCACGCCCATTTGCTTGCCAACTCGATGAAGTCCTAATAAGGAGCGGCTATTATAATATAATTTATGTAAAAAATAATAAGAGCTGTAGTTTGTTTTTAGCACTTGTCTGCGCTCGTCGAGATTAAATATGTGATAAAATGTGAATTTTCATAGACAAATTGCCGAAAATGTATTATAAAAAATTATTATTTTGTTCAAAATATTTTATAGCGTGCAACAGCGACACTTTCAAATATTATAAAATAATCTTAATCCACTCTGCATTGCGTACAGAGCAAATTTAGAGCAGAAATTTTAGAGATTTTTATTTTTTAATTTTATCACTTTTCATGCCTTGAGTGCCAATATGTTTACACAATATTAAATAAAATTCATAATGTTGCAACTGTTTAAGCGGCTCTTGTGCATTAATTAAGAATGAAATTCATGCAATTTTTCTCCGTTTTTTGTCAAGAAAAACAATATATTCGCAATGAAATGTTAATTACACATAATGGTTCCTTGCTTAAAAATTTATCATTAAAGTTCATTATATCAAATTGGGTGTCAACCCAATTTCCAAGGCATTAGCTTGCGCCTGGGGTCGTGGGTTCGATTACTACACGAAACAACTATGTATTTATTTTTGTGACGGACAAATACTCGTTTCGGATCTTGGCAATGTTTTGGAAGAGAAGACTACAATAGATCTTCTTCTTCGCAGAGGTAGCTGTAACTTAGTACCCTTCCACACAAAATAAAAAATACAGTTGGATATTGTACCCAAAGGTTCAGCTCTTACGATTATACAGCGTGTCGTTACCATCGCGACAATAAATGAACACACGTCTAACGCTACTTGACAATAATCATAAAAATTTTAACGTTAAAAAAATCCATAATTAAAAAAAAATATTTTTCAATAAAGTAATTAAGTAAAAAAGAAACAAAATTTGTAACATCCTATACAACTACAACTGACTGATATATACATTCAGAGACTTTTTCATTCGTTGCCACGGCGTCGCATTACAAGCATCTCCTTCTAATAGTATGTTTTGTCTCTTTTAAATTCATTCAACCCATTCATATGCTTTGTGACCTTTACAAATGAACATCACGTTACTGTTTTATACGTAGGGATGTTCTAAAATTCTTTGTTTTGGAAAATTTAATAACTCTGTAAATATTGATGTTTAAAGAATGCAAATTTTTGATACAATTTTAAAAAGTTATCCTCTATATGTGTAGTCATTTATTGTAGCGTTGGTAACGACACGCTGTATAAAAACACTAGCGGACCCGTTAGAGGTTTTTCTGTACACACGACTTAAAACGGACAACAAAAAAGTAAAGTTACAGCCTATGCATGTCCCACTGGCGTAGTCTTACTGACTGACCACTGACATATCTTCGAAATACTTTTTTTGTTTTATTTCGAAAATATGGGGTTTTACAGGTATAATCACGATGTTTTCCATCACCGCTGTGTGATAAGTCAGCACTTAAATTCAACAACTTCATTGGTGCCGGCACCGGGATCGAACTCGGTTGCTCGATATTGAATAAAAGTCGAGCGCCCGGACACTGAGCTATCAATAACTTATAAGTAAAAAATAAAAATAAATGTAGTGGACCGAATTGTGAATCTAAACCATTCTGAAGACACACAAAGAAATTCATTAAATCGCTCCAGACGTTTATAAGGAGTTCAGTGATATACACGCGTACAGAAAATATAATATATATATATATATATACTTAAGATATAATTTATAGGTTAAACTGTTAGTCATTCAATAAAGATAAAAATAAAAATACCTTCAAATTGTCTGCAGCCTTCTCCCTCTGAAGTGTTTTAAAAGCGACAACCAGTTTCTTCGTTTCGTCGAGTTTCCATAAAGCCTTATAAGTTGCGGTAATATTTTCAGATCCCATCTTCTCCGATCCTATCGAAACGTAAGTGAACAAAATATTAACAAATTTTTCGAAAGTGAAATTTTCGAATTTGTTTCTTTAGTATTACTGAAAATCAAGCACAACTCTCAGTAAGAAAGTTGAAAAATGGCATTAATATTTTTCAATTACAAGATAAAAGGTTCTCAATTCGTCGATTACTTGAAGTGGCCTGACTCGAATTGGAGAATTGTTTTTTTTTTTCTTCCAAGTTATAGTACTTAAAAATTAGTTTACTTCACAGGTAACTAGGTACCTTCTTCCTAATTCATTTTATCGAAATCGGTTGAGCGGTATTTAAAAAATCGGCAAAAGATATTTTTGACGGACTTGTTACGACGGACGATGTTTATTACGTGAACGAGATATTTGAAGTCTGTTTTGTATTTTTGTTAACAAAAATCTCATTTTGTTTTAAAATGACATTGTAAATATATTTTTGACATGAACATACGATTCACTATTCTATAAAATATATATAACTCGTTATGTTGCAAGTTCACGCTATTGACATATGTTACGTAACTTTCATATCAATTCAAAACAAAACACCACTCATACTTAATAAGGAAAACAAACACCATACTTGACTTTAATTAAGTAGGTTTTAAACTGGCATGCGTCATTAAAAGTAAGGTGTTGAATTAATTTACGATAACATCACTATGTGCATATACGGTACATATTTATACCTGTATATAGTAAAATGTCTTTATTAGGCAGGCAACGGGGGCTCTTGTTGTCTTTAAGAATCTCCTGCAACTCCGCTTGGTCAATGCGAACACCTTTCTTCACTGGTTCGCCGCACAAAAGTAACTGGGATTTGTCTAAAACGCGAAAAATTTTAAATTATCACATAATCACATTGCTGTGCACTAGTTCAAGTATATTTATTTATTTTATTTACAGGCTGTCTTTTTAGGCCCTAAAAAGATCTCTTTCTTTTCATTTTGTCCTTAAAATTTTAAGTGATAGATATAGTGATCACATATATACAAATTACGATATACAAATTAAAATATTACTATATAAAATATATTTTTTTACCAGGCCGCCGATAAAAACGTTATAAGTATTTTTTTATGTGGATATTCTCTAAGTTTTCATAGGATATTCCCTTGGATATTTAATTCAAGGGATCAATGCTTTACAATTTTCGATACTATGTACCACTGGATTTAATTCAATAAACAATCTGATGATCATATAATTATATGTTTGAATAGCAAATAGTTAATTTTTTTTATGTGAAAAGTTGCCAAACGAGCAAACGGTTCACCTGATGTTAAGTGAAGACCGCCGCCCATAGACATCTGGTCTTCTGTGAGGTCGTGGTACTTACCCGGACGAGCCTGCCCATTCTAATTAATAGCTGGGTTGTCAGAGGATTTCAGCACGCAGGTTCTAAACTAGGACCCATTCAGTTTCATGAATAATAGAAGCTCATTATTCTCATTGAAATCTTTTATTTAATTGATATTAACTTCGATTCAATTACGTTCATAAAGTACAAAAGAGTAGAGTAACAGCCTATATGTGCCACTGCTGGATAAGTGGTCTCTTCTGCACAGCGAGTATTAGGGCATAGTACACCACGCGATCCCACTGCGGATTGACAGATTTCACATGTCTACGAATTTTTTTTTTTTTTTTGCTACTACTTAAAAAATTAGCACAGAATATTTCAAAAAGAAAAAAAAATATAAATGCACGTGATAAGTCAGCACTTAAAATTAAAATTAACAAGCTCATTCGTACCGGCATGCACCGGGATATGAACTCGTGTCGCTCGAATATAGTTAATTAAAAGCAAGTGCCTGGACACTGAACTATCTCGGATGAACGTAAATTTCCGTATGAAATATAACATATCATTAAAAATCTTACCATATTCTGAAGGTGGTATACATTCATTTAGAAATATCCTTCCTTCGGGATTTTGATGGCAACTGACTAGCCTTTCAATACTAAAATATTCTTCCTTGTTGAATATGTAACAATGTCCTTTAAATTCCAGTCTGTATGTCTCGGTCGTGCTAGAATCATTAAAATATAAATAGTATTACATTAATAACTTTATGGTAATCATTAATCCATAAGTATCTCGTATTACCTGTTTTTGGTGCAAACATCCAAGTAATATACATTATAATCATCTTGACACTGCCTTATTATGTAGCATCCATGTTTCTTTCCACGTTTCTCCTCTAATTTGCGATAAGAGAATGCACCCCTGCACAAAATGATAACTATTACTTATTATTCACAATAAAGTAAATTGGCAACAGAAATAACACTGCCTATCTTACCCCACAGGTCCGTGGCATTTTATTCTATGCAACTCTTTCAAAGAAGGCGTTTCGTCGTCTTTGGATAAGTTGAATGTCCATTTCACCATCAATCTGATTGAATAAAAATAAAAAAAACTGGTCAAGCATTTATTTGCACAAATAAAAATTTAATTTATAGCTGGCAACAAACCTGTAGTAACCATCACATATTGAAATAAATGATGAAAGTTGCTCCTCCGTCTTGAATTTGAAGAATAGTGGTGTCCCCCTTCTTGAAACTTCTACAGAATTGTCACCATTTCTTGTTAAATAAATAAGTTCTTCTATTGTGCAAACATGAAACCACTAAAAAAGAATATTTATTTATAGAAATTATCTACAGTTATACTAAATATAACTTAAGTTTAATGTCATAATCAAAATGAAATGTGTACAATAAAGGTAGTGGTGAATTTAAGGATTAGTATATTGACTTGCTTACATTGTGGATTCGACCATTAGCAAAAATGAGTATTCATTTTGGATTACTTTGACACAAAGATAGATGTCTCACATTATTTTCTGGTGCATGGTGAAAAGCTGATGTCTCCGAGTCGCAGCTGCTAAGTTATTGGCTTTGCCGCCAAGAGTCGTGTGTTCGATTCCCACACGAGACAACTATTTGTATGACCCAGATTCTTTTATTACATTTTTGGATCTGGCTGTTTGTCTACATGAAATTTATGCATGTAAAACGTCTTTAAAAAAAAGGAATAATGTTATCCCACAGTAAGTGGTCATGTTTTCGTAGGGACGTCTACAATTATTGATCTTCTAGGTTGCCGTGTTTGTTGCGCCGTAGTACTCAACTCCTTGCACATATATACAATAAAAATGTCGAAAATCTATCTCTCATATGTTTAGCTATTTATATATTACTAGCACTTCGCCCGCGGCTTCGCCCGCGAAAATTGTGATAGCTCGGCTAATTTGCATGGTATAAATACAGGGAGGCTTTTCTAAGTGTATCCATTTTTTTAATTAAATTCTAGACATAATGTTATATAGAAAATGATAAATATGTAAAATCACTCGTAGTTAATTAAATACATACATCTGAACTTATCTCAAAAAGTGCGTAATTGATGAGCAATTCATTTATTTTAGCGATCATTCATAACTAACACGCACACAAGTTCGTTTCAAAAGTATACGACGCATTTATGAAGGACTACCGCATTGGCAACAATTTCTGTTTTTTAGGGAAAGGAATGGCAATAAGTTTGTTTTTATTTGAATAAACGATTATACTACCGAGTCTGAGCGAATTTGGCATCTTTAGAAAAGCCAACCTGTATAATTTACTTCAACCTAGTAGTTTCCGTTCCCGTGAGAATACGGGGTTCAAATATACCTCATTTGTAAGTAAAAGTAAAGTATCAGCCTATAAATGTCCCACTACTGGGCAAAGGCCTCCTCTGTACAGAGGGTCTCAGGGCATAGTCCACCACGCGACCTCATTGCGGATTGGCGCACTTCACATATTTTCGAAATATTTTTTTTGTTATTATTTCGAAAATATGCAGGTTTCCTCACGATGTTTTCCTTCACCGTTGAGCACGTGATGATTCGGCACTTAATATTAACAATTTCATTGGTGCCGGCACCGGGGATCGAACTCAGGTTGTTTGAGTATACTGAATTAAAGGCGAGCGCCCGGACACTTAGCTATGACAGCTACAGCTTTTTAACTAAACATGAGTATTATTAATTCATAGAACACTGTTTTATATGTATATCGTTAAGTTTTCGCAGCGCAAGCAAAATAATGTCTTTTATAGGTAACATATTGAACCCTTCGGCTACATTGTTACCTTTTAGGTAGGATCCCTAATTTTTTTTAATACAAAATAGCCCATGTTACTTGGTAAAGATGTAGCTTTCTAATGGTGAAAGAAGTTTTTAAATCGGTCAAGAAGTTTTTGAATTAAATCTTAATAAACAAAACATCAAATCTTTTCTATTTATAATATTAGTTTAGATTATTATATTATAGAAACTATAAATTAAAAGAAAATTTCTGCACTTACATCCCGCTTTAAAGTATTGTACAGCCTAATTCCAGGTTGATGAGGATGAAAAGGCGCCACAATTACACGTACTGGTATAACATCTTCGCCATTTTGCCATAAAATATTATCATATTCTTCTGACAGGTAATTAGGGGCCAAACCGTATAATTGTTGTAAGTAAAGATTTTTTACATAACTGCAAGTGTCGTAAAAAATTTATAAGAATATAGAATATTTAAAAAAATATCCCCCTAGAATTAAAACAATTAAAATAAAATTATTACTGCATAGCAAAATATAACAATCATTATTTGAACTTGAGTCTTACTAACATTTTATCCTCCCTTATCTATGACTTATGTTATATTAAGACTAATAAAGAAATTGATACCACTATGGAAATAATTATAAATCCATTGAACAACTCTGGATGTCATAAAATACTTGGAAAATAAAAAATTAATAACAATCACCGCTGCCCATGGACATATTCAACATCAGTTAAGTTGCTTGTTTGCCTCCTATTTCCATAAAAAAAATTTTGATTTAAAAACATCAAAAATAATACATTCATAACAATTTTTACACACTACTAGCGAAACCGACAGTCCTATGCATACCGTCTTAAATCCGACAACTTATTAATATAAGAATTTAAAAACATTTATTAGTGGACCGATTTGTGAATCTAAACTATTTTCGGATCCACCTGAACACACACCAAAAATTTCAACCAATCACTTTTTTTTACCAAAATTTAAGTTCACATAGGATGAAGAGAATAAAGGATAAGAGATAGGAATAGGAGTGCTAAATCCAAATACAAGCTGCAATAAATACAAGGTAAAACACTGACTAAAGCATTTATAAACTGAAAGATAATCCATTAATCTTTAAGCATTTCACATTTTACATTTCAAATGTTACACTTGTGCCAGACCTAACCATGTCGTGAATTTTCTTATATCAGAAATATACATTAATTATCGGTAGCATAGTGTGACCTGAAGACTTGTATCAGTAATGCAATTTGCATTGATAAATAACTAAAGTAACAGCCTATACATGTCCCACTGCTGGGCAAAGGCCTCCTCTATATAGAGGGTATCAGGGCATAGTCCACCACACGGCCCCACTGCGGATTGGCGGACTTCACATATCTTCAAAATATATATTTTTTGTAATTATTTCGAAAATATGCAGGTTTCCTCACGATGTTTTCCTTCACCGCGGAGCACGTGATAAGTCAGCACTTAAAGGTAAGAACTTCATTGGTGCCGGCACCGGGGATCGAACTCAGGTTGCTCGAGTCTATTGAATTAAAGGCGAGCGCCACGGCACACTGAGCTGTCACGGAGGCCTACAAGACAATTGACGTCAGGCAGGTGGCCGGTCGTAAAAAATATATTGTGCTACTTAGGTGGGATAAGAGCAGCAGGATGATGAGGAATATACAGGATAAATAAAGATTCAATTTTAAAATATAGGTCAGGACATACACACACATTTTCATAATGTCGACATACAAATATATACCTAAAGATAGATAGATAGACTTACTTAAACATACTTTTCTTTTGTGAATAAATATGTATACATTATATTTATAAATACCTTCTATAGATATATAAACCTACAGACACATGAAAAACATGTGTTACATTGATATAAAAGAAATCATTTTATAATAAACTAGCTGCTGTCCGCGACTATGTCTGCGTAGAATAGGCTGAAGGGGTAACATTCAGATATACATAAGACAGAAAGACAGATATACATAAAATATGTATATAAATTATATCCTATGTCTTATTCTCATGTATAAGCTTTATTATTGTAAAGTTTCAATAAAATTTGTTCAGTAGTATTTGTGTGAAAGGGTAACAAACATCCATCCATACACACAAACTTTCGCATTTATAATATTAGTAAGGATTATATATTTCTCTACTTACTTTACATTGTGGCCTACAGAACATAGCTGAGGAAGGTAATCATGGGCATATTTTTTTGGAAATGGACCATGTCTTCTAACTATAACCTTTGGAATATATTTTTTATAGTTTCTCACAACATCATTCAGAGGTAATTTTTCTTCTAAAATGGCACGTGTCCTATGAACAAAATTTTTAAATAGTCATAAGAATATTTATAACTGTTGTCCTAAAGTAACATTAGGATACAAAATACCTAATTAATTTTTTGTGTTCAAAATCGTGATTTTTTTTATTTATGGGTAGCCATCATAGTAGTATGATAAACAGTTTTTTCATATTATTTAACCATTTTAAGGCTAGTTTTTGCATTTTATGTCTATAAAAATATGCAAGAACCCTGATGTGGTGAGTCACCCCCCACTTGTCCCACCCGCCGGAGATGCATAGTTTTTTTATTATACGATTTTTAATGTATTTATTTAATAGAATCTAATAAGAATGTCATGGGAGAGGATGTTCCCCTGCCTGTTGTTCGTAACCAGACTTAACAACAGAAGCGCTAATAGGTGGTTATAAAAAAAATAACCACGAACCTAATCTGTCCGAATGGATTGCTCTGTGTCGGATCAGCAACTCATTTAATCTAAAAAAAAAATTTGGCCAAACAAATGGTACGGAAGTCTCCCACTTCCTATATTTATCATGTTGGCAGTACTGTGTATTCAGTTTTATTAAAATTAATAAAATGTGCGTACTTTCTTAGTGAAAATAACAAGTTTTAAATATTTTTTTTTCTTTAAACTAAATGCGACCGGAGAATTCTGCTTGTTGATTAATTCAACTTAATATAATTTCATCATTAATTTTTTTTTTCAGACGCACCGGGATTAGAAATCACATTGCTAAAGTTTATTGAAATAAAAGCAAGCAACTATAAACTGAGTTATCATAGGATCTTTTGGCACTAGCAATTAATTTCTTTAAAATTTTATTGTTGCAATATAAGATTGATTCTCGGTAAAATTTAAAAAAAGGTCTAGACAATAAACAAAACCAATAATTTCAAATTCAAAGGTTCCTTTGAAAGCAATGTGAATCATAATTTTAAAGTCGGTAGATTGAAACAAATATAAAATTATTATCACTGACTTCCATGCACTTTGACATTATATTGATAAGACCACATAACTGTGCGACATAATTCTAGAAAATGAAGTTGTTCATAAGTTTTTCAAGTGTAATAAAAATCACATATTATATCAAATGTGAAACAAAAATTTATATATATCTGAAGAATACTCACATATCAGCAATACCCAATCCTAAAAGTTCCTGTTTGTGTTCTGGATACTTAATTTCTGGTACCTTATTTTCATTTACATCATTTCGGGCTTGTTGAAAATAATAATCATATGTAGTTTCATCAAGTGTTATAAGCAGACCAAGTCTAGGAACCTTTATTGACATAAAACATCTCAATAAATTGTTTGAACTATAGATAATATGAACATTATGTGAGACAAGTGTGGGAGAAATATATACATATTTTTTAATCTATTAAAATGGATAACTTTAATACAAAATTTAAAGATTAAAGATTGTAAATGGGCATACTTTCATTCATAAATATTTTAAGTGCACTGCTTGAAACAAGTTAAGGCAAAACCATAGTTTTATACTGACCTTGAAACGAATTCTCAATTCATAATCACGAGAACTTGAAAGAACTAGGTAGTTATCTTTGAGGAAATAATCTGAGCCTTTGACTCTTAATGCAAATAAAGTGCGCGTCAGAGGTGGTATGTTGTACTTCTTGCACAAAAGTATACATAATTCTTCAGCTGTAAAGGTACTAGAACAAGTAATTATGTTAGGAGATCGATCGGTCACCACTGACACCTTAACAGTATCCACCGATGCCATAGTTTATTTTGTAAACTAGAACCACAAAAAACCTGACGACGCCAACAATTATAACACTAAATCTACATAAGAAAATTCAAGATTCGATTCTTGCTGTAAATATATATTATGTTCATCTTGTTATATACAAGACATATAGTGCACATAACAAATTAATTAAATAACAAAAATCAAAAATGTTTATTTATAAACCAACAAAGGTCACCACCACTACAACCACTGCGTTTAAGTAGTAGTGATGAACATTGGTGCAATGCACAGAATCAAAATAGGGAAAAAAATCGATTATAATTTTGGTAGATTGCTGTTAACTGTAGACGGCAATAATGGCTATATATCGATAATGAAATAAACTGTTATATTGTTTCTCAATAACTGCTTATCACGTGCTCCGCGGTGAAGGAAAACATCGTGAGGAAACCTGCATATTTTCGAAATAATAACAATAATATATATATTACGAAAGTATGTGAAGTCCGCCAATCCGCAGTGGGGCCGCGTGGTGGACTATGCCCTGATACCCTCTGTATAGAGGCGGCCTTTGCCCAGCAGTGGGACATGTATAGGCTGTTACTTTACTTTTTACTTTAACTGCCATTGCAAATTGTTGTCTGTTATTGCGGTTTTACCTTATATGGTATGCCAGAGGGTGTAGGTTCAATCCCCACTACTGGAAAAATATTATGTGATAAACACAGTGCTTTTCTAGTATCAGAGTGTTTATAAATGTATAATATGTATTTATTTAAAAAAAGAAAGTATGTTTATCAGTTATCTAGTACCCATAGTACAAGCGTTGCTTGTTGCTCGTTGCTGCTTGTAGTTTGAGACTAGAGAACGATGTGTAAAAAAGTGTCCTAAAAATATTTATTTTCGTTTTATTTTTCTACTATTATTCACACAAAAGTCACAAATTTTTACACTAATTACAATTTTATATAAAAAAAAATATAAAAAAACTGGATGCTAAACTAACACGTTATCACACAAATAGAAGTTTTACTTCAAAACCTTTAGGGTCGCGCTTTGTGGCACTAACTACAATGGCAACAATTAATACACCCTGTCTCTAACTGAATACAACAATGAAATCATAACAATAACATACGAATTACCTATTATTGACATTAAATTATTGTTTCCAAAACTATAATATTACTTTACTACAAATCATAAATCTATTCATATGCCATTTTAGTATGACTTAAGTAATTAATGTAGAATAGAATAACAACATCGTTCGACGTAAAAACTTTGAAAGTAAATTCATCTTAACCTGTTATATGATACGTACGTATACCGCTCATAGTAATCCTAAAGTAAACCCGTGTCGTTATAATTGCGTTGTCATTAAAAAGAATGGGCCTTAATTTGTATGTAAGGTGTTGGGTAGATAGTCCCTACGATCACACACGGCCTAGAAGATCTAATGTAGCCAGGATGAGCCTTAGTTACCTCAATTCTGGCCTATACACAATACGAAAATAAAGATATTTTACGCTGATTCAATTATAATCCAGAGACTCGTGAGCGATAGTCACGCCAAATAAACGCTTAAATATATAGTTTGCATGATTTCATTATTTTTAATTACTTACTTTGTTAAAAATGTAAATGTTTGCTATTTCAAATTGATAATTATTTCCTCTAATTCACAAGCATGTTTTGATAACATCGTTAGTATAGTATTTTTTTAAAACTTTAAAAACTATTGCCTGAATGCGCTTAATATTGGCGAAAATTGTTTTTCATTTTCACACTTTCGCACGGGGCGCCTAGCCTGAACCTCACCGTATTATTATTTAGCGTTATAGTAACTAAGCTCGAGAGCTCCCAAGAGGGCATCGGCTTGGGCCGTCACGCTATTATTAATACCGGTTCGGGAGGCGGCCAAGCTCTTAGGGCGCTTTGGCGGAAGATCCATGGAGTGACTAGGCTCAAGGGCCCCCGAGAGGGGACCTCCACTTGGGCTGATGCACTTTCCTTGAAAAGTAGTTTATAAACACCGGGTGTCTCTAGGTTAGCTACGTTTGTACTCAGAATTCAACTGATTAGTACCAAATGTTTTTTTTTTAAGTTATTTTGTATCTTGTATTAACTGATGTTTTTGCTTTCAGTCCCGAGACTATTAAAGCTTCATCTGACACAGAACCGGTGGGCTAGCCAGAACCCTCGGGTTTGGGCCCTCCGCTGAGGGTAGGGCGGCATATGTGCTCATGCGTGCGTTTAACTATGGTATGTCATCTAAGGACCATCGAGGTTGCGGTTGCGCTAGGATGAGGACGTTTCTGCTCTATCGAAGAACCCTTTGGTCAGGTCTTTAAAATATTCGCGGATGGTCGGGAGTCTGCAGTCGCTGTGCAGGTCGACGTTGCATTGATACCACTGCGCACCAGTTGTGCGGCGGATGAACTTATTTTGTACTATTTGCAGCTTATACAAGCGAATAGGGTGCTTGTGGGCGAATAGGGTAATTTATGCCTTAAGGGCATTTTACTTTTATCGTTAGTTAAATTGTGTAGCCGGCTGGAGACGAACGTGGCTCTATTACGAATGTTATTAATGTGCGTAGTAAATGACATACGCGAGTCGAAAGTGACTTCTAAGTACATGACCTTTTTCTCCCTGGGGAGCGGTTGGCCATAAAGGGATATTTGCTCCAACTTTCTGCATTGGAGAGGGCCTTTATAAAGATGTGACGGGTAAGTACTTTGTGTGAACTGTATCGCCGCACTCTTTTCGCGATTTACTTCTATTCTCAATTTGCGGAACCAATCGCTGAGGCGGTAGGCGGCGCTTTGGAGACGAGTAGCGAGTTGATTGAGATTTTTATCTGTGTAAAAGAGCGCCGTGTCATCCGCGAAAAGCGTGAGATTGACGTGGGGGTCTTTGGGTATGTAGCTCGTGTAGAGCGTAAAGAGTAAGGGTGAGAGGCAGGGGCTTGTGGAGAGGGTGCCCTAAACTCGATATCGAAAAAATCGGTTCGACAGGCCCGGATGGCGTGTACGAGCCTATCTGGCACTTTGAGTGTGTACAGCTTGTAAAGCAAGCCGTTGTGCCAGACCTTGTCGAATGCGTTTGTGACATCGAAGAAAAGACCCACCGTATTAATATATTTCGGATGGTTTAAGGCTTTCAGGATGTGTTCCGTTAGGTGGTATAATTGGTCGGGACAGGAATGCCGTTGGAAAATACGTGCTCTTTGAGCCTGTTTAATAACAGCCGCTCGTAGAGCTTCTCCAGACAACTGAGGAGGCTGATGGGACGATAACTTGAGGGCTTGTTAGCGGGTATATTCGGCTTGCGAATGCCGATAACCGTGGCTTCTTTTCGTCATCCGGAAAGGAGCAACTGGAGAGTAAAGTGTTGTAAATGATCGCCAATAGACAGATAAGCAGCCCAGGGAGAGCTTTAAGAATTTTATTATTAATGTTGTCTGGGCCCGGGGCGAATTTGAGTTTTAAATTTTTAATAATGTCTTGTACCTCTTCGGGGGTCACTGAATTTAAAGGATCGCCTTCCGGTGGAAGCGCAGCCCTAGTTTCGATTACGCGCTCCGCCTCCGTTAGGTGGGCTGTATCGGTGTGTTCGCGTGATGGCGAACATTGCTCTAGGTCGTCCTTTTTAAGTTATACTTCGATAGGCGTGATATGAAATAATTATGAGAGGGAAATTTTAATAATAATACAGGGTGGCTTTTCTAAGTGTATCCATTTTTTTATTAAATTCTACACATAAATAAGATTATATAAAAAAATGATAAATATTTAAAATCACCCGTAAGTAATTAATTACATTCATTTCAACTTATCTCAAAAAGGGCGTGATTTATACGCAACTCATTTATTTTACGCGCGATCATTCATAACTAATACGCACACAAGTTCGTGCACAGTAGAATTAAAAAGTTATTTATGAATGACTACCGTATTGTCAACACGTTCTGTTTTTTAGGGAATAGAATGGCATTTTTTATTTAAATAAACGATTATACTACCGAGTCTGAACCTCCTGTGTAAATTTGAGCACTCCTCAAAAAATCTCCCTGTATAATAAACGCAACCATTTTTTTCTACACTTTTCCTCACTACTACAGTAATATTTTACTGTGTTATATATTTTTCGCCATCAGCCTAAAAATGACATTATTTCACTCAATTACGCTTGGGTTAATTTTAGTATAGAAGCTGTCTCGGTTTATTTTATTTTATCTATCTATCTTTAAACGAACAATTCTTGTGTATATCTATATGTAACGATTTCCTGAAATTCAGCATGTAGGTGGTTTCGGGAGCGATAAATCAAACTAGCTAGGTTTCATTTTTAGAAAACGTCGTTTTAATCGAACTTTCGAATCGGGCGGTCCCTAAACCAGAAGACCCCGGTTCGACTGTGGATGACTTTTGAAAAAAAACTTCTATAGGCACGTTTGATCACTTTTTGGGTGAACAACGATCGATTTATTGCTAACTTACAGATAATACTTTCAGTTAACAGATAATACTTTAAATTAAACATTCAAAATCGATTGTTAAATCTTGTCATTATTTATTCGACTTCGGGTTCGTACACAGTCATACGTTCTAGACTACGATTTTTAGCCGCCAGCCAAGTACTCTGTGGAAGGGATGCCGATAAATATCGATATTTATACAAATATCAATATTGGCCTCGATGTATCGAAAAAAAATATCGATATATTGGTCAAATTTTCGGTTTTAAAAAAATAATGTATATTTAGTTCAGTCTTATTCAACAATCAGTTATAGTAATTTTTATACCAAATTTACATTATTTAAATGAATGAGAAATTTTAAATAAGCGTTAATTATTTATTAATTTTAAACAAATTTATTTTATTAATCGAAATCTCTAGTTACATTATTTAACAAGACCTCCATTGGAAAAAACAAACAGCTTATTTAGTAAGATAAATCAGGTTCTTTAGCTCTGAATCAAATGAAATGAAATTAGTAAAAAAAAACACGAAAAATTGTTTAAAACGAAGTTAATAATGGGTCAAAAAGAAACCCGCAGAAACTTCTCTTATAGGAAAGGCCTAGATCAACAGAATTTAGTAATAGGTGTTTGATTGACATGAAAATGAACGGCAATTTAAAGAGTTTCCTTATGTGGTTAAATGATAATAATTTTTATGACGTCAAATTTTTTTTATGAAACCTCGATATTATATTATGTGACATTTAATTATTGACAATTTTGTTTTTGATACAATTTCGATATACAATTTTATATCAATGTATCGATATTTTTTCAGCATCCCTAATTCCCTACTCTGACTCTGTGGCCGTCTGGCCGCCATTTAAGAACTGTCGCAGAGTGTCTTTGTTCACATTTTTTATCAAAATTTCTATTATTAGCATTTTTACGCGTATTTCATATTATTAAACTAATTCGGTAAGTCTTCTTTATAGCATAATTAAAACTAGTACTTTATATATTGTTTAATCTCATAATTAAAACTTCATAGCATTTGCACGTGTGAACGTTACAAATGCCGGTCGTTTATATATTTTTTAATTTTTCAAGTACCGACTTCATTTTACTTATCCTTATTGTTTTATCATTTACAATCTTTTATCATATCTGTTGACCAAAGTGGTTCAAAATTATAACGATACTTTAAATTTATGAATGTGGGTAGTCTTAATATTTTTAGAATTCCGAAAAAGTGTATTCTTCAGATTTGTTCTAATTGAATGTAATTTTTTAACAATAACCTTAATGTATTTGTTTTAACTGAAGTGAAATAAATTTTACGTTAGTTTAAATTTTAATAGATGGGATTTTTTTTACAGATATGGACGATGAATGGGATGATTCTTCTGAAATTGTAAGTACCTACCGGCATTCGACGAAAATGATATTTTGCATCATGTGTAAATTCTACTTATTTAAGTTAAATTTGTAGGTTGTGCAACCTCCGGCTGTTAATAACATTTACTATGAAGAAAGTGTTGATGAGGGACATAGCCTCTCAAGAGGCAGAGGTTTTCCTAGTTTCAATGAGGATGGTAAGTAAAATATTTCTGTACTTATAACTACATCGTTTTTGAAAAAATATTATGTCTATGCCTGTGAAAAAAAGTTGATTGACAAGATAATATCTAAATTGTAACTATAAACAAAACAAAACTAAAAATACACTATACATATTCTTATGTGTAGTGTATTTTTAACCAAGTAAACTAACTTTAATTAGTTAGTTTACTCGGTTAGTTGTCATATTTTGTTAATGTTATAAAAAATTGTGAATAAATAATTTAAATAATACTATCACTAATGAATTAATCAACAAGCAAAAGATTATCCAGTTGCATTCAGTTTACAAGAAAAAAATTTAATGTTATTTTTTCACTAAGAAAGTATGCACAATCAATTAATTTTATTAAAACTGAATACACAGTACTGCTAACATGATAAATATAGGAAGTGGGAGACTTCATACTCGTACTGTTTATTCAACCAAATTTTTATTAAATTAAATAAATTGCTGATCCGACACAAAGCAATCTGACTCTGACATATTAGGTTTGTGGTTATTTATTTTATAACCACCTATTTGCGCTTCTGTTGTTAAGTCTGGTTAACAACAGGCAGGAGGGGAACCCTACCCCATGACATTCTTATTAGGTTCTATTAAATAAATAAAATTAAAAATTGTATAATAAAAAAAACTGCAGGGTGTGACAAGTGGGGGGTGACTCACCACATACACCCTACGAAGGTGTCTCGTTTCAAATTTTACGCCAAAAAAAGTTTATTGTTGTATAACTAAAAAATAGATATTATTTTTTACTTGAAATGAATGCTATTAAAGGGACCAATGTCACAAACAGAACAACAACCAAAAATTACTTTGTAGGTCAATTATATTTTTATTGTTTACATGCTCATATTACTGTTTTAACAATTGTATAAAGAAACAGTTAAAAATTAATCATTGAAAGAGTACAGATCAAAAGAAAGAAAATAATTTATGAAAAAAAATAGGCTGTTAAGTAAAAACTAAATAGTACACATTATCACATCCAAATGGTCTTTTGGTATGCCTTACATATTGCAAGGGTACCTGAGATTGATGTCATCAACTGTGTCCAAATGACGATAAATGTCCTATGTTCAAATAACAATAACTGTGTCTAGTTACTGTTATTTATGTATGAAGTAAGTTATAACTCCTTATAAAAACAGCAGAAAAAATTATATTTGTAACAAACAATAACTCCCTAAACAAGTTATTATTTGTTACAAATGCCTCATGTTTGGTGCCTCTTACCTAGAAGCTAATATATTATACAGTATTGTGCAAAACAATTTAGAATGCATTAGATTAACTAATAAGCTTTGCTATGTAACTCCTCGCACTATCCATAAATTAACAGTTCATCTGGCCAGATTATTTGCTATTAATTTTATTTTATGCTTAAACCTTCTAATTTTAATTTAATTGACATTGATACATTTGCATACTAGATTTAGAGCATGCAAATATCAATATCAACTACCAATTATTAAATATTTTAAGATCCAAATAGTTTCAATATTAAAGAAGTTAAACTTTGCTTTTAAAAGATTGTATTGGAACAGTTTTTATTTTACTTGTTATCTTTTTGCATATTTGTCTATATACTTATTTAATAATTTATCTAGTAGCTTCAAGTATAATAATATTTTATGTGCAATACATGGATAACATAGAGGGCTGTATTATTATTATTACTACCTCAATGCAGAAAATTCTCTTTGTATAATAAATAGTGGCTGTTTGTTATCCAAAATAAATAAATATTATTATGTCTTATTCAAATTTCAGATACACAAAGATGATAAGTTGTAATTAGTTCCTTATATTTTTTATTTGTTATTTTAAAGTTTGATATCCTGACCATATGTTATTTGTATGCTTTATGATTTTGTACTAAAATATTATTACAGATTGTAGCAAGGATATGGGAAATGGATTTGGTGAGAGACGAGGGCGAGGCGGAGGCAGAGGTCGAGGTGGACGCGGTGGTCGTGGTGGGAACAGAGAGCACAGAAATTATGAGACAAATGGTAATAATGAGTTGTCATATTGGCAACATACACCAAAAAACAACATTATTTTTATAGGCATCCTAAAATAACTAAACTTGTTGTCTTATAGATTCATAAAAATTTTTGTATCTGTTTATTTTTGTGGTTTCAATATATACTTCTCTTTAATTCAGGTGCGTTTTAATAATTTTTTTTTCCATTACATGCAGTTATTTGCTTCAATCTACTTTTAACTATTTGAAGTCATCATTAATTTATAGGAGATAATGACGATGAAAACAGAGGTGACAGAGGTGAACGTGGCAGGGGAAGAGGAAGGGGCCGGGGAGGTGGAGGAGGTAGAGGTGGACGGAGCAATGATGGTGGACGGAACAATGATGGTGACAACAATGAAGCTGGTGATGATGATGCAAAGAAACCACCAGTCACCTATGTGCCTCCAGAACCCACCGAAAATGAGCAAGAGATCTTTAGCAGCACCATCAGTTCAGGAATTAATTTTGATAAATTTGACCGCATTGCAGTTAAAGTGAGTATTTATTTCTTACTTTATAGACACATGATTTTGAGTCTTGCTTAAAAATAAAGTTTTCAAATTGTTTTATAATTTAAGGATACTGTAACAAAATATATATTTATAAATTTTTTGGTATATTATCTACCCACTTGTACCATATTATGTAATTAGGTGAGCGGAGAAAATCCACCACAACCTATTGATAGTTTTGAAACTGCAAACTTACGAAAGTATGTGCTGGACAACATATTGCGATCAGGTTACAAGAAACCAACACCCATACAAAAACATGCTATACCTATTATCATGGCTGGTCGTGATCTAATGGGCTGTGCACAAACTGGATCTGGAAAAACTGTAAGTTATATAAATTTAAAATGAAATTCCCTATGTTAATTCTAATAACAAGTGCCTAGCATACAAAAGCTAACAGCAGTTGAAACTTGCTGTAGCAGAAAATTATAAAAATTTATAAATTTTTTCATAGTTAATTTGGTTTAAAAATTTTATATTTTGTTTTTACAGGCCGCATTTCTGTTACCCATAATTAATATCCTTCTCCAAGATTTAAGAGATCTGGTTGTAAGCCCAAACGCTCAACCACAGGTTTGTTTCTGTTATAATTGTTATTTTGTTTTCTTAATTTTTGTCCTCTATCCTGGATTACTATCTATAATTCTTTCACTTCTTTTCAGGTTGTAATTGTAGCACCTACGAGAGAATTGACACTACAAATATTTAATGAAGCGCGGAAATTCTCCTATGGTTCTATATTAAAGGTAGCAGTGGCATATGGTGGCACCGCTGTACGCCACCAAGGCGACAACATCTCAGTGAGTCTTTAACTCTTTAACTTTTACAGCCAAAATCACATGGTCGTTTTCTAGTATTTTTTAACCCCCCTGCTCCCCCTTGGTGATACATGGTGAGGTTTTAACTTTAAATGCAGGTATAAAGCATAATCCAGTTTTTATTCTGAAATTAAGAATCATGATAAAAATGTAACGGCGAGTCGAGATCACACCGCTTTTGCAGTTTAGAGATCACTCGTTTGACGAACAAATAAATACTCGTGATATCTTATTACACCCCCCCCCCCCCCCCCCCCCCCCCCCCCCCTTCCCCATTGCGATATTTCGTGATTTTTGCGAAACCCCCTCTTTCGATTAGCACACGATTAGCCACATTCTAGTTGCGATGCTTGACAAAAGCCTGCCAAACTAATTATCGCTACTATGTGTTTGAAGCGTGGCTGCCACATACTAGTTGCGACGCCTGGGCGGCTGCACGACTTCGTCGACCGCAAACGTTTGTCCTTCGAAAGCGTCCGCTTTGTGGTGCTGGATGAGGCGGACCGCATGCTCGACATGGGCTTCATGCCCACAGTCGAAAAGATGATGGATCATCCAACTATGGTGCCCATTGTAAGTACTCATTTCGTCTGGCGTCTGTGGGCGACGGTTATCACTTAAAACGACCTGGAAACATGGAGGTTCACCTGGAACCGCCAGGACGTTTGCCACTTTCTTACATAATAACAATTCATTAGAAATTACACATTTTCTTGCAATGTAACCAACCTACCACTACTTGACTGATGGTTCTACAATCATGGTTTTGAATAAGTTCTCTCTTATATGGGACAAAAAGAGGATAAAAACTAATAACAAACCCAAAACACCAAATAAGCCTGCTGTCTGTATGTCAATCATACAGTACAACTCATTAAACCACTCATTCATAATAAGAAACACTAAAACAAATCTCCACTTAAACACTTCACAGTACATTGAGCATATGCTCCAATTCAAGCTGAATCTTTGGTTAGTTGAATTTCAAACGCCATCCATGTTACGAAAATGCGTGCATGCCTCATGAAAAACAATTAAATAATAAAAAAAAAAAAAAACCATATTTACACTTTTTAAATATGCTTACAGATTGTCGTTACCACCATGACAACAAATGAATACACGTCTAACGCTACTTAAACTACCATAAAAAATATAAACTTAAAAAAAAATCCATGATTAAAAAAAATATCTTTCAAAGAAACTAATTAAATAAAAATGAAACAAAATTTGTAACACCTATACCACTATAACTGACTGACTCATGCATCAGAAATGCTTTTCATTCATTGCCACAGTGTCGCATTACAAATCTCTCCTTCTAACAGTATGTTTTATCTCTTTTAAATTCATTCAACCCATTCATATGCTTTGTGACCTTTACAAATGAAATTTACGTTACTTTATGTAACGGTGTTCTAAAATTGTTTGTTTTGGAAAATTTAATAACTTGGTAAATATTGATGTTTAAAGAATGTAAAATGTTTGATACAATTTTAAAAAATTATCCTATATATGTGTGTTCATTTATTGTTATGGTTGTAACGACACACTGTATAAGTAATACTCCTTATATTTATTCATAAATACAATTACTTTATGCACAGACTTTATTCCATTTCGCCTTTGTTTACAACTAGAGTAGCATTTATGATCAGGAATAAAATTTGTGTGTATAAAAAAACAGTGTTCCTAATATGTTACACCTGTTATTATTATTGTAAAGATATTGAGTTTCTTTCTCCACTGGCCTATAAACATTTTAGCCCCATAATTTGGTTAGAAAAAGAAAATTATGATGTTGAGCGCCTACTTAAGAACTGAATTTTTAGGGTGAACGTCAAACACTGATGTTCTCTGCGACATTTCCTGAAGACATCCAACACTTGGCTGGTCGCTTTCTGAACAACTATCTCTTCATCGCGGTCGGCATCGTTGGCGGGGCCAGCACCGACGTTGAGCAAATATTCCATCAAGTCAGCAAATATGAAAAACAGACCATGCTTAAAAAGCTTATTGACGAAAACGGTAGGGCCAGTTTAGTAATTACATTAGCGCTTTAGTTTTAATGTTATTACAATTTAGTTGTTATAATAATATGGATTTAATGAAATAAAATGCTAATGAATATTGATCTTGATGATTGAACAGAATGTTGTCATTAAACATGAGAGTAATGGGGGGGACATACAAATTCGCTAAGATGTACTAAATTCATTGCACACTACTTGTCTTATTGAAGGACTATTGGGGGAAAATATATCTATTTCTTCATTTACGCCACAGTCCAAGTCATTTTTTGTCTAGAAATACACTACAGAATAGTATAGGGTTGCAAGAACGTAAATGTTATTTTATCATAACTAACATTATGACAGACATATTTAAAAGAATACTACCATTTGCTGAGGTAAGACTTATATAGTTAATTCAATAGAATGTTGTTAAATATTATATAATGATTATTGATTGTGAATTAAGGCGATAATACTTAATTTAATACAGTTAATCGCAACTGAAAAAGGTAACGCTATTATTTTCAGACGGTAAGCGCGTTCTTGTCTTTGTGGAGACCAAACGCAACGCTGACTTCATCGCCGCAATGTTGTCGGAACAGCAGATGCTGACTTCGTCAATTCACGGTGACCGCATGCAAAAGGAGCGCGAAGAAGCTCTGCACAATTTTAAGAGCGGACGACATTTTATACTCGTGGCGACAGCTGTTGCTGCACGTGGCTTGGGTGGGTTAATTTTTTTTAATAATAACTTGCCCCGTGCGAGATTAGACCCGGTGACGCACATTGCCCATTTTAACTGTCAAAGATGATTGATATTCATTTATGTATTATGCCAAGTATATGATTTTTATATTAAACAAAATCAATGCAGATGCTAGTTTTGTAATAACATCTGATGTCGTATTTTATCTTGTTTATTTGTACAAATTTACACAATGTAGTATAGGTAGTGTAGAGACTGCAGGTTTAGTTTTAATTTTTGTTCTAGATATAAAAAACGTGGACATTGTTGTCAACTACGACCTGCCGAAAAGTATAGACGAGTACGTGCACAGAATCGGCCGTACGGGACGTGTCGGCAACAGGGGCAAAGCAGTGTCATTTTACGACGCCGATCAGGTTTGTATACGAGAAAGAGTTGGAGGAACTGCATCAACTTGGATTAAGACTTCTCTTGTTGCATTGATGCACTAGCTTGTTGAGTGTAGTGGCTTTATGAAGTATCTATTTTTTCATATCATCAAACAAATGATGAGTAAGGTGCTATGTTGTTTGGAACAATCATTATGTTGTATGGGTGTTATATATGATCATAGGTAGGTTAATATCTCTTAGAAAAATACTCATTTGCCTGCTTATTTCATGACAAACGCATGACACATGTTATTTAAATCCATAGAAATTTTATGCAAACAGTGTTCAGAATATAAGTATGAAATAATTGAAGAGCCATTCAAATATAATTTTAAAAACTGTAATGATGTATAGACCTTGTAGGAATGTTTAACTTAAGATGAATAGCACACTATTTAAACATGAGGTAAATTGAAACACTTAACTGCAGCAACTAGATTCTCAATGACTAGGTTAGCACTAATATCATTATCTTCAACAAATTGAGTTCTGAGCTGATACATTTCTCTAACTAATTTATACAATGAACTATAAAAGGATGCAGCGCTGACGGCAGACTTGGGGAAAATTTTACGCCAAGCTGATCAACCCGTGCCGGACTTCTTGCAGGGCGGCGGTACCGCCACCTACAAGGGCAATAAATACGGTGGCAGCGATGTTCGAGTAAGTTTCCACACATTCAACAAATATTATTTGAGAATCCTATCCTGTCTTTCTTAATTGAATTAGTTGTCTTGTGCCAACAAACTCTAAAGTGTTTAAAATTACTGGAATTAAAATTAAAGTTAAATGTTAGCTTTTTTCATAGCACAAAAAATAAATAATCTCAAGAGTGGAAGAAACATGCCCTGTAATGGCATGTTTTCTGTCTAATTTAGAGTAGATTCTTTGACGTAAATTGTCTGGGTGATAGATCTTGCTAACTATTAAGAAACCAGTCAGGCGTAGTAAACAATCATGGCTGTCGAAAGTCACTTAACCTCAGGGGATATGCCTCCTTCCCCCCAAATTTTTCACATAAAAAAGCATTCTTTCAATAAGCATGGTACATATGAATGATTAATATTTTATCGCTAATTTGCATGATAATTTTTATAAACATGACTTTACATGCAACCAACAGGGACCTGATGTAAGTTAACATTAACAAAATTTTGCTTCAATTAATAAACTTTGTGATGAACAGACTTGAACCAATAAACTTTTAAAGATAATTTTGAAGTATATGAAACAAAAAGTTGGTATTTAAATTACATTTATTATTACGTCAATACAACATAGGCATGATAACAATAATTTTTCCCATTTTCTCTTACAGAACTTCAATAATGCAAGCTCTAATGTAACTCAAGGGCAAGAGCCTGAAGAAGAGTGGTAGCCGTTACACAATAAAAAAAAATACATCTATACTTTAGTACCTGCCAGTTACTGGCTGTTTAATTTTAAGTGTGCAACTAGTGATGCATGTATGTCATTGGTGCTTTTGCTCTTAACGAGTTCCTGATTTTTCCATTATTTAAATAAACCATATATTTTGCCTGTACACTCTACACTTGATAAAGACTGTAATTTTATGTGACAAGTATTGTAGTTGTAAGTTAATAAATAAGACTTGTGTACAAATCAGATCCCCAGGCATTCATTCAAAGAAGTGTACTAATATAAAATGCATACATCATTTTGTTGTACTTAAGATTTGTTTTTCTTATTTTTTTTTTTTTTGTTTTTATCAAGTGATACAAGTTACTAATTTTTTTTTAGTTGTGTAAGTCATCACTAAGGTAACCTTATAATTGAAACTTTATAAGGATCTGTGATGTAGTATACAGTTGCTCAGTTTAAATTTTAAAATAGTTATAACAATAGTTTTATGTAATTGTTAAAGCTTTTCCTTTTTATCGAGGCACAATTAATTATATTGTGGTAATTGGTGGCACATACAAAATTGCAAAGTTAAGGATAACTAGTTACAGGTCCAACTTCTTTTACTCTATTTGATAGTTATGAATAATAATATATCAATATGAAACTATAAAGTTATCATACATAATAATGATACTTCTGTTTTAGAATCTCTTCCAGTCATATAGTTTGCTTCTAAAGGGCATTATAACATATATATGAAAGAACTTTTATGAAGCCATTAGATTGTCAAACTTTATAAACCTGTGATGATAAGTGTAAGTTAGATTTTAGTTACTCACTCGCCATTACTGTCATGGTTCAAATTTGTTGCTAGATGTAAGTCAATACTAATAGATATGTGAAGTTTGTATTACAAAAGTTAAAAATTTCTTGTCAGGGTACACTAAAACATATTTTTATGTAATGAGACAATTTTGATAAATTGTACATGTGGTACATCCAAATGTCTATGTTAATGTTTCTGGAAAAGACCATTATCTAGTTTTTAGACTTAGTTATTAGGATTTGATTTGAGGTATAAAAAATTAGATAATAAATTAAGTATTGATATTACAAAACTGGATTTTTTTTTCTCATTGTTACCTGGAAGAATTGGCTTCTAAACGATAAAACCGGCAATCTTTATGTAATTTTTGTTACTGTTTGTAATTATTTGTTTCCTTTACAATAAAATAATATATCATTAACATTTCATTATTCATTCATCACTGCCATGCACTTTCGCAACACCAACACTAGTGAATTTTACTAATAGGTACATCGATCGATTTGATTCTACCGCTAAAATGATATAATTATGTTACGTATAATAAAATATTTAGAAATTGCCTTTGATTTTTAAAGCTGTAGGCTTATATATTGACCATGACAGCCAACCTCTTGTATTAAAATCGCGGACATTTTTGCTAAATCCACCGCATTATACCATCTTCATTCAAATTAGTTTTCATTTAATTTTGAACATTAATTTAGTAAAGATTGTATATTTTCTTTTTATTATATTCTTTTCTTACCTTCAACAATGACAATAAATCTTCGTTTGACATTCTTTTTTCTTCATTTACAGTGTCTAACGTACCCGCCGTGGGTTCTGGCTAGCCTACCGGTTCTGCGTCAGATGAAGCTTTAATAGTCACGGGACTGAAAGCAAAAACATCAATTAATACAAGATACAAAGTGACTAACGCCCGGTTTCAATGTCAAATGTCATTTAAGTTGCCAAAACGATGGTTAAACTAGTTGAATTGATCATTCTGATCATTAATACCGATGATAAGATCATTCTGGTCAATTCAGAGTTTAACCATTTTTTTGGCAACAAAAATGAAATTTGAAAAGCCATTTGACAGCTGATTAGTTAACATGTACGATGATCAGTGTTTCAGAAACCGGGCGAAGTGTCTTTTACAAATCTTTTTTTTTTAACCTGAATGTATATAATGTAGTATTCCCGTATACAGTGCGTTCTTGACGTTTTAAGGCACATTCTGCCTATTATTGTTTTCAAGGTAGGGCCAAGCAACAGTCTTCGCTGTTGCACGAATTGTTGCAGGTCAGCTGCTAGGAGTCCGGAAGGAAGCTTTGCTACTTGTTAGCACTAGCTCTCCTGGCTCCCATAGCCTCTGGACAGAAGCCTCGGGACGGCGCGACTAATGTTCCAGCCGGCTTTACCAGATGATATTATTACTATGCCTTTTGGACTATCATGTTCCCCCATTACAGTGGGATGGTATATGGGTTTAAGGATGTCTTGTACCATTTTCCGCGACACTGCAGGGCCGCAGCTGAAGAAAAGTTTAGCAAAATTCTGTGCTATTTTGCTAACCGTACTTTACAAAATTTGGTGAGCTTCCAGGCAACGTTTTCGGAGGAGCCGGTTTATGTCCTAGTGCATTTTACCTTTGAGAAGACAGATGCGATATATATACGACGCAATAGAAAAAATATGGGTGAAACATCGTCTAGGTCTCTTAAAAGCTTCTCGGTGCCTCGCCGTGCCGCATGACATACCTACTCATTTGATATGTTAATAAAGCCATATAATTTGATACAACTTTCGGTCCGGTTATTGTTTTATTGAAGAGGAGCGACTTTATTATTTTATTATTGTTACTTTTACGATATGATTATAGTCAGCTCATATGAATAAAACTCAATCAATTAAATATATTTGTATATTTTCAGCACAAAATACTAAAGTATACAATGAGTAAAACTTTAACAAATATCAAAAATAAAAATGAGTAAATCCGTTATTTATTCCGCCACTGTAAAAATCATTATGTTTAATAGGTATGTTATAGATTTGTCGGTCATCGGTTTGGTATAAAATGAAATGGGAAAATTTGTATAAAGCTCGGATGAAAAATCTGATAATCTTTGGAACTACAAGACAACTCGTAATATCCTTACTTGGTCTTAGTGCTTATTATGTGACTTTTGATATAAAGCTCATAGGTACCTCTACCGACCGGTTGCTGCTGCATAATTTTTGTTAAAAAATTGACAAACATATTGTGTCTCTATTCTTTTTAATGATTAAGAAATATCGGATAAGATTTCCATAAGAGCTAAATACACGAATTCAATCCAAAGATAATCGGATTCTACACGCAAGCTTAAGTCAATTTTCGTGTGTCGTTAAATATACTAATTTTTTTTAAAGAAATAACGAATACAAAAGATGATTGAGATAATAATAGTCTTCATATAATAAATAGTCAAATAGTTTTAAAGTACTCGTCAGTAAATATGACAATAAAATATACTAACCCATGATACAGAAATAATAATAAAGAGGTACGCAAAAAAAACTATAAAACATTATATAATCAAATGTAATTTATTGTTTGTGATTTGGTGATTAAGAACATCAAACGCAGGCATAATAATAGGCAAGCAGAACGGCCCCTAGCTCCCCTCTATAGTCCGGTTTGCTATACTGGGCCGTCCGTGAACAAGGATCCTAACTTAAATAAATCGTTAGTTACATTGAATAAAAATTTACAAGCTTACTATCTGCTTATCTTAATCGTACTTCATGTGTCAAGGTTGATGTGCTCATGACTATTATTGCTACTTACACGTGGTGGTTTATTGAATAAAATTTAAAGTTAGTTGAATTTTCTTACATGGTTACATTAACTCAGAGCGTCCGATGAACTGGTCACAGGCCTCAAGGATCAAACAGTAAGTATATCTACTACTGGAATTTGATGTGACATTTCCAACGTTTATACCAATAAGTTTATATAGATTACAAAGGACTGAAGATTTTTTATTGTTGGTATAAAGTTTACAATATTTACGGCTACGTAAAATATAAACAGTAAAGAATAAAATAAAAATGTGATAAAATTAACTTGTTTGTTTTATATCCAGTAAATAGATTAGTGTTTGCGTCTGCTATTATTATACGAATTATGATAGTGCTTTATCAAAGTTACATGTTTACGCACGAGATATTTTACAATGATCTCTGGGTAATATTTAACAATATAGTATTAACAAAATAAATTCAACAATAATCCAGCTGATTCATAAACTCTTTGGTTTAACAGCTTTAATTATTTATTTGTCTGAATATCTTAGTTTATTAAAACATGTAGAAAAAGTACGAAAAGATTGTCGCCGCTGTGGGAATCGAACCCACGGCTTCGGCATTCGCAGCCTGACGCTCTAGCCACTGAGCTAAACGGCTGAGCGTCAGGCCGCGAATGCCGAAGATGTGGGTTCGATTCCCACAGCGGCGACAATCTTTTCGTACTTTTTCTACATGTTTAAATGTTCAATCTTAAGTGCGGAGATTAGCACTATAAAAACTTTAAAATCTTAGTTTCATTGAGTTCTGGCGGCGAAATTAGCACATTCACCTCGTAAAAAATGTATAAAAATAATTTGGTATAAACGAGAGAATATTCTGTGATGTATTTTACTTTGTAAACTTTTATAAAAAATAATAATTTGTGCTTAAAGGTATATAATATCACAGGGTTTGACTTATAACAATTATGATTTCATGCTTTTTTTAAGCAGAATTAAGTACTTTTTTCATGTCATGTGTACTGTATAACACATAAAATAATACTTTTGAAAATGAAGATCATATCTTCAATTACAACGATAATTTCGTCATTATAATGAAATAAAATGTTTTACCCAACTTTTTGTAATACTAAGTAATGGTCGGTACGAAACTAAAGTGTAGAATGCCCTCAAATTTCTTCGTCCTCCTCTAAAGGTCGGTAAAGTGACGTTGGCGCATTCCACGAATAGTATTGCACGAACCTGTGAAACGTTACGTTATCAGTGCAACAGTATTAATTTTATAATTATCAATTTACATAGATTCCATTAGTTTACATTCGCTTATGCGAGATTTATAACGACCTTAAGCTTTCAGTTTATTATCTAGTAATTGTCATAATATATGTTCCACTATATTAATTCTGAAGATTAATAAGATGAAGTGGCAATATGCTGGTCTAATAGCTTGAAAAAGCGATAACTGATGGTGAAGAAAGAAAGGCAGGCTTGTATTGGCCATCATTGTGTGGGACGGCCCTTCATTAGATACAGTGACAACCTGTGCAGATGTGCTTTTTTTTGTATAACTGATGTTACGCTTTCAGTCCTTACACTATTTAGACCTTAGACAATGGAGTAGAACATGGTGAAATGATGATGATGTTGATAGTATTTATTGACTGCTAAAACGGGACAGGCGATGAGCTTGTCGAATCGAAAACAGAATTCTCATCAGTGCACAGAACGGAAACTGAAATTAAACCCGTCGCCCCAAATCGTGAGCAGAGTCCCGCAAACACTAGGCCACAACTGCCACGGATAAAAATAGCACCAACGATGAGAAAAAACTATAATTGCGGTTTTTCCGTTACGCCGGGTGTTCAATACAGCCGGCGGATGTTTAAGAAACAACCTTCGAGATAAGGTAAAATAATTGTTTTGCTAGATTTGCAATACGAACTTGAGTAATTGGTTAAGCAAAACACATAATGACTTGTTTGTTTTTCTATTGTATTATCATAATGGAGGACGTAGTACAAATAGCGAACTACTTATATCGAGGTAAATAAATATCAAAATAATAGAGGTTATAGAAACGTTAATTAAGATAATGTGTATCAAAATCCTTATCGACACACATTTCAAAGAAAACTGTCTGGAACTGAAAACGGACTGAAATGCCTGAATACGATGATATTTGTGTATTGAAGTTTTTCCCTTAGCTCAGCTGAAATGTAGGTAGACGTAAGAATTGAAATTGATATTTAAATTTTAAGAGTACAAAACTATCCAAGGTTAATCACTATGCAGATATCAGTCAGTGTTATCTGAACTGGAATAATCTGGTAAAAGATATCGCGCCATTTCAAGTTCTAGGTAGGTATGTCTGGTGGAGAATATTAAAAAAATTGACAATTATTTTAATTCTTCAGTATCGTATGGTTAATAAACATTACATCTAATGATTAATTTAAATATAAAAATAATTCATTACTTATATTTTAAAAATGTTATGGAATGACAATATTACATACTGTATTTTAGAGTAGAATTGTTAACCGGAATACTTTATTGAATATATTGCGACGATGCATGGTACATGTTTTAATCACGCGAATTATTTTAGTCGATATGACTAATCATAATTGATTCGAATGTGAAAAAACAACAATAACATTCAAGTTACGGAATATTAGTCACGAAAATAAAGTGATCATTTTGTGACTGCCGTAATTTTTGTTTTAGGTTTGTTAATTTTAAATGGCGTTAGGTATAAACGGCCTAGTTCGCTTATTCGAAAGCGAGTCAAATAATAACAATGAGTTTTTGTTACTGCTCCCTTATGACAACTTAAAAAGCCTTTGATTAAATTTCTTCTTTTACAATAGAATTTTATTACGGTTTGTTCTTATTTTAAACAATCGACGTTTTGAATTATTTACAACATTCAAGATTCGACTTGTGAAATAGTTATATTAAATTGTACAATATTCAGCTTAAATCAAAATAAGTTATTGTATAGACGACCCATTTGGCGTAGTGGGTAGTGCACCTGCCTATTGCGCCAGAGGATGTTAGATTCCCACTACTCGAAAAATGTGCGATGAACATGGTGTTTTCCAGTGACTGGGTGTTTATATATTTATAATATACAAAATATATAATTTACAAAAGAAAAGTACGTTTAAATGTTAATCAGTTATCTAGTATCCATAGTACAAGCGTTGCTTAGTTTGGGACTAGAGAACGTTGTGTAAAAACGCGTCCTAAATATTTATTTCTTTATTAAAAAAAATATCGATCCTGACTGTTGGAGTAAATTTCAGTCATACAATACTTCACCCTTGTGTTAATAAATGAACACACAGCGCTCTCGTGTGGATATACGACTGAAACCCTATGCATTCCATTCACACACAGCTTGATTCTTGTGGATATAAAAGAGCTGTCTCATAATAATATATACTTAAAAAAAGTTTGTTCTTTTTGTAAGACACACGTGTATTTTTCGGTGTCCTCTTCCAATATTGGTACACAAACCATACATGCAATTTCTAGTACTTGACAGTGATGGTAAGAGGTAATTACCCAAGAAGTACGACGCAGACCACGCTAAGCCCGCCGCTTATGAAGTAGACCGTGCCAGGGAAGTTCTCCAACGTCACAACATACACGGAGTTGAACAATATCGGCGCTATCAACGGGCTCAGCCCCTCGATGGCGCACATCATGGCGAAGACCTTCGCTATATCCTCGACCGGCAGCGCCTTCGCGAGGAACGACCTTACCAGAGGTCCGGAGAGGCCTTTGAACAATGACACTGAGACGCCTGTAAACGCGCGTTAGACTCAAATCCACGTATACATTACTAGCTTTTCGCCCGCGGCTTCGCTTGCGTTGAAGCCCTTAATTAAATATGTATCCCCTTTTAGAACCCGTTTATAATCCCTTTTCCAATTAAAAATATAGCCTAGGTCCTTTCCTTAAAATTATTTGTTCTAATAATTTCCCGCCTGTAGATTGTTCTTTTCCTGTTTCTTTTAATCTGACTTCTGTCGTCTTTCCAATGTTGGGGTACATTCAGGATAAGTAGATATTTATACATGTATTTGTGCCGCGTTGGGATCGAACCCACGACCAGCTGCTTCGACATCGGTCGCTTAACTACTGCACCAACGGATTTGTGAAGCTTTAAGGTATAAGAGAATGAGAACGTTTTAGCATAAAAGACGGGAAAGCGTAAGAAATACTATATTAAAATGAAAATCTTTTCCATTATTATGAATTGAACGAATATTCAATTATGAGTAACCAGTAATCATTATATCTCTGAGTAACCAGTCAAGTGAATGTGTAGTATAACATCAAATGATTACTCTAGAAGTAACTATAGATTTGTAGAAACCTATTTTATAACTATCTATTTCAGTGCAATGATCCAAAGTATGAAATCAAAGAGCATGTTGCGTGCGCATTTGAAAATAAATAACCACGAAAACGAACGGTAATTATATCAGATGTGTTTAATCACGTAGGATTATCAATATGCACTCAGGAAAAAAAACATAGTTAACAAATTAGTCTGTGTACTCACTCAAGTACATCTGCCAAGAGTTCACGACGATTGCCTTTATCGTATACTCGACAACTGCCGACAAAAATGCCACGGCCGCCAGCACTAGGTCGCTTATGGACAACACCCTCTGTATAAATACAACACCTAAGAGGCTTCCGACGAACATAATCGCTGTGCTAACAGCGGAATACGTGTTGTAATCTTGCAATGCCCAATGCAGTGTACGTCTGGTGTAAGGGTACTCTATGCCACCAGTTCCATACATAACGAAGACCCCGATGCTTCTCGCGGCCGTGAGCAAGAGTATCTGAGCCCTGCCGTGGTTGGGACGTTCTTTGAAGCATTCCTGAACCATTTCTTTCACGTGCAGCCAGTCTAATATTTTGCATAGGCCACCCTTAAAATATACAAATAAATAAATGGCAATCACACTGGCGGAGTGGCAGTATAATTATTGACACGCAAGTGGTGACTTTATTGACACGCAATGCCGATAATGAAAAGGAGAGTAAAACGTAAATTCAACACTCATGATTTTAAATCCATTATCACCATTTTATTTATTAAACATACGTATATATATTTTTATGGTACTATTATTGTTAGTATGGAAGTTAGGTAACATAGTAGCAAAAGGAATAAACAATTTGGCAGCTAATGTTAATCGTAAATCGGTCAAATCAGGCCGTTAACACCTGATATTGAGTGATGCAAAAGATTTCAATACGTCGGAAACATAATTATAAACGAAATTAAATCAGCATAAAGTTTATTTAACAACACAAATGGTGATATTTGAAATACATCGATACATTTTTACTATCTTATACTTTCGCGTTCAATCTGGTGAATGACGTAGTCCGAGCTCAATCTTCACAAGGTTGTCAACGCATCTGTAACCCTCGGGTGTAGCAGATGTCCATGGGCGGCGGTATACACTTAACGTGAAACGGTATACACTTAACTTGAACGGCGTGTAACGCCGGCGAGCTTGTCAACTTTTCACATAAAAAAAAATATATAGACCATGACTGGATGCAACGCTAGGTGGATTAAAGCTCGGAAAATCATGGCCTTGTCCTTTTAGTACAATCGTGTACAACTGATCTAGAGTTGATAAAGACTACATATTACTGTGTAACAAAACTATGGATTGTGCTAAAGTCTATTGTTTAAATTGACGGTTATACCGATACCATTACCGAACAGATTAACTGTTTATAGTGCTCACAAGAATGTTGAAGCTAAGGTAGACAGGCAACTCCCCACGTAAAGTCCTCTGACAGTGTACAAGCAATAATCGGGAGGCATGCATTATGAATTAATTATAGTATGTCAATATTCTGATACCATACAGAATAAAGGGTAGAGGTATTAATATTAAAACAAAAACAGAAGCTATTTTACTTGCATGAAGGAAATTTATACTAGCTAAATTTAGGAACTTTGATAGGAATAACTAGTGACTTTAAGAGATTCACTAATATTTTTTTATGTGAAAAGTTGCCAAACGAGCAGACGGTTCACCTGATGTTAAGTGAATACCGCCGCCCATGGATATCTGCCACACCCGAGGGTTCCAGATGCGATGACAATCTTTTGAAAAATTGGGCTCCGGCCACCTCACTCATTAGACGAAACGCGAAATTATTATTCTTCCACTTCACGCCGGTCTTCTGTGAGGTCGTGGTACTTACCCGGACAAGCCTGCCCATTCGTGCAACAGCCGAGGCTGCTGCGTGGGCCTACCACCGTATAACTACGCCTACTAAGAAATCAACGTAGGTTTATATCATATCGCGGCGCAGGTACCAACGAAATTGTATCAATTTTAAGCTCTGAATTACCACGTAGTCGGCGGGGAAACCAAACTGCACATTTAATAGTTAATAAAAAATATACATTTGAATGATATACAGGTGGTTTTTCTTAGTGTATCCATTTTATAAAATTGAATTCATTTTATTAAATTCTAGACATAAATAATGTTATATAAAATGATAAATATTTAAAATCCCTCTTAAGTAAATAATTACATTAATTTGAACTTATCTCAAAAAGTGCGTGATTTATACGCAACTCATTTATTTTACGCGCGATCATTCATAACTAACACGCACACAAGTTCGTGCACAGTAAAATTGAGGTATTTATGAATGACTACCGCATTGTCAACACGTTCTGTTTTTTAGGGAATAGAATGGCCTTTTTTTAAAAGAATAATTTGCTTTTTATTTCGATAAACGATTATACTACCGAGTCTGACCTCCTGTGTAAATTTTGGTACTTACTCTAGTACTACTACTCAAAAAATCTCCCTGTATAAGATCAGCCAAATGGCAGTAGTGCCCCATGGAGTTCTAATACTCTGTCAAATGGAGACCTGGGTCACCTTTAGACATATATTTAAAGACCTTAACTTTGTACTTTAATTTAAAAAAAAAAAAATATTCAGCACTATCTCACCTCTAAAGCTCCCGATAATGACTCCTTAATGTATACATTTGAGAATGAATATGAAATGACATTCAGTGAAGCTGCCAGGAGTAATAAATTAACATTCCCAATATGTAAAATTAGGTAAGTGCTTAGAAGTGATCCAATAACATTTGCTATAGAAAGTGTAGCATCAATTAAGGTCATCCTAGGAAAAGATAATATAACAAATGACAATCATCAAACCATTTTATTAGTAAAAGAAAGTAGCAAGCCAAACGCATGCATAGTATGCTTAAGTTTACATTACCTAAATGATGTATTTTCAGTTGTAGCTATATCACTCACATAACAACACGCCCCTGTAAATAACACTACATAGCCGCCGGTAAGGGAGAAGGGAATAATGGTTAGAATAAACCACCAAGGGCTCAAATCTAACAGGCCATAAATTACAACCAGCATAGAAGTCAATGTCATACCTAAAATAGCCATATTAATAGATAAATAGGAACTACACAATCTAAACAAAAGCATCTACATAAAGAAAATAAGAATTAATGTAGCTGTAAGCTATTATACGCTTGAAAATTTATGTCTATACATAATTAATTTTAGTTTTGGTACAGAAAAAAATAAGGACTTACGGCCAAAATTAGAGAACTTAAAAATTAGTGTAATTGCGTAAACACAATTAAAAAAATCAGTTTATTTAGGATTTACTCAAATGCCAGAAAAAAAATTATAAGTATTCAGGCCAGTTTTCTTAAATTACTGATACAGATTGTAAAAAAATTGCTACATTCAGTACACAAGAAATTATGGATATTGTGAACATAATTTTGAATGCAATGTAAAGGATAGTTATCCATAACATCTAAAATTCTACAAAACCCCATATGGCCCGTATAGCCAACGTCGTCTACAGTTTGCGCAAAAGCGCTTAGCTTCGGCGGTTCAGTGTCACAGTGTCACACGGGAGCTCGGAAATGGGCTCACGATTACGGAATATAAACGACAGCAGGAATTGTTAGGGCCGCTAACGTTCGTGAGCAGCGTCCCGAGAGCTACCGTTACTTTCGTCATTTGGGAGCCAGACGCTCGAAATGAGCTCGGAATTCCCATTAGCGATCTAGTACAAGGCCGCAAACACGGACCCCACGCACAATTATGTGTGTGTGAGGTCCGTGTTTAGCCATGTCGGTAATATCAACCGATAACTTCGAACTTTGTGGAATTATGGCTTGGGACAGACAAGCAGTAAACATCACCCTCAAACTAGAGACTGCAGGACATACCCAGGTAGAGGGTCCCTGGCTCATCCCTGGATAACATCGAAACCTAGGGCATTGCTTTTGGCTCATCCAGGATAAGATACATCCAGCAGGTCGGTCTATTCCATGCCAGGTCAAACCCTCGCAGGTGGAGTGTGCTCATCCCGCTGTGGAAATAAAGCTGCGGCGACCTGAGGATCGTGATACCATTTATGGCTGCAGGCTCTGAGTCATAAGGGATGCGAGGGCAAAGATTGTTCATTAACATCCTGTAATGCCCCAACAGATCACGATAGAGTGCAGCCATAACTTCTCTCAAAAACGGCAATCACCGAGGCTATCCACCTGTAATGTCATCTTGGCCTGTCAAAAGAAGACGTACAACTCCGTCTCCAGGCGTAAATAATACAGTCACCGCCGCCTTCGGCATTGGTTGTACCGGATTCTCAGATCACCAGTACACTTGGGGCTTGGCAGAAAGTTGTCTGGATCGAGACGTAGATCGCACACCTGCGTCATCACTTCTCGAAACCAGTCCATAATCTCGTAAAATCTATTATTTCGTTTAAAATTCTATTTTCTTTTATATTTGAAGTGTACTTTTATATTTGAAGTATGTACAAATTTTTTTTATTGTAGTATGTATTGCCATAATATTTTATTTCCTTTGTTTTTTGTTAAATTTAGTTTATGTGTTGTTGTGGGCGTTCTATTCTTGACAATTTTTTTTTCTTTCTTTCGTGTTCCACAAGGCTGCGTACTGTCCCTACTCCCTTTCTTCTGCACATCGTTGACATTTTGTAAATCAGCAACATTCATTGTTACACAAACGATATCACTGTGTATATCATTTGCATAACTATAATGACAGAAGACTGCGCGTTAAACAAAATGTCACCATTTGCCGTTACTCTTCATTATGAGAAAACTCCCCGTCTGCCACAGCCAGTATTGGAGTTCTTGGCGTCTACATTTCAAGCATCATCCATTCGCATAAAATCGCTTAATCGACAGTAAGGCGCCTAAATCTCTATAAGGCTATAATTGAAATGTCTGCATCTAACAAAACCACTAAGGATAAATATCGATACAGAACAGATTATGGAGGGCAATCCCTTTTTTATTGCAAGAGGGTGAATAGATAGGGATCATGATCCTTGAGGAACACCCGCTTTTAATAGACGGCTCATAATAACCAGGTGCCTCTCATGGTGGGAATGAGCCAGTTAAGCTATGTTGGTACATTATGCCAAACTTTATCTAATGACTTTCCAAAATCGAAGAAAAGCATATATGGCAGGGTTGTTAATCCATTTTTAGACATTCAATGTTAGGCAGAGTATTTGTTCGAACAAGAATGCTTTGATTGAAAGCCATGGGTAATACCGTTAATGGAGAAAACATAGTCCTTCAACCTGCAAAGATGCAAAAGAGCCCCCAAAATGCATACAAATGCATTTTGGGGGCTCTTTTGCATCTTCATTAGTTGGTGGAATGGCCCTGCTTTGTGCAGTTCACATACTTAGTCCTTATCTTTATGTCCTGGATATTCCAGTATGCCATGATCTCCAGTGCATTGACCTACCTACAGCATTCAAAGAAGTTGCTGGCTTACAGGCGAAAAGTTGGCCATGAATCTTCGAGAGCCAACAAAACAATTTTTATGTTTAATATTCTGGGGTGAGAACTTAGGGCTGAATACATCTCTCAGTATGGCAGTTAGTGCTACATTTGAAGACCATGTAAGTAAAAAACTTTAAAAAATACATTATTCTAATTCATTATTATTTATTAAGTACACTTCTCAACTTGCAGCCCCTACTTCATTTTATTTAATTCTATCATAATTTATTTATTTACAATGAAAAAAAAATCATGAAACATATATTAATTAAAACTGAATATTTATAAAGTTCATTGAAACAAAATATTTAAATATTGATTTCATTTTAAAAGTTTGGTACATTATACCAAGTAAAAAAGTTATAAAACTGAATAAAAAGGTGTCAGTAAATTCAAAATAAAGCTTGCTAAAGGAAGTATTTTTTATCACAAAATATATTATTTACATGTATACTTTGGGAAATATTTAATATCAAACATGCAATCCACCAAAATGCTTAATAATTAAATTGAATTATTATTTGTACACATTCCACATTACAGGACAAACATTATAAAAATAGTAAGATGGAAACATACCAAATATTGGCCACACAATCAATGGTTTTCTTCCATATGTATCAGACCATACACCAAGAAACATTGAGAGTATGGCAGGAGTGACGGATTCCATTACACTTTTTACAGTTAGCACAAATGTTGCATATTTTTGCACATCTTCCTCTAACATTCTTGTGGCATTAGATCTAATTGGAGACAAAAAGTCTTTGCATTCCTCCTTTGTGTGATTTAAAGAATGAACACATGTCCGATAAAAAATTATGTTGCTAATGGAAGCACCTGAAGGGAAATAAAAGAAAAGTGTCTCACACTAAACATTTCAACAAATTACTTTCAAGACACCCAATAATAATGGAAGAAATCTTTTGTTGTTTAATCAAGATTTTTTTAAACATTTTACTATTCATTAGGAAACATAATTTAAACAATAACTTACCAGCCATTGACAACCCAAGCATACACAAAAATAAAGGCAATTCAATTGTAGCTTTAAAGGGTCTTCCGGGAGGACCTCTTATTATAACGGTTGATCTTTCTTGTTCAACAGAATCTTCTGTGTTCGCCATTATTAATAACACAGTCTATATATCTTTAACTAATTAAAATACAAAATTAACTAATGAATTTATATTAAATACATTTGGGATATATTACAAATACGCAAGATATATTACAATACGTTACTAAGGTATCGACAATATTATTAGACTAGGAAGCTGACTTGGCTGCAGAAAATGTTATTTGGAAATTGTTAATTTTCAACCAGACCAGACACCTCAACGTGTAAATTAAGTATTGTTATTAGATTTTTATTAGATTTTTCATTTTTCATTTCTATGTATCAAATAAAACATGGCACAATTGAAAGCAGAACATATTATTCCGTATTTGATAATTTTCAACAATCAATATAAACAAAACAAAATAACAATTCACAAACATATCAATGGGCCAAATATTCATAAACCTTGATTCCTTTTGCCTAATGTGTTAATTCAAGTGCACAGAGAGAATGTAATCACTACCTGAGAGTGCATTGCGATTTAAGATTTGTGAACAAAGAGTACTTTTATATATCTGTTTATGAATTTATGATTGTCAATTTCATTGTATTTATTTTAATTGTCAGTTCGCTAGCAATCAAACAAAATGTGAACTTAGTGGTTATATTTTTTTTTTTTTGGATTTTATGGCCCGGTATCAAGGACCTTTAGGCCAAGTCTTAATTTATATGCACATCACTTCACTTTATTTTCTTCGTTATTATAGCTTCTTGAAAGTATTTTTAATATATTTGTATATTGGATAATAGGTCTCTTTAATTTTTAGTAATTCACACAAGCGGCGGGTTCACAAATTCTCGCCATAAGTGCATTATATCTTTTCTAATACTTTGAAAACAGTCAGTAAACGGAATTTGCATAACTGAACTTACGTCTAGCTTGTGGCGGCCTGTCCACAACTGACATCACAGCTAATCGCCGTCACACGGCGAGCCGTTATTTTGAATACTCTCGGGCGCCTTCGTGCATCGTCGACCGCGCTCGGGTTTTCGCTGGACGTCAGTGATTTTGCGTACGTGACTTGAGGGGGGTCTGCCGTCCGCCGCGCGATTGCTATAACGTCTATGTTCCTAGCTGTAAATTCCAAATTGTAATTGTAAATATATATATTCAATGTGGAGTTAGTATATCTTACAGTTCCATCCTACTAACCCACAAGTGGTGACCCCGAGAACTATAAAATCTGTAACGTTTGTTTATTTTAACTTAATTCCTTGACGATAACTTTCAACGGCCATTTTGAACAATGTCTCGCAGCAACGAACATTCCACCGGTCTACATACGGCGAGCGACCCCGCTTTGTTTCGTGTTTCAACACCATTAGAAGAGCTATATAGGAAGATCGACATGCTCACGCAAAGATTAGACGCAATCTCAATGTCTAGTCAACGAAATCACTCCAGAGCTAGATCTAGTTCCTGTCAGCGACACCGATCCCGTTCCCGACAAAAACCTCGTGCTAGTGGTGTGTGTTGGTACCACCACAGATTTCGGGGAAATGCGAAGAAATGTATCCAGTCGTGCAATTACTTAAAAAACGAATAGGACAGTCGCTCGTAGCGGCAAGTGACTGTTTTCCTACGACAAGCCGCTTATTTATAACAGACCAAACGAGTAAGGTGCAATTTCTAGTGGACACAGGTTCCGATTTGTGTGTGTACCCTTTAAAGTACTTGCGTAATGAGAAGCGGCATAAGAATGACTATGAACTTTGTGCAGCCAATGGTAGTAGTATAGCAACATATGGATGGACTAGTTTATCGCTCAATTTTAATTTACGTCGAAGTTTCAACTGGCGTTTTGTGGTTGCTGACGTTACCAAACCTATAATAGGCATTGACTTTTTATCTTTTTATGGTTTGCTAGTGGATGCTAAGAATCACCGCCTCATAGATAGTATTACTCAGCTTACTATTAATGCTTCTCCTGCTACTTGTGCTATGTTTTGTATAAAAGCTGTTGCAGGCTCTACCCGTTTTCACTGGTTGCTGCAGCAGTTTCCAGGCATCACTAGACCTATTGGGGCCCCTATGGAGCGCGAGGTGAAGCACAACACGCTTCACTATATCCATACGACCCCTGGCCCACCTGTGACCTGTAGACCCCGTCGACTTGATCCTGACCGGCTTAAAATAGCACAACTGGAGTTCGAAGACATGGTTCGTTCAGGTATTGCGCGTCGTTCAAAAAGCTCTTGGTCATCCCCGTTGCACATGGTGCCTAAGAAAAACAACGGTTGGAGACCATGTGGTGATTACCGCGCCTTGAACGCCCGAACTATCCCGGACAAGTACCCGGTTAGAAATATTGGTGACTTTTCCCACATTTTACAGAATTGTAAAATATTCTCCACCATTGATTTAGTCCGCGCATATAACCAGATTCCTGTTGCTCCTGAGGATATACCAAAGACAGCCATAGCGACACCCTTCGGATTATTTGAATTCGTTTATATGAGCTTTGGATTGTGCAACGCTGCACAAACACTACAAAGATTTATGGATGAAATTTTATCAGATTTTCCTTTCTGCTTTCCATATCTTGACGACATTCTAATCGCTTCGAAGAGCGATGAGGAACATGAGCATCATTTACGCTTGATCTTCGAGTGTCTCCAGAAGCACGGTGTACTCGTCAACTCAGCCAAATGCGTCTTCGGAAAACCTGAGGTGACGTTCTTGGGCTACACAATCTCGGCAGAAGGTACAAAGCCACTCCCAGAAAAAGTAAGAGCTATACAAGACTTTCCGCAGCCAACCACGATAAAAGAGCTTCGTCGTTATCTTGGTATGCTCAACTTTTACCGCCGTTTCATACCGCATGCTTTTTTTTTTTTTTTTTTTTTTTTGGTATCGGGGGGAAATCTTCAAAAGATACCCTGTCACTTTACATGACAGGGTTATGTGGGGTTCTTACCCACTAAAACCCCCTCGGTGGCCACCTTCTGTACATTTGGAGGGACTCCGGGATCTCCCATGGAACGCACCGGTGTCCCTCGGTACTACGCCTGAGCACGCCTCGGAGAAGGATAAACCTTCTACAATCCCCTCATCCTCTTACAGCAACACGAGACCACTTCGTGCTGCTGCCCATCCGTGTCCCCTTTTAGTCGCCTTTTACGACAGGCAGGGGATACCTTAGTCCTATTCTATAAGCCCGAGACTACAGGGCTGACGGAGCGGCTCGTCCGTTTCTACCACCCGCGCGCCTTCGTCTCCGAGCGGGGTCGGCCCTCTCCCGTTCCCGCTCAGCGATCTCCTTCTGGAGCATGACTGCTTCGCAGAAGGAGACCAGTGCCGTCCAAGCAGATTTCTCCATCAGTGCAGCCGCCACTGCAACTGGTGGAGAAAGGTCCTGCCCGATCTTTTGGACCAGGATCCGACGTTCTGACTCCCAAGCGGGGCACTCTGCAAGAGTGTGTTGCGCGGAGTCCCGGTCCCCACCACAATGGTGGCATTGCGTTGTCGGTTCGCGTCCAATTCTATTTAGGGTACTCACCAAAGCATCCGTGCCCGGTGAGCACCTGCGTCAACCGGAAGGTGACGTGCGCGAATCCCCTCGCACTTAGCCAGGCTTCGAAGCTGGGCAGGAACGCAGTGACGATTCGTTGGCGCAAGTTCCGAGCTTCTCCCAAGCGCTCGCGCCAAATCTCCAACCCGCGTGTACGCTCCTGCTCCCGCACCTCTCCCGCATCCAGGGGCTCGGCATCATCCTGAGGTAACCGGAGGCGAGTATAAACTCGCGCATCCATCTCCGCCAGGATGTCCAGTGGTGGAAACCGAGCAAGGATAGTGGCCGCCTCAAAGGATATCGTTCGATACCCTCGTGCGATCCTGATGGCTATTCTTCGCTGCAGGCTATAAAGTTTAGACCTGCAGCGTCGGACACCCGTTAGTCGGTGAGACCATACGGGCGCCCCGTAGAGGGCCATCGATCGCAAGACTCCCGCATAGAGGCGGCGAACTCCCTCCCTGGGGCCCCCGAGATTAGGCAGGGCAGTAATTTGTGCATAGCACCTACTACCTTCTCGATACGGGGGGCCAAGCGATTGAAGTGCTCTTCGAAGCCCCAGCGACTATCCAGAGTGAGACCAAGATATTTCATCACCGGTCTCACCTGGATCTGCACGTCACCCACGCGAACCGACCAACTGGGTGGATCCTTTCCTCTTCGAAGTTTATGGAACCACAGCGCCTCGGTCTTATGAGGCGCTATCCGAAGTCCCAGCTTGTGAATTTTATCCACGACGCATGCCACCCCAAGCTCGGCGAGCCGACTGGTGCTCTCGAAGCTCTCCCCTTCGGCAATTACCAAGGTGTCATCTGCATAGCAGACAACGCTTACACCGGCGGGGAGAACAATACGCAGGACTGCGTCGTAAGCGAGGTTCCAAAGCAATGGTCCCAAAACGGAACCTTGTGGAACCCCGCAGTTCACCTCCCTCCTATGGACTAACGAGTCCCGACCCACATACTGGATGCACCTACCGTGCAAGTACGCCCCGATAATGCGCTGAAGATAGGGTGGTACCTTATGGTAGGCCAGTGCTTCCCTGATTGTACCCCAGGGTAGTGTATTGAAGGCATTAACAATATCTAAACTGATCGCTAAGGCCACACCTCCCTGGGTAATTGCGCTCTGTGATTGGTCACGCACGCGAAGGATTGCGTCCACAGTTGACCGCGCCTGCCTGAAACCATATTGGCTGTCGGATAGGTCGGGGCCTACCTGACGTAGGTGCCTTTTGAGGCGGTCGGCAATTATTCGTTCAAATAGTTTGCCCGCCTCATCCAGCAAACAAATGGGTCGTCGACGCTGAGACAGCTATTGAAAAGTCGCCTCAGTCTCCCTTCCAGACCAGCGGCGAGAGCTAACACCCACACCCGACCATGAATCCCGTCAGGGCCTGGTGCGGTGTTACGGCTTCTAAGGCGCTTGATGGCTCGGTCCATCTCCTCTTGAGTTACCCCCAATTCGTCAGACCAGTCAGTCTGGTCCAACGTTATGTTGGAGGACTCAGGGTTTTCGTGGATCACAGGGAAGAGCGTATCAATCACTCTTCCCACAAAAATTGGATCCAGGGTCTCCGTCAGTGGAGGGACCCATGGTCGGAGCTTGCCCAGTACGATCTTGTACGGTCGTCCCCATGGATCCCTGTCCAGACCCTCGAGGAGTTCACTCCAAGACCGAGCCTTAGCTTCCTCAATCGCCTTTTGTAGTGCCTTTGTGGCGCCTCTATAAGTCGTGTATGCCCTCGCCTCCTCTTCGGCTGTGACTCGCCGTCTTCTTCGGCACCTGTAGTACTGGCGTCGAGCGCGCAGACAGACTACTCTCTGCCGAGCAATGGTTTCCGACCACCAATACACCGCTCTTTGTCCGAAGGACCGGGTTCGAGGCATCGATACATCACAAATTGACGCCATCGTAGCTCGAAACCAGGCCGCCTCCTCCTCAGGGTCGGGCAAGACTCGGTCATAGTGATCCTCTGGCCAGGCCGCAACGATTGCTGCGGCCTCGAGCATATCTATGTTGAGGCGCTTGAGGGACCAATATCGCGGGCTGCAGTGTTGAACACCACATATTGGTGGGGTGAGTGCCATATCCAATACGATATGGCGGTGGTCAGAAAGTGTAACTAGTTCCTCCGCTACCCGCCATCCCGACACCATGCGAGTGGCAGAAGGAGTGGCCCACGATAAGTCCACTATCGATTCCCCCTGCCACCGCACACATGTACTGATAGACCCCCGATTTAAGAGTCGGAGATCCAGTCCAGCTGCCCATCCCTGCAATGTCTCTCCCCTTGCATTATCCCGGGTAGAACCCCATGCTCTAGAATGAGCGTTGAAGTCACCCAAAACAAGGATAGGACCATGCAGGCCTGTGCGAATGCATCCACCTACTTCATCTAGGTAGTCCTCGTACGCAGTAAGGCTGCAATTGGGAGAGACATAGCAGCCTACCACGGTAAGTGTACCCCATTTTACGGCAACGAAGCCTGATCCCCTTGCTAACAATGAACACGATGGGTCCCTAGTGTCACCAGCCCAATATACAGCGACGGAGCCTCCATCGTCCCCAAACCAGCGAGGGTGCTCTGGGATCCGGTATGGCTCTGCTATCACCGCCAATGCAACCGACCACTCCGCGAGGGTTTGCAGTAGCAGGTCCTGCGCCGCGCGGCAGTGGTTCAGGTTTGTTTGGAGGAGCTTCACGTTTCTGTCGTAGGTGAAGCCTCCATAGCCTCCGGGGCACATGTGGCCATAGGTGGTGGAGCCTGCTTACTCCCCCTTCCTTTTGACTTCCCTTTGGGTGCGCAGGCTTTTGAACCCAATCGATGATCAGCAGGACGTCCAAGATCCATACATAGTGGACACTTCAAAACGCCTGATTTGCATTGACTTGCCTTGTGCCCAGGTTCACCGCATGAATAGCAGCGCGTGCTACGATCCACTTCATTGGGGCACCGGCTACGTACATGTCCCGATTCAAGGCACCGATAGCACTGTAGTGACCGTTGTGCTAGGACTTGTAGCCTAGCAGCAGTCCACCCTATACGAACACTTTTCGCTGGCGCCAGCTTACGCACCACTGCGAGAGGGCATCGCACCCATATGGACCCGAGACGTAAGGGTGTTCGATGAATTTCACCAACTTTTACGTCCGTGACTAAACATCCTCCCGCTTCAGCCACCGCCGCTGCCACTTCTGTTGGAGTGACAGATTCGTCCAAATCCATTACTCTCAATTCTCCGGTTTTCACTGGACGTGCGATGTGCACGTCCATTTCGGCAAGGACTTCGCGCATTTTGGCAGCTAATTTGTCAGCCTTAGCACCGCTGTCCGGACCAGTTATCTCTAGTTTTAAAGCCCCAGTGATTGCTCTCCTCGTTCGGACTGTTTCGATGCCGCAGTCTGTCAGGTCCACCTTTTGTTTAGCTGCTGCCATGACTGCCGCATACAATTTTTCACTGTGCTCTGGCACAGTGACCGTTATGGCCGCTGAGTTGGGCAGTCTTCCCAGCTTTGCCGCTTTTATGGCTGACTTTGGGTCCTTCATTTTCCCCGGCATTTTCTTCGGTGCAGCCTCCTTTTGTGACGAAGTCATCTTATTCATAAACACCTTCGTAGCCGCTCTCGTAGCTTTGCGACTCGTCACAACCGCCCAAGATTGCGATGGTAGTGCACTTTCCTCTGTTATATATTCAGGAGGAGTTGTAGCCATTGCTTGATCTTGCTGAGTGCACTTTTCATTGCCAAGTCTCCCCTTTTCTTTACCCAATGGTTTCGCTGATTGTTCAGACTTCTTCGAGGTTCCTTTCCCAACGAAAGCCGCCAGTTTTTTGTCAATGAGCACGCTAATGCGCTCCATCAGCCGACTTTCAAAGTCTCCTTCCGTAATACGTTGGGGCGGGCGGCTTAGTTGCTTTACATAGCTCTGTTTTTCGTAAAGCGCTGAGCTCCTCCGTCAACTTTCCAACCTTCGCTGTAAGCTCAGCGATTTGAGAGCGAAGTTCAGCATTCTCGCGCTCCAACCTTTCGACACTTGTCGCCTGGCGTTTCGGCTCCGGAGCTTTTAGCTCTTCCGGAGACTGCTGTTTTGCCTTCCTCCGTTTTCTACTCACTTGAGAGGCCGTTGATCTAGCCGAATCTACCGACATGATGGAAGAGTCCGACTCTGCTCCTTCACTTCTTATTTCGGGAGCAACTAAGCCCCGTGCCACGAAACGTCCCGTCTTTGGGTCACGAACTGCCGAAGCAGTTCCAGAGCCACTTTCGCCCATAGCACTTTCCTTTCCTTCCGCGTTTTTATTAAGGGTTCTAACTTTTTTCATAACAGATCCCACGAGTATGGGGGAATTATTCAGTCCATCCAGGCAGTGCCCTCCTGTGCCTGGGTAAGCCTACATACACCCAGGGGTCGGCCGGTGCCTGGGGTCGAGTAGCAGTAGTGATTGACAACCCCTCAACCATGCATCTCCTCGCGCTGCTCTCACCGCTTGAGATTGGGGGTTATTTTATAGAGGCTTTCTCCTCTTGGCCCAGCCAATGAAGGCAAGGCCCTCGTTCCTGTTCAAAGCCGCGAGACATGACCACAGCACTTTGAACAGGTTTACGAGTTCCACGCGCATTCCCACGTCGTGGTCGACGGTGGCGACGAGACCGTTGTCGCATCGCCCGCTAAGTGACAGGGTTAGTGAACACAAAGCCCGCCCTTGTTTCTCCAGTATGTCTTCTGCTGATCAGAGGAACACCCGGAGAAACGCCCACCCGTCAGATTATTCGCTACCAGTCAGTGGCCACAAAGGCCACTGACTGGTACCCGGGGTGCACCACGAGGAGGTTATCTGACAAAGCACCCCTCATACCGCATGCTGCTCAAATACAAAGCTCGCTTAATTGCTTACTTTCTGGGCCTAAAACAAAAAGCAAAGCTAATATTACGTGGACTGCTGAACTTTCAAAAGCTTTTCTGGAATGCAAAAATAGCCTCGCTAAAGCTGCACTTCTTGCACATCCATGTCCGAAGTCCGAACTCGCAATTTTCTCGGATGCCTCGGACGTTGCGATTGGGTCAGTTATCCAACAACGTGTTAACGGCGCATGGCAAACTCTTGGCTACTTTTCTAAAAAGCTTAGTACAGCGCAACGCAAATATAGCCCCTATGCTCGGGAGTTATTAGCTATCTACGAAGGTGTTAGGTATTTTAGATACATGTTAGAGCTAAGGCCTTTCATAATTTATACAGACCATAAACCTATCACTTTCGCCTTCGAAAAAATCGCTTGACAAATGCTCACCGCGTCAATTCCGATACTTAAGACTTTTTAAGTCAGTTCTCCACAGACGTGCGACATATTACTGGAAACGACAACTTAGTAGCGGACACATTATCACGACCCTGTGAATCAATCAGTACTCTCGATTACAGCGCACTGGCAGCCTCACAAAGTACTGACGGTGAACTGCAAGCATGTCTGCAAAAAGGTACATCTTTAGACCTTAAAAAGATTACTATACCCGGCTGTAAACAGGCTATTTATTGTGACGTATCCACTGCTACTCCCCGTCCATATATCACTCCTGAGTTCCGTCATCAGATCTTCAACATAATTCACGGATTAAGCCATCCAGGGGCCAAAGCGACTACAAAGCTTCTTACTCAACGTTACGTTTGGCCCGACGTACGTAGAAACTGCCGTGAATGGACAAAATCGTGCCTCCATTGTCAGCGTGCTAAAGTTAGCAGACACATAAAGTCACATGTGCAAGACTTTATACTTCCTACTCAACGTTTCTCACAGGTACATGTCGATTTAATTGGCCCGCTCCCGTCATTTCACGGATATCAATACTGCTTAACAGCCGTGGATCGTTTCACCAGATGGCCACAAGTCATACCTTTCACGGACATAAAAGCAGAAACCGTGAGCAGAGCCTTTATTTCTGGATGGATTTCTAGATTTGGTTGTCCGGACAAACTAACAACCGACCAAGGTCGGCAATTTGTTTCGGACATTTTTCGACGACTGTCGCAAATGACAGGTACGCGCCTAGTACATACTACGGCCTACCATCCAGCTGCAAACGGCCTCGTGGAAAGGTTCCACAGGCAATTAAAGGCCGCAATCATGTGTCACGCTAATGACAACTGGATAGAGGTGCTTCCTTTGGTTCTATTAGGAATTCGAACCGCGTGGAAAGAGGACCTGTCTGCTTCGACGGCCGAGTTAGTCTACGGAGAACCTTTGCGTTTGCCTGGAGATTTCTTTCAATCTTCAACGCAAGATGCTGTGCCGGACTACTCAGACTTCGTTCAAAGACTTCAAAGTCATATGCGCACCATCCAACCATCACCTGTTACCCGACATGGAACACCGAAAGTTTTTGTGCACAAGGACTTGTCAACCGCGACACATGTTTTCTTAATGAAAGACTGTGTTAAAAAGTCACTTCAGTCACCTTACACAGGGCCATATAAAATAATTGAGAGAGGCGACAAAGTCCTTAAATTAGAGATAAATGGCAAACAAATATCCGTTTCCATTGATCGCGTTAAACCAGCCCATATAATGCAAGAGGCAATCGTAACAACAGATTATCAAAAACTTCCTCTTAAAACAAGATCCGGCCGAACGGTAAAGTTTACTGATTTTTATCGACCTTAAGGTCTGGAGGGGGGCTGGTGTGGCGGCCTGTCTACAACTGACATCACAGCTAATCGCCGTCACACGGCGAGCCGTTATTTTGAATACTCTCGGGCGCCTTCGTGCATCGTCGACCGCGCTCGGGTTTTCGCTGGACGTCAGTGATTTTGCGTACGTGACCAGGGGGGAGTCTGCCGTCCGCCGCGCGATTGCTATAACGTCTATGTTCCTAGCTGTGTAAATTCCAAATTGTAATTGTAAATATATATATTCAATGTGGAGTTAGTATATCTTACAGTTCCATCCTACTAACCCACAAGCTCATTAATACCCTCATAGGCTGCCCTGTCCGCAATTTCGTTACCCGTAATTCCTTTATGTGAGGGCACCCACATAAAGGCTACCTCGATGCTTTTACTAGCGTATTTAACTAAATAATCTTTAATATTATACACTAAATAACTCTTTTTATAGTCTATCTTATTACTTACAAGACAATTAAGTAAACTAAGGGAATCAGTCACTATCAAAAAATATTTACAAAAATGAATATTTGCAATTCGTTTTATTGCTTCCAGGACAGCATATGCTTCAGCGGTAAAAATAGAACAGGTTGTGCTTAAATTAAAGCTCTGCACAAACTTAGTTTGAGGGTCATACACTGCACTTCGTACATGTGATTTACCTTTGCTTCCATCGGTATAAAAATGGTAATACTTTTCATTTTGCTCTAAAAAATTTAAATAGTCTATTTATTATAGTTAACATTTGCTCCAATAATCTGAACTGGAAATAATAAATTACTATAAGAACCTATGTAACATGGCCATAAGGGTTGCTTAAATATTGTAGAATAATTGTTTTGGATTTCCAGAAAAACATGACACAACTTAGGATATACCCCTGCCAATAATTTACATCCTGAAGTTAGAGAACCTTGAAAACAAATGGAATGAGCTAAAATCTTTTTAATGATTAGTGGATTCTTTGAAGCAATAACTTTAGCAAAATATCTTTCAGCTATAAGTAATCTTCTCAAACAAAGTGGTTCAATTTTAAAATTAAGTAATCTTCTCAAACAAATTAAGTAATCTTCTCAAACAAAGTGGTTCAATTTTAAATTGTGTTCTCGACGTAATAACACGAAACACTTGAGTTGTACGCGACGTTCGAAAACATGTTCATATTTTAGGAGTACAAATATGAAACAGATACTGATTAGAAATATTTGAGCTTGGCACATCACCGCTAAACGGTCGCTGAGCACTTTCCTATATCCAAAATTAAATATATGATTTTTACAACATGAAATATTTATAGTTTATTATTACTCAAACATGCTAATATAAGTATATCGAAGTCGCTTCGGATTTATAAGGTCGAGCATTTGCACAAAAGTTGTCAGCAGTTTCACTGGAAAGTTAAACAAAAGAATTTATATACTCAGTTGGTTATTTAATAAGTTCTGTCTGTTAAAATATGTAGAAAATTAAAATATGTAGAAAAAGTGCGAAAAGATTGTCGCCGCTGTGGGAATCGAACCCACGCCTTCGGCATTCGCGGCCTGACGCTCTAGCCACTGAGCTAAACGGCTGATTACCACACCGACGAAAATCTTAACGCATTCTTCCACATTGTTTTCTTAGCATTTGAAGCAATGCTTGGCGCCATCTATTGTTATATCCTTTCCAGCATACAAACAATTTCGAATATCGTTTTACAACGATAATTCGAACGCGAGATGTCGCCATTGCTTTTTTAGAAATTTAAATTGTTTATAGTGCTAATCTTTGCACTTAAGATTGAACATTAAAATATGTAGAAAAGTTCTGTCTGGTTTTCGAATGATTTATGAAATGTATGAAATTTATGAAAATTTAGTTTCTTTATTTTTCTATATTGAGTCCTCTTAAATACCGAGTTGTGGTTCGTCGCGTTGCATCAATGCGGTAACGCACTAAAGCAGATTTTCGAACGACTGAAAAATATTAATATAACCAATAGATTTCGCTCCATTAAATGATATATTTAATGAAAATTCAAGTGTAGAAGACAGAAAAAGAAGTGGTCACCCTCGTACTGTTACGACTATGTGATAAAGGCTGTGAAGGCGCGAAGGGCATTTGGCCCTTGAGATGTGGTTAAGGAGGACCACTACCAACATTGTGTTTAATGAAGACTAGGGCTAAGAGCTTATCGAAGAAAAACAGGACATCTTTTGGATGAAATTAACTAGACTTGCAGTTGTGTATCAAAACACAGTCCCCACAAACCCGGTGGAACTTCTTTCTCAACAAACACTGGGTACTACACCATGTTCAATAACAGACATTTGGTATTCCAACGAGATTCTGCGCCTCGTTGTACAAAGCGAAAAGTACGAAAAGATTTCCTGCCTGGCGAGTGATATTAACCTCATCCGACCCGAAGACTGGCCTTTCTCCATCCACTTAGGTCCGATGGATTATGACCATTGATAATTTTTAACAAAAAAACCGACTTCAAACAGGACACTAAAAACATTGTTAATATCTATTAACATTTGAAGATTGCCTTCGATTTCTCTGGGATGCCATCATCAGATCCCGGTTTCCTTATCAAGGGTGGTACCCTTGGCATATCTCGCCAACAAACAAGAAATTACTTTAAAAAACTTTTAAATTAAACGGTTTTATTTTATGTTTCTTTTTTGTTAAATTTTTTTTGTTAATATTGTATTGTCATCTAAATTAAATGTGTGTACCAAATTTCAGATCAATCTGACAACGGCAAGGTGCTTAAATTTAAATTTCTAATTTTGACCCAAATAAATAAACAAACAAATTCGAGCTAAATAAAACCGTTTAAAAATAATCATCAATATCGGTTTATAAATGACGTACTTATCCGCGAACATACATAAAAAAATAAAAATATATACAGTCGAATTGAGAAACCTTCTTCTTTCTTGAAGTCGGTATAAAATATGGCACTTGGAGGAAAAGGCCCGCTAAAAGCCCCGTCCTGATTTTGTCACTCCAAATCAAAGAAGCCACGTATATGTACCTCGTTCGTGCTTTAGACGACCCAACCCGAAAGTTTTACCTATGTATGTGTGTATACATAAATTGTGTAATTATGAATTAACTAATAGCTGCCCGCGACTACGTCTGCGTAGAATAGGCTGAAAGTGTATCATTAAGACAGAAAGACATATATACATAAAATATGTATATAAATTATAGCCTATGTCTTATTCTGATGTATAAGCCGTTGTATGTTGCGTATGTTGACGACCCGAATGGCGTAGTCGGTAGTGTACCTGCCTTCTGAGCCAGAGGGTGTGGGTTCGATCCCCACTACTGGAAAAATATTGTGTGATTGAATTGTGTGATTGATTGTGATTGACTGAAAAATATTGATGAGCATAGTATTTTTCTAGTATCTGGGTGTTTATATATGTATAATGTGTATTTATTTACAAAAGAAAAGTATGTTTAAGTATGTCTATCAGTTTTCTAGTACCCATAGTACAAGCATTGCTTAGTTTGGGACTAGAGAACGTTGTGTAAAAATTTGTCCTAATTTATTTTTTAAGCTACATTATTGTAGTTTCATTAAAATCCATTCACGAAAATACTATTTCGTGAAAGAGTAACAAACATCCATCCGTACATACAAACTTTCCCCTTTATAATATTAGTAAGGATGTTAGGAAGTGACATATATAACATAATATAGAAATTTCAATGAATTGCCACACCAAGGTTGTCTGATAAATAATGCTGTGATGGTATTCAGTTCTTTGTTTATTTGTTCGTAAAGAATAAATAAAGGTTTAAATGAAATTCACTACCTTTGACAAAATATTTAATATAAATGTAAAAATTCCGCACTAATTTTATCATTATCACAAAAAACATATCACATTTTGACCTTTTATCGCTGCCGAGGGCCGTCTGTTTCTTTTTCTAGGTATAAATTTTTTCCAATTGTCATAACAACATTTAAATACTTACACAATTTAATTATGTTTGCTAAACTGTTACATGCGGGAGTATTTTAAAAATATGTATATAATATCTCCTTCGTTAAAAAAAGTGTAAATATCAAACTAATAATTACTTTAGCATTTTATGTTGATATATTTTGAAAATACGTCCTTAAAAGCAAATACTACCTAAGTCATTATTTGATTTAAATATTATATATTGTAGGTTGAAGCAAATATTAAATCAACTAAAGTTAACTAAAGTTAAACACTGTTATTTGTGAGAATCAGACAAGTTTTAGATTTTAGTCTAAAACCAAAAGCACCAGTATTTAAAACTTACATACTACGCGTATAGTATAATAAAAAAATTAAGACGACGAGTCTTCTTCCTCCAATTGTTGGAAATTTCCTTGAGATCTTCCTTTCCAAATGAAATATTGCACAAACCTGCAACAAAAATTACATACTTATATCCATTTTACACTTCTCTACAGTTTACCTTGTACAGAAAAATTAACATAATTTACATCGCAAGGATCTTATGCTTATGGTACGGAAAAGACATACATGAAATACGGAATTTTGTTAAATTTACATTATTGAATGAAGTTACCTTGAATAATAAAGAAAATATGGCATTATTTAGACTTCAAACATACACAAACATACCAAGTGTTTTTAAGCTAAGACATAAAGATATTATTACATACTCTTTTTTTTTTAATTATGTGTTATTCTTTTCTTTTCATTTTCCAATACCCAGAAGGGAGATAAATTTAAATCATTTGAAGGTAAAACAATAATATACACATTACTTTTTATCTTGACTGATCATAAATGAACGTAATATCAGTATATATAAATAAGACGAAAGAACATCTTGATAAAAATGCATACGGTTTTGTTAATTTTACTTTTCAAAACGAACTATCTACTATTTACAGTTTTGCACAGACAACATACAAAAAGAGAACGCGGACTTGCATAAACCGGTCAAGTAAAACAAGACCTGCAACAAGAAATATAAGGATACATGCGAAAAACCTGATTTGGATTCTCCATTTTCTGTAGTCGCAAAACTTGTCGTTTTAAAGAAAATAAACTTTGAATTTTGATAAATATTTATCAACAAAATTCATTTAAAAATCGCAGTTCTGCTTTACCAACATTTTATCTATACATTTAACTAGAAAAATAACTATAGATAGAACGAAACATTTATCATTTTACCCGTTTAAACACTGCTTGTTAAACATTTCATAACATATGCATGGATATCCTGTTTGCTACGTAATTCAATCTATAATTTGTTTCCAGCATTGTTGTACATAATTTTGCAAATCTTTTCTTTTTAGGGTTCCGTGTACAAAGGGTAAAAAGGGACCCTATTACTAAGCTCCGCTGTCTGTCAATCTGTCAGTCCGTCTATCACCAGGTTATCTCATGAACCGTGATAGTTAGTAGTTGAAATTTTCACATATGATGTATTTCTGTTGCCGCTATAACAACAAATACTAAAAAACATTATAAAAAAGTATTTAAGTGCCGCCTATACAAAAAACATAATTTGTTTGCCGTTTTTATAGATAATGGTACGGAACCCTTCGTGCGCGAATCCAACTCGCACTTTACCGGTTTTTATTTAGCACTTTGATCACCTCCCTCAGTCTCGTTTAAGTGGACAAATAATATTAATTGAATTTTCCATTAATCGCGTAGGACGCACAATTCTTCAATTCAGAGCGGTGGAGAAGGCATTGACCCTTCGTTCTTACTTCTACATATACAGTGGAAAGTTGTGGAAAACGTTTATACGAATGTTTAATATTGAATAATTTGAAATGACGCACTTTAACGACTGAAAAATTCCACTTATTGATATAAATTATTGTTCGGATAGATCAATGGTGTACGTGGATACTTTGCCAAAGGCCGTTGACGGTTAGATGACACTGGACGATATAATCCCCAGTGTTCAGAGTCCTATATGTACCGTGTGGTGTTTAAGATTTTCATGTTTGTGAAAGCATCCGAAATAGAGGCATTATTTTCCCATGGCCTTGCCCCGTGGGAAATAATGGCTTGCGCATTTCTCTTTAGTAAAAAAAATATTTAGAATCGGTTTTAGTCATTTTTGACGTTCTTACCAACAAACATTCATTCCTAGCTTAATCGGATTACATGATTTAGATCGACATTTATTACCACTTCTTCGATGGATCCTTAGTAACGACCTGTTAAGTCCATTTCAATCTCCACCACTTAAAAGTGACTGGCGATATTAGGCCTAGTACGTAAAATACTCATATGTTATATTATTATACAACAGTGATTTCAGTATTTTCTTTTCTAATATTTGTTACATTGACTTTTCTAATGTCTTTAATACTGTATCTATATCAGTCACGTCATGCTTTTTACCAGCGGTGCTAATGTGGTTTTCATCATATCAAGGGCGCCAGCAGTCGAATAATGTCGGTTATTCGTCATTAAGCTGGCTTACACTCGGTGTCTGAAACTCGGATCATCGTATGTCATTTGAGTGGCCAAAAGGATGCTTAAGCTCTTTGAATCGATCATTCTGAACATTAAGAAGATCATTCTGGTCAATTCAGAGAGTTTAATCATCTTTTTGGCAACTAAAATGAAATGTGAAAAGCCATTTAACAGCTGATTGGTTGACATCTATGATGATCAGTGTTTCAGAAACCGGGCGTTAATTAATATTAAGGTCCCTCTCTCCTCTTTTTAAATTGAGTCATCGTTACGCCGATGACCCATAACAATACATACGGTTGTCGCCGATAAGGCTATCGCAAAAGCCTAAGGTTAATAGAGACTATTGGCTGAATTTTTTTTCGATAAGTTTGGTTTAATTATCAATACACTAAAATGCTAAGCCACTAATTTGGAGTTCTCGATACTATAGTTAAATATATAAATAACGATCGTGCAGACCATAACATTCCTTACTATCGGCTGTGTGGTTCGGTCCGAATAAAAATAAAAAATTCGACCAAATTTCGATTCGATTCATTTTCGACCTTCATAAGTACTATCATGTCTTTCTATAACTCACGACTTTCTATGACAAAGAAATTCTTTGACAAATACTGCACCACACTGACAACAATTTATCTGTATACCTGCCTCAGTTTATCTGGAACATCCGTTGACCGGCAAAAATATGCATTTGCTATAAAATCCGCTTTTGTACATAGATGTTTTGTACTTAAAGTTTAAAACAAATATTTTTTTTAAACTATAAAATACTCATTGCCCCTAAAACTGCATACAATTTTTGCGAGAAGAAAAACACCTAACATGAACTTGAAAAATAAAACGACACATGCGTGATTGGAATAAAGATAAAAAAAGGATGTTTAGTGCAGTATTCAAAACACCACCGTATCAGAAATATACATCACATTGATAACTTCTTATTTCTTTATACATTTCGTTAATGCGTAATTTAGATAAACTTGGAGGTTTGTTGAGACACTTAAAATACATTTGCTTTTATAAACAATAATTATAACTTGCGCAGCGATAACATGTTCTTTTCATACCATAAATAAATAAATCCAGTCTTGTATGATGCATTGAAGAATTGGCCGCATCATATTGTTTTTTTCCAAAAGTTTCAAAGTTTTACTTTAGAATAACGTTATCCTGTGTTATAAGGACGAATTACAAAACATAAATTTCACACAGGCAAACAAATAGATGCGAAACAACTATCTGTGGTTCACACAAATTGTTGTGCCATGTGGGAATCGAACCCACGACGCGCGACGCCGTAACCAATACCTTGGCAACTGTAGCACGTAGTCATCCAAAATTCTATCCTATGAGGTAGCAGAACTAAGGTTTTAAAAACTAACAACGCTCTCTTACCCTAACAGAACAACGCAGAGTGCCGTAATTGCGCTGCTCAGCAAGTAGATGGCGCCAGGGAAGGACTTGATTGTGGTGGTGTAAAGCGAACTGTATATGGCCGGTGATATGAGCGGGGATATGCCTTCGATGGCGCATATGAGTGCAAACACCTTCGCGATGTCCTCCATTGGCAGCATCTTAGTTAACATGGAACGGATCAACGGCGCAGACAGACCTTTAAACAAGGAGACTCCGGCGCCTGAAATGCGAAACGAACCTGTACACATCACTACATAGTATAAAACAAAGTCGTCCCGCTGTCTGTCTATCCATATGTATGCTTAGATCTTTAAAACTACGCATCGGATCTTGATGCGGTTTTTTGTATTAGATAGAGTGATTCAAGAGGGAGGTTTATATGTATAATACATTGCACCCGTGCGGAGCCGGGGGAGGTCGCTAGTCGTAAAATTAATCAAAATAACAGACTATACATTACAGCATTATATGTTCCACTGCTGTGCAATGCCTGGGCCCCAGTTACTACACTTACGAGACGAAACTGGAAAATATAATACTTCCATTGCACGGGAGTCTTGTGTGACTTCTCTAGCCTTATGGCCCTAATATAGCGGTTTTTCCCTACCTTAAGTGTATTTCTTAAGTCTCGTTCACAGTGCTTATAATGCAATTAAGTTAAATTTACAATTTCATTGGTGCTGACAACGGGATTTGAACTCGTACCTTATCCGATTCTCTCAAATATACACAGCTCCTTCGACAGCCGGATAAAAATCACTCCAGCCTCAAGGAAATATAAGGATAGGAATAAAGCTATAAAAAGTTACTCAGAACACTCTGCCATAAATAACTACAAACAAACTTACCTAAGTACATATACCAAGTAGCAACAGCGAACGTCCTTATTAGATATTCGACGGAGGCCGACAAGAACGCTATAGACGAGAAAATCAGATCACTGACACGCAGCAATTTCTGCACCAAAATCACACCAATCAATGAACCGACAAATGAGATGGTCGTGCTCACTGCCGAGAAGGTGGTGTACTGCTGTATGGCCCAGTGGAGTTTTGTCCTGGTGTAATCGTATTCCAAGTTCATCATGCCGTACAGAATAAATATCGACAGGCTGTTCGCGAACGTCAAGAGGAGAATCTGGGCGCGCCCGTGGTTCGGCCTTCTTTGGAAACATTTCTTCACCATCTCCTTTATTAACGAAATGTCTAACACGGACGAGAGGCTGCCCTGCAATCGGAAAAAGGCTATGACAACAAGGGGGATTTTCAAGTTTTAGTACCGGAGCTTTTTTTAATTTCATACTTTCTCTGACCTGACCTTTTCTAATCTTACGTAAGATAAAACAAATCAGAATTTCTTAATCTAATTATAAGCGTTGATATTTGATATAATTAAAAAAAAATTAACAATTTACTTGAACGTCTCCATAAAGTTATTCAATCTAGTACTATAATTATTATAAATATTCTAGACAAATCCTTTTGTTATCCTCATAAGTTACTTGATAACGTCATACACAAACAACATTTATTAATATTTAATCGGTCAAATAGCGCGTTATCGCTAACATTATCTTCCACAAGCAGTAAAAATTGTATTTGTGGAATTATTATACAAGTCATGTATGACGGCTACAAGTTGGAACGCCAACATTAACCAACATTTGCATAATTAACACTATCTAAATCCATCGACTTAGATATTATGTAAAAACAATATTCTTTTTGTTTTTTTGTTTGATTTCGTTCTGTTTTTAATAATAATTAACGTGGACAGAAAAAAAACGGGAAATGATTATGCATAAGTTTAATAGCACATCATACCTTTGGACATAATCATAACAGACATTACGATTATCAATCCCAAACAATAATCGATGGATAGATTTATATAAATCTACCTTGTCTGACCTTTATATATGTATATCCATATCGAGTCTAATTTACTTGATTTGCTTCAGATTTATTATTAAAGGAAATAAAATAATAAAATGCTTCAGATTTACTATTGAAAGAAAAGTTAAAAAGAAAAGATCTGTTTACCAAAGATACACGAAAGAAACTTCGCACTCTCGCATATATACAACGGCTATTGAGGCAGAAAAGAAAAAGTTAATAAAACCTTGACTGCTCCGGGCAGCGACTCCTTTAGGAACACATTGCTAAAGGCGTAAGCAGTAACTTGTAGTGTCACAGTTATAAGTAACAGGTATACATTCCCGACAGCCCTCAGTACATATGAACTTGCCATAGACCCAATAACACTACCGATTGACACAGCAGCTTCTAATATAGTCATCCTAAAATTAATCGTTCCAATATAGTTTTTCTATTACAATATAAAATAATAACAAAAGCATAAGCAAGGCACATCACTCACATTCGCAGAAATCGTATTTATTTTTACCTAAATGACCTGTTTTCTACAGTGGTAATATCGCTCAGATAGCAAAATGCGCCTGTGAATAGTGAAGTGTAGCCACCCGTAAACGACATCGGTATAACAGTTAGAATAAGCCACCATGGCCCAAGGCCATCCAACATACTGTAGACAACGACTAATGCTCCACTAACTGACATACCTGCAAATAAAAAGGTCCATTAAAATACAGGGAAATGTATTTAAATTAACTGATATAAGAAAAAAAATTGAAAAAGGAATGCTTTGGTAATGAGCGCCTTGAACTTTGAAATAAAAAAACACAACCTGTCTCAGTGATATTGACACGTATTTTTTATTTTTAAAGACATTCGATGAAATTTTATCTAATACATAAAATTGTGGTGTCACAAATTTAGTGTTTATAGTACTCCGAAACGACTTGATCGATTTTGATGATTTTAATTTCTTTTTATTTTATACAGCAAGTAATTATGTAATATTATTGACTACGCTGTAGAAGATGCAAACTGGTGGACAAATTTTTGACGGTATCTTCACATAAATGGGGCTCAATTTAATGAAGAACAAGACGTAACTTGTCATTTTTTCCTCTTAAGAAGGGTCAGCCATCAAATGCTCTAAATACGAACCAGAGAATACACGGCGTTGTCCGTGGTCAGTTAATTATAAAAAAACAATAGATTGACTAATAACTACAATAAATGTTTAATACCTTGTAAAATAATATGATTGAAAATAAAGAAGTAAAGGTAACAGATTATATTAATACGTGAAGACATTTACGGCTCGAACATACATACCACGAACTTTTACGAATCGGTTTACTTCATCGTCTTCTATCTTCTTTCTTATCTTATCTTATATATAATAAAGAGGAAAGATTTGATTGTTTGTATGTATTGAATAGGCTCCGAAACTACTGAACCGATTTGAAAAATTCTTTCACTGCTGGGAAGCTACATTATCCCCGCTTGATATAGGCTATATAATATTTTCATAAAAATAGGGATCCTTACTAAAACTTCAATAATGTAACACAAAGTGTACAAAAATTACCTAAAATATTCTTTACATCGCGTGCGCTGCGAAAACTATTGATGATAGAATAAAATAATGTATTACAAATTTGCAGAACACATCATTATTTCCAAAAAGTGTCGCGAGAGCATATCTAACTATTATAGTTATGTCACAATAAGTGTTCCTTTATTTTAAAATTTTGATTGAAATGCCGCCGCTAGAAAAGGCTCTTTATTTGTATCTTAGTATTAATCCTTATAAAAATAAATTACTTCATATTAAAGACTGTTTCAATAGCTTTATATTACTTTTCGAATTATTAATTTCGGCCATTCCATTCGAAAGATATTACAAGTTTAAAAATGTTCGTATTTTGTAATTTAACAATCCAAACAGCTTAGTGACTGACTTAGTAGTTCTTATAATTTTTCAATTACATTTATAGTGGTTTTTCCTGTTCAACAGTTTAATTTATTTTATCATTTTAAATTTCCCAAAAGGTCAAGATCTCATCTTTCTAGAAATAGTTCCCAGGCGAGGGCATCAAAAATACGTCGTAATGAGGAATCTTTACCGGAAAGTGTAAATCGTCTTACAAGTCGGAGAGAGTCAAGTAGAGCGGCTTAAACAGTAAAATAATATAAATATACAAATTCACACTCGGGAATCGAGCTCTAAGCGTTCCCAGCGCCTACGAGATGAGAGAGAAAGACAACAAACGTCAACGACTAGAGTTCGTAATCGACTTTTAGCTCACAGTAACAGATCAGCATTAATGCATTAAGCTCAACAGTCTTCCGTCCAAATCGGAGCAATGAATAAAATCTGCTGTAAGTGTTCTGCCAAAAAATGGGTCGATGAACCAAACGTAATGTGCTGTGCTTCTGGAAAAGTTAGTCTCCCCAATATTGAGGAGCACAGCCAATAAAAATCTTTTGACAAATAATCATTCACCGTCTGGACATTTTAAACCAACATCCGAAATTGCAATAGCCCTTTTCAAATGACTTCGTTTGACGCGAACTTTTAAAATAGAGGGACAAGTATACAAGTATCATCAATATACAACAATCATCATCCTCCTGCCTCCTAGGTGGGGTCGGCACAACATGAATCATGTTGTAAGCGGTTTTGGCTATATTTTTACAACCAGCCGCCTGCCTGACGTCAACCCTCCTTTGGAAACAAATACCCAGATCAAATTTCAACTGTGTAACTATCACGGTTCATGAGATACAGCCTGTTGACAGAGGGACAAACAGACAGCGGAGTCTTAGTAATAGGGTCCCGTTTTACCCTTTGGGTACGGAATCCTAAAAAGGCCCCCAGAGATATAGTGTTTCACGGTAGACACGTCCAACTTAAAAGGGTGTCTGAGTTACACAGATTGTATGATCCACTAAAATATTGCTTAATAGTCGTAATAGGACAAGACGGTTAATATTTGACTATTCCTCGGCAAGGTACTGTGCGTAACAAAACTGTGACATGCATGGAATTGATTATGCATTTAGGTTGATGGTTAGAGCTACCTGTTCTAATCCATTGCATTATTACTGGGACTTATTAGGGTTCCGTACCCAAAGGGCAAAATCACACCCTATTACTAAGACCCCGCTGACTGTCTGTATGTCCGTATGTCTGTCCATATGTCACCAGGCTGTATCTCATGAACCGTGATAGTTAGACAGTGTAAATTTTCACAAACGATATATTTCTGTTGCCACTATAACAACGAATACTAAAAAACAAAAACGTATAAATAAGTGGGGCTCCCATAAAACAGACATGATTTTTTTGTCTTTTTTATAGATAATGTTTACAGTAGTAGTGTTTTTGACAATATGTAAGGGTAATACTTCTATACTTCTATTGAATGTGATAGAGTGGCAAACGAGCTGCCGGTTCCTCTGATGTTAAGTGATAACAACTGTGTTGCCAACATTAAAAAAGTTTGCCCCGGCTACCTCTCTCACCAGACGAAACGTAGAAGTATAACACTTCTATTTTACGCCGGTCTTCTGTGAGATCGGTACGGAACCCTTCGTGTGCAAGTCCGAATCGCACTTGGCCGGTTTTTATTCAATACATTGTCGATGTGATAGCAAAAAGATATCAGAAAGATTGAATTACATAATTATGATGTGATCACCAGAGACTGAGGGCTGGTGAAACATTCATCTTAGAGACGCCTTAAATCAAGACATTGGCCAATCAAATATCGGTCCACGCATAATCTGCAACGTCATATTCATTTACAGGTTCTCCGACTTATCTGCATTAAAAAACCAAAGATGCGATGATTTATGTCCGAAGCTATGGGAGACCAAACTTATTTGTCACTTTTACGTGTAACCCCGAATGTTCCGTAATTAAAGCGGAACTATTATCTGGTCAGCGGTCTTTCGATCTTCATGACGTAATTTCAAGGGTAGTTTATTAAAAGATGAAGAAATTCATAAAATTATTCACCAAAGACGAAATATTCGTAAAGTTTTATGTGTGTGTATGATAACTTTTTGTTAAATACCCGTGCGAAGCCGGGGCGGGCCGCTAGTTTATTATATTATTATATAGCAGCAACGAAAAGAATAAAACGAAACCGTCTCCATGAAAACAATGAATAGGCTTTTACTGAGCTAATGTTTTAGAATTATAAGGTGCTCACAGATATTGTTAATACGAAAACGCTCTTGGAAAAGATCGTGTTGTTCATCAATATAGTCAGAGTCAGTACTATAATGTTAAGTTGAATAATTATACGATTCTCAAAGTCAGCTTACTCATAAAACAATACAACTAATATGTCATTGAGAGAAATCCCAAAGTGAGATGATAAAAATAGAATATAACGATCGATTTTAAAGATAATAAAAATTTATCTCAGATATGCTTGGAATTGTAGATGTTATGACAGTAAATTATTTATCTTATTAATGAGAATGAATAATCTTACCTGCAGAACGTCTATTAAATTTGGAGACTAAAATCTCGTTATAATGTTAATTCTCACTCACAAATTGAAAAGTACTTTAATTATCAAGATATACTTCAAAAAAAGTCACCTTATTCGTATGTAAGGTATTCGAAAACTATAATTGAGTTCAATGGACGTGATAGCTCATTGCCCGGGCGCTTCCTTTTGATTGGATATACTCGGGCAACCTGAGTTCGATCCCCGGTACGGGCAGAAATGAAATTATTAATTTTATGAGCCCCCTTATCACGTGCTCAGCGGTGAAGGAAAACATCGTGGCTATTTTCATAATAGTAAAAAATATATTTCGAATATAAAGCTATGTGAAGTTCACTAATCCGCAGCGGGGTCGCGTGGCGGACGATGCCCAAAACCTTTTGTGCAAAGGCCCGTGACGTATATAGGCTCTTTCTTTAATTTACTAAATTGAGTTAGTTTGTTTTGTATCCCTGTTACATATTATTTTTTTAATTAGAGACATATTTATGTTCTAAATTAAGGTACCTTTCATAAAGGTACCTTTTTTGTGAGAACTTGAAAAACGTGTTGGCGGTTCACCTGATGTTAAGTGCTAACCAACGCCCGTGGACACTTGCTACACACCTAGGGGTGTGCAGATGCGTTGTCACCTTTTAATAAGTGTACCTTGTAATATACGTAAAATAAGCTCGGGATGCAATCTAGAGACAATGTTATATAATAGTTAACAACTATAACATTATAATGTTTAACTAGTGTGCGGCGTGTGCGATCAGAAACTACAACGCGAATTAAAACGGGCTAGCTAAAGTTACCATAAAAACTAACTAATTTTTTTTTACTGAATTTATGTTTGTTCCAAGCTCTTAAAAACTTTAAGGCTTCCACCGGCCAGCTAAATAAACCCGTCCAGAAGAAAACAGGCAGAAAAAAGATCATTTTCCCGAACAAGTTTTACAAAGCAACTATTACATACCATAACATCAGCGTAGAATTATCGCTTTTGGCGGACTTCGTCGCATTGATAACATAATTATTCCGGTGCTCATGAGTCACGAAAACAGCGCGAAAAATATATTTTTTTCGATATTTAAAAATGCCATTTGTTGGAGATAATTTTTACAAATAAAAAGAAAAATATAGAATTAAAGGAACATTTAAATTATCTATATTGAGGTCAGAACGACAAGCACATACCTTCAAATGAACTAAAAGTAACTTAAGCAATCATACCGGTCTCGATTCAAGTTAAAGTACTCCCGTAAACGAGTTTACATTGCAAATACTAAAGTTAAATTATTTTGCCGTAGCCCGTGCCTCAAGGTTCTCGCAAATGTGTTTTGGTATTACTCCGGCGATGCTTTTTAATTCCCCCTGCCTACTTTTGGGTTTATTTTAAAATCAATACTCGTAGTATCTATAAATCAGCCCGAAATCAATTTGGGTATTCGCCTCTTCCGCTCCTAGAAACGACTTCCGCTTTCGAAAATTTCTGAACCCTAATGTACTGCTTCCTAGGTGTAGGTCTAGTAACAGATTGTAAAAAAAAATTAAAGTTATTGTACGGATTTTAAACAAAAACATTTTCATGAACGTACTTTTATGAGGGGTATATTCTTATTGAGAATATTGAAAAAATACATGAGATCGTGAACGATACGAAAATTTTCTAAGAATAGATATTGTCATAAAAAACAACATTAAGGAATCTATATTTATTTATTTAAAAAATTATCATTTACACCCAAACTTATGGCTAAACAAAAGGCAAACTTAATGCTAATGAGCATTCTCTTCCAGTTGACCCTAGGAGTAGAAAAAATTTGACGCCGGTGCAAAACAAAATAAACGAAAAAAAAAAGAACCGAGGCAAGGAGTTCCAGAGTAGTGCCTGAATAGTAAAAGATTTATGGAAGAAGCCGGAATGATGCGTCGGAGTAGAGAGTATTCTACTGGCTGAATAACGAAGTGCTCTACCGTGAGTTAGTGAGAGATATTGAAATTTTGGCTGTGTTTAGAAGAAGCGGGTGCTTACTAATTTTTTGGGAATACCTCTGAACACAATGTCTCAAAAATTAGGCAAGGTTATTAAGTATTTACACCCATAATTTTACACTGAACTATATAATAACACTATCAATTAAATGTACAATTGCTGAGTATAAAAGTAGCGTCAAGCAAAGTAGCATTAAGTATTATTCTACATTTTTTAAGCAAGAACAGGATAAAATCACGCCCGGTTTCTGAAACACTGATCATCATAGAAATTAACTAATCAGCTGTCAAATGACTTTTCAAATGTTATTTGAGTGGCCAAAGGGATGGTTAAAAGAATTGATCAAAATGATCTTCTTGATGATCAGAATGATTAATTCAAAGAGTTTAACCATCCTTTTGGCAACTCAAATTACATTTTAAAAGCCATTTGAGAGCTTATTAGTTAATTCCTATCAGTGTGTGAGAAACCGCGCGTCAGAGTTCAAACGTCCCATGCCCTAGTCTATTTATTCCGTTACCATGAACGATAAAAAGGATTCGAAACATCGGCTAATAGTTTCTCTTGCTCGTAAATATAGTTTAATTTAATGAGTTTATATAGGATCCCAATTTATATTGGATCATGAGTTTTTGAGCTATCGTTGAACAAGAAACATAATATACGGAATCTGTTCTGACTATATCGAATGAAATAACATTGGTTTCGGGAAAGATTGCTTTATTTTATTTTTATGTGAAAAGTTGTCAAGCGAGCAGACGGATCACCTGATGTTAAGTGAATACCGTCGCCCATAGACATCTGCTACACCCGAGGGTTGCAGATGCGTTGACAACCTTTTGAAAATTGGGCTCCGGCCACCTCACTCGAAAGACGAAACACGAAAGTATTATACTTTCACTTTACGCCGGTCTTTTTGCTGTGAGAAAACCACGATTTACAGATGACACATCCTGTTTGAATAAAGTAAATCAGGGTTCGTTTAACGACGACCATAACCGGGACCGTCTATTGAAATTACCACTCCAAAATCGTCGAAGAAGAAAAAGGTTTCAAACACCTACAAAACATTTTCCCATCGTTATGAGATGCTATATTAAAAGAAGATATTTTCTTGGCCCCGATATAAGAAAGTTTATGAAGTGCGAAGAAATTTATAGAAAACCTAAAACATTATAGATTTTAAAGAAATTGTGGCAAATATGATAGAAACTATTTAGATATTTGGAAAAATGGAATGTTCGATGAGCATTAAACTTCACTCTAAATTTGCACATTGACTACTTTCCGGAAAATATAGCAGGTGTTAGTAACGAGCAAGGTGAAAGATTTGATCAAGATTTTAACGAAATAGAGCGTAGATATCAGGATAAGTGACAAAACAGTACTTACACCTAAGTGTTTAGCTAACGCTGGCATTTTTTTTTATGCGAAAAGTTGTCAAACGAGCAGATGGTTCACCTGATGTTAGGTGAATACCGCCGCCCATGGACATCTGCCACACCCGAGGGTTACAGATGTGCCCTTTTGAAAATTGGGCTCCGGCTACCTCACTCATCAGACGAAACGCGAAAGTATTTGTCATACTTCCACTTTATGCCGGTCTTCTGTGAGGTCGTGGTACTTACCCGGACGGGCCTGCCCATTCGTGCAACAGCCGGCTGCTGCGTGGCCCTACCACCGTTAGATGGTAGGGCCACGCAGCAGCCGTAGATGGTAGGGCCCATGGCATGGAATATTTCTATAACATGAAATCTGCAAAGGTTTCATTTGGGTAGATCACAACATTATAAATACGTTTTGAAGGGAAACCAAAATAATCACAACATTATAATTGATGAATCTAAATTTTATGCTGTACGTTTTCCACATTTGAATACGTACGATTTTATCATTGGGATTGAGAGCAATAAGAAGCAATAAATGGAGTTTTGTCTTCGGGTTCTGTAGTGCGAATGTGTGTCCCTCAGGTATCGATTCTGGAACCATTTCGCTAACAATTTACGATGTGTAATTTACGAGAGGTAAGAGACATGATGAATTTTGCAAAGTAACCAACTTCGACCGATTTCACGGTATTACCATGGCAACCAAAACAACTTTCTGATCTATAATTCAAAGTTATTAAACAGTTATCAATTACATTTAATGTATTTTTCAAGGAGTACTGGCACAGGGAACAAAATATTTAGTTATTTTTCTTTTGTTATGCTAAAGGAATGTAATTTCTTACGCTCGTACATAACTACACATACGTATTTTTTTTTAATGAATGCACACCAGGAAATTACTTCTGTTCATTCATAAACATCTTACTTCGTTCATAAACATGAAAAATCTACGGATACATCTTTCCATTTGCGTACTATTTACGAATCTACATTGTTTGTATGCTGGAAAGGATATACAAATATACAATAGATACGCCAAGCATAGCTTCAGATGCTAAATAACACTGTAGATAAAAGACGTTAAGATTTTCGTCGGTGTGGCAATCAGCTGTTTAACTTAGTGGCTAAAGTGTCAGGCCGCGAAGGCTGAAGACGTGCGTTTGATTCCCACAGCGGCGACAATCTTTCCATTATTTTTCTACAAGTTTTAAGAAAATGGCAAGTACCAGTTTCAATTTTTTTTTGCTTCTTCAGGTGAAAGGAATAGTCATCTACTCGAGCTACCTACTGGAGCTCTAGAGCTATTGAGTCAAACTTTTACGCGGTAAATATTACGCACCGGGGTAAGTCATGTGTGTTTATTGTTACGAATGTTGCCACTACGGAAATTAAAGACCAAGAAAAAATTCTCATATGGAAATGCAATAGAATTTTATTGATTTAAAGATGCAATAGCTTATATCGTCAAATTTGCACAAAAGCGTCTGGGCGCAAATCCGGAAGACGTGAGTTTGATTCACACAGTGGCGAAAGACTTTTTGTCCATTTTTTTCTACAAAAATTAGAATATAGCAAAGATTTACATAGTTTTATCTTTGCTATACTCAGATGTCACCAAATACCAAAAAATGTCATAAATAAATGTATAAAAATATGGTTTTTTTTATGTGAGAAAGTGGCATTCGAGCTGGCGGTTCACCATTTACAACACCTGTAGGGTTGCAGATGTGTTGCCACCTTCAACAAAGTGGGCCCTGGTTAATAGCAAAAATTAGTAAAGTAACAGCCTATATATGTCCCACTGCTGGACCTCTTCTATACAGAGTGTATCAGGGCATAGTCCACCTCACGGCCCCACTATGGATTGGCGGCACTACTTCACATATCCTTGAAATATTTTTTTGTTATTATTTTAAAAGTAAGTATGTGTCCTTCACCACGGAGCATGTGATAATTCAGCACTTAAAATTAACAATTTCATTGGTGCCGGCACTGCGGATTGAACACTAGGCTTGCTTGAGTATATTGTCACTAGGCTATCTTGGCTCAAAGCAACAATTTTAAAAAACAAATTTAAATTAATGTAAATTTGCAAAGGTAGTCAAGGGGACCCTGATTTAAAGGACCTATTTGGCAATACATATAGAACCAACATATATGGAGTAGACTTTCATTTGCATATCCACTGGGTTTATGCCTCACCGTTTTGGGGTAGATAGCTTTGAAATTGGAGAGGTACTTGTGTAAATTTATTTAAAAAATTAGTATGTAAAATGATTGTTTTTACTTGCCATACGTTCTTTTGAATAAAGTTCATTTAGTTGCATTCCAAACATTAGTTACTACTACCTAATAGCTCTGTTCAATAGATTATCATACTCTGGACATTTTGATAACAATTTTGTATTTACATTCTTCTTAATGAAACAAACATTTACTTACCAAGAAGGGGCCAAACCACTAATGGTTTTCTTCCATGAGTATCTGACCACACACCAAGAAATAATGAAAGGACTGCTGGTGCTAGAGATTCAATAATCAATTTTGCCATAGATACAAAGGCTTCATACTTTTGTACTTCTACCTCAAATTGCTGGGTATTGTTGGCCTTTGTTGGCGAAAGGAACCCTTTGCAGTCATTTTTACTATGATTTAAAGAATGTACGCATGTGCGGTATAATAATATATTTCTTATTACAGCCCCTTGAAAAAATAATGATACAATGATAAAATTCTCCGCGAACCATTACTTGAATTCGTAAGTCTTTGTTTAAAAAAAAAATACAATACCTGAAAGTGAAACTGCCATCATAGTTAAAAATAAAGGGAATTCTGTCGTAATGGCATATTTCTTAACAGGTATTTCAATATCAGAATTAATATTGGGATTGTTTTCCGTCGGACTTTCGTCATTTCTTGTCATTTTTAGCAAAAGTAGTATTTCGAAAGAAAATATTTTTCGTATAAAGTATTGCTGGTAGTAGAATAAAGCACCTGCTTATTAAAATATTATATGAAACTTGTATTATTTTTTATTAGAATCGTAATTTAAAATACCCGAATCTTTACACGATGTATATATGTACACAAAAACACAACCGTGCGCTAAGAGTTAGTACCAATTTAAAATTAAATATAAATATCATTGTTTGTTTTCATTTTTCACATACTGTCATTGTCAAATGGAAATGACAAATATCTTTTTTTTGGATTTAAGGGCCCGGTATCAGGGACCTTTAGGCCCAATGACAAATATAATTTAGTAATTAAGTATAGATAGATCATCTATTGAAATTGTCGTTTAGTTAACAATCATTCTATTCTTAGTTAACAATCATTGTTAAATCTAGACCTTATTCATATTTATTTATGTTTTAATAATTGCATCTTCATGTCCCCGCAGTTTAATATTCCTATTTTGTCATTTTTCATTCTAATAAGAAGGAAATAAGGAATTTTCTAGAATCGTTAGTTCACAATTTTACTTATTACTCTCATAAAAATGTCTAATAAATTCAATTCAAACTCTCTTTATTTTATTGAGCATTCTGTTTTTAACGTTACCATAAACCAGTACATATATATCACTATCCAGAGCAAGATGATGCTATAAAATTATATTATTGTCTATGATTCTGGATGAAGAAGTACGAAGGCGAGTATTTCAGAAAAATTAACGTTTTTCCTCACATTGCTCAATATAAACTTTCAATTGTGTGTACAAAATTCTAGCACTAGTGTACTCGAGGTTTGTAATTAACTGATATTTAATAACTTATAATCTCACGAGCATGAAATGTGTAACAGAATTCGTTTTTTGATGAGTCGTCTACTGTCATAACCACATCCGCCGTTGGATAAGACTAAGTTTATGGATTAATTGGCAATATTTATTTTCAATCAATATAACATGTAGATTTATGCCAACTGAGAATTGTTTGTACTTTGAAAATAGGGATTAAAAAAACAAACATTGTTATATGTAAGGTACGACCTATTTTTAGAACGGCTTTCTTTTTTTTTAACTCATAATGATGATGGCTTAGAGCCGGTGTATTAAGACTTTTTGTGAAATACTTTATTATGTTAGTTTATTTGCAGGAATTGAGAACTGAAACATAAAAATGGCAGTGAATGTATATTCTACTAATGTAACAGCTGAAAACCTTTCACGGCATGATATGCTAGCATGGGTAAACGACTGCCTACAATCAAATTTTGCAAAAATTGAAGAGTTGTGCACTGGTGCTGCCTACTGCCAGTTTATGGACATGCTTTTTCCTGGAAGTGTACCTATCAAGCGAATTAAATTCAAGACTAATTTGGAACATGAATACATACAAAATTTCAAAATATTACAGGCTGCTTTTAAAAAAATGGGTGTTGATAAGGTAAAACATAAACATCTGAATTCACCTAGTTTCTTTAAATTGAAAAAACTGTAAAATTTTATAATACTGAATTTGATACTATAACTATTATTTCATTTTACTTATGATACTTAAAGCTCCCTTGGACCAAGTAAAAATCTGAATGCAACAGGTGCAAATAATCAAGTTCAATTTTCAATCAGTTCAATTTTACTGACAATTTCCATATTTTATAAGGTGTAATAACATCCTTCCGATCAGTTCTACACATAAGGTGTCAAAATGCCATACCAATTTTCCTATAGGATATTTTATTATTAGTACATAATAAACTAGTTTCCTGTTTGGAATTCCTTAATTGAATATAATACTTAACTCAACTGTACAGAATTTGTTTTATTATAAGACACCATATTTATTGTTTTTGTGAAGTAAATATTTAACACTTCCAAATTCATATTAAACAGGCTCTATTGTGGATTCTTTGTCATATATGTAAAATTGGAAGCATTAAAAACAGAGCAAAATTTTGTTACATTGAAAATAATTTGTTTCTTTTCTACTACTGCTACTATTCAATTTTCTGATTTGTCACAGGCACATTTAATCCATTTCATAATTTATTTAGGTCCATAATGAACTTTTTAATCCAACATCCTAATATGAAATTTTATAGGTAATACCCGTGGACAAGTTGATAAAGGGGAGATTTCAAGACAATTTTGAGTTTTTACAGTGGTTTAAAAAGTTTTTTGATGCAAACTATGATGGTCGGGACTATGATGCCTTCGATGCTCGTGGTGGTCTCACTATTGGTTCGGGCGCCTGCGATAGTGGCGTTCCCCTCTGTGGAGGTGGTCCGGCGCCCCCCCGAGCACGTAAAGCCGCGCCCCTCCACAGCTCCGGCAGTATGCATCAGCCGCATCTATATGCTAATTGTTATTTAGAAATATTCATGCAGTTATTCATCACAAAAAACTTCCAACATGGAATGTAACTCCATGTGATATTTTTAAGTGCAGTTAAATACACTTGTCCTTGCCCCCCACACAAAAAGTCCCACACTCATCACAGAAACCTTTTCTTTCTTTTTGTTTTGTCTTTCTATTTTGTTTTTCTTTTGTAGATAGTTCCCATTGACAAACTGGTGAAGGGTCGTTTTCAAGACAACTTTGAGTTCTTGCAATGGTTCAAGAAATTTTTCGATGCTAACTATGGAGGCACGGAATATGACGCTGTAGCGCAACGCGAAGGCCTGCCTATGGGGCACGGAGGCTCAGCGGCGCCTCGGGCCGCGGCCGTTAAGAAACCAGCGGCACCGGTCGCCAAAGTCGCCGCTAGACCCCAAACCAGTACTATTTGTTTTCTTGGCTTATTAAAAATTCAGTTAGCTTTATCAGCTGCTTACAACAATTCAGTAATTAACATATTGATAAATTGAGGGACTCCTGTGAACCATTGCTTTATTATACTTCTTAATGTTTAAATTATAATTATGATAAAACTACTCTTACACCTGCTCTTCTTGCTCTATGCTAGATTTTAATGTTATTTGTGTTATATTATATATTATTTTTTCATTACACATCTCATCAATCAATTTATCTGAGTAATCTTATATTATTTGTATGTTATTGCATGCTTATGCATTTACGATATTTTTTTGAGAATATTGCATTCAAATGTAGAATAAGCTCATTTGTCTTATTGTTATTTCTGTCTCTAACAAGATGAGGTTTATGTCATTTATTTTTCATATTGTGCTTAAATTAAATACCAAGCGATTAGTTACATTATTAATGTTTAAATTAATTTGATTAAATCAAATTATGTGGATCAGAGAATTATCTTGATACTTGTTCACACATGACCTAGATGGCGGATGGATCTTGCTCTTATTTCTTTATGTATTTACTTTTCTAGACTCCACTCTTCATTGGAGTGCACGGACCACCTTTTACTATTACTCTTGTGTAATAGTAAAAGGTAAATACTAAAAGTATGTAATTTATATTCTAGTGAAGTTTAATATACAGGGTGGCTTTTCTAAAGATGCTCAAATTCACACAGGAGGTTCAGACTCAGTAGTATAATCGTTTATTGAAATAAAAACATCTTTGTCAAAAAAATTGCCATTCCAGTCACTAAATAATAGAACTTGTTGACAATATACGTTTGAAACAAACTTGTGTGCATGTTAGTTATGAATGATCACGCGTAAAATAATTGAGTTTAATGCACTTTTTGGGATAATTTTAAATTAATGTATGTAATTAATAAAGAGATTTTAAATATAACATTATCATAATTTTTTTTTATTAAATTCTAGACAATCTAGAATTTAATAAAAAAATGGATACACTCAGAAAAGCGTCCCTGTATAGTATAAATAATTGTAAATAAAAATTTTATCTTAATAATCTTACTAAAATAAGAAAAAAATCTAATGAACCTCCAGAATTAGCCATTAGTATGATGATAAGACTGCAAACTATATTCAGTGCAGTGCTACCTATGGCAACCAACTATGCCAAATATTAGTTTACAAGAACATATTTTATTAGAATTATTAACCTATTTTTCTTCATAGTTGGCAAAACTAACAGCACAGTGCGGTCTCCCCCGGTGAACTTGGCTAGATTAAATCAAAGTCCTAAGGGAGATTCAAAAGCTGTTGATGAATTAAATCACCAGGTATTCCTGACATTGAAATAATATTACGTTTAGAAATAATAAATTGTATCTAGGTGTTAATATAATAATTCGAATTAATTTCATATTCTATATAATTTTTTGCAGTTAAATGAATTAAAAGCAACAGTTGATGGCCTAGAGAAGGAAAGAGATTTCTACTTTGGGAAGCTTCGGGATATAGAGGTTATCTGTCAAGAGATGGAAGAACAACAAAATGCTCCTATTATACAGAAAATTTTGGACATCTTATATGCAACTGAGGTGATTTTTTTATGTAGAACTTATTATCTATTTTTAATCTTAAATATAAAACTATTTTTATTCTATGAAAAATATCTGAAAATAATGTAATAGTAATCTATGCCACATGTTGGTAAAGATTTAATGACATACAACATCATTAATTGGCTTATGTGATGTCATGAATTCACGCGGCGATTTTCACTGAAAAAATGGCCTCTTCTACCATCTCACCTGATGGTAAGAATTGAAAAAATAAGGTGGTTAGCAAGAGTTCAGTAAAAGCTTTTCTATAAAGATCTCTCTATCACTCTTGCTATGAAAAAATTCACATAAAACTTGAGCAAAAATACCAGCTGAATCTTCCACTCTGATTGTAAATACCTTGAAATTGGAGGTATATCAAGAAACATTAACTTAGATTTCCATACAGGTCAAGTATTGGATGATTTCTTGATCCTTTCAGAAGTAATAATTTTTTTCTCAGACATGCAAAGATTACTGAACAATTTTACAAACTTTATCATTTGCTTAAAGCCTTCTTTTTTATTTGTATCGGGGTGGGAAATCTTTGAAAGATACCCTGTCTCCTTACATGACAGGGTTATGTGGGGTTCTCACCCATTTAAACCGGTGGCCACCTTCTGTTTGTTTGGAGTAACTGGTATCTGCCACAGAACGCACCAATGTCCCTCTGTACTGCGCGTGCGCACGCCACCAGAAGGATACCTTCCCCGATTCTCTCGCCATCTTGCAGCAGCTAGATACCACTTCGTGCTTCTGCCAATCCATCTCCCTTTTCAGTCGCCTTTTACGATAGGCAAATACCTTATATTCCCTGTTCTAAAACCCCGAGACTACAGGGCTGATGGGGCTAGTCCGCTTCTGCCGACCCGATGCTTCGTCTCCGAGCGGGGTGGGCCTCTCCCGTTCCCGCTCAGCCTATCCAGCCATCAAGCCTAATATAATTATCTGTTGTGATGGGAAGAGGGCTTTAGTAGTCTTCTAAAAATAAAAACATAATATTGTTGAGTAATAAATTCTGAAGCCTATGACAATTTACAAAGCAATTTGCCTTGCAACATGCCTTTTATATAATATTTATGTCAAGGCTCTGTTTCGCTTCATATCAACTTGTATGGTCATAGCCTATTTTTATTTGCAATGAAGTAATATTTATGTTTCATTTAAGGACGGATTCGCGCCTCCTGAAGAAATAGATGGTGACAACCCTCATCCACCTGAAGAGGATGAATATTGAAGACCCATAACTGTGTAATATTTACGCGTATCATAGTGCTCTTTGTATATTAAACTCGAAATTATATCGCTTTACAATAATCGACAGTATAAAGTGCTTAGTATTTCACAGCCAATCATTGTCACAGACATGTTAATGTAGATTAAATAAATGTGGAAGCAGTGGCCCTTAAATCCATTGTGCTATACTAAGTTCCTATAAAATATTTGTCTTTTAACATTTATAACATTCAGCTACCAAATTATCAATCAGGCTGTGTCATATCTAAGTACATTCCTTTTTTTTTTGGGAGTATTATTTCTCGACTGATTTCTTTCTTATTCTGTATGTTTTATTGAAAAGACTCCTAGGTTATTGCGGCTTATTTTCTTTTTTTTTTTTGCAAGCCATAAAAATTTTAAGGTTGACTGATGTGCAATGCAAATATATCTTTGTAATGTCCAACAAAATCTCATTTTTGGGCCACTGGTCCTCATAGAACGTGCATTTAATAGTTTGTTATGATATGGAAGAGATTTACTGTTACTTGTTTCTGTTATGATGTCAAAATTGACAGAAGATATAATATTTGGTCTGAAGTTTACAAGAATTTGCAAGTTAAGAATGTCTTGAGATCTGAATGTATTGTTTGGAATGACCATTCAAATGATTATCATAAATTTAGCCCCTAATAATTGGCTGACATAAGTATAGCAAGTAATATTAATACAAGGATGATATATACATGACCTTTAGATAAATAAATACAAGACGATGCACACTAATGTAACTAACCATAGAAATATTTAATATTCAGATAATTATTTGGTGAATTAGCGATGCAGTTTCTAGGTGCAACACATATGGGAAATATTCTAACGACTTGTTGGCAATAAGAAATATTATTCACTCATTTAACATAATAGATAATTAATTTATTTACTTATAGCATTGATAAATTGCCTTAACTGCAGATGATAAATAAAGCCTTTGGTTTTAAGATTGTCAAAGTCTTATCAATAAAATAACTTCATTAAAAGTGTTATTTGTTTAATTTAATTTTGAGTCAGATTATTTTAGCCCTCCACAAATGTTTCCTGCATGCTTAAAAAAAGTTAAAAAGTAAAGTAACAGCCTATACATGTCCCACTGCTGGGCAAAGGCCTCCTCTATACAGAGCATAGTCAGGGCATAGTCCACCACGCGGCCCCACTGCGGATTGGCGGACTTCACATATCTTCGAAATATATATATATATATTTTTTTTGTTATTATTTCGAAAATATGCAAAATACGGTTTCCTCACGATGTTTTCCTTCACCGCGGAGCACGTGATAAGTCAGCACTTAAAGATAAAAACTTTATTGGTGCCGGCACCGGGGATCGAACTCAGGTTGCTCGAGTTTATTGAATTAAAGGCGAGCGCCCGGACACTGAGCTATCACGGCCTTCCATGCTTCTTAATACCGAATTTGACGACCACGCAATAGCTTGGAAGCTACATAAAGTATGAACCTAGAACAAAACAAAACTATCACAAAATCTAGATAACAGATAAAGTAAAAGTAAAGTAAAATATACTTTATTGTACACCATAGAAACATTACAGTATTTATAATTAAAAAAAACACACGGGTACAACAGGCGGCCTTATCGCATAAACAGCGATCTCTTCCAGGCAACCTTAGGGCAGAGAAATTCATTAAAAGAAGAAAGTGGCAGGGGTGTACAAAATAAATATTAAAAAAATACAAACATATAAATACATAATATTATATACATATAACCAGAAAATAATAGTCCATTATACGACAGATAGAAGATTAAGAGGAAAGGTAATGTAATTTTAATTTATTTTTAAAAATGTTAAGAGATTTAGATTGTTTAATATCTAAGGGGAGAGAATTCCAAAGACGTATAGCAGTAACAGTAAAAGAATTAGCATAGAAGGAAGAGGAGTGACTAGGAGTACTAAGCAGAAAATTATTTTGAGAACGAAGAGAAAAACAGTGTAAATCATTTAGATAAATAAATCGATCCTTTAAATAACGAGGAGTGGTAGGATTGAACAGAATGCAGTAAAGAAGATGAAGAATATGAGTATTCCTGCGAAGGCGAATCGGGAGCCACTTGAGCTTATGGCGGAATTCGGATATGTGGTCATACTTTCGCAACCGAAATATAAACCTTATGCAGTAATTTTGAAGCCGCTCAAGTTTATTTAGTTGCTCCTCAGATAAATTAGGGTTTTAATAACATTTTTTTTTCTTTATTCATGTGAGGCGGCAAGCGAGTGGCGATTCACCTGATGTTAACTGATAGCCACCGCCCATGAACATTTGCAACACCCGTAGAGTTACAGATGAGTTGTCACCTTTGAATAAAGTGGGCTCGGGCTACTTCTCACACCAGAAGAAATGCAGAAGTATAAAACTTCTTTTAACCGGTCTTCTGTGGAGTCATGGTACTTCCGCGAATTCCTGCTACAGCGAAATCTTGTATGGCCCTCCGCCCTAGGTTACCAAAATTTCAGATCGCACGTCAAATAAAAATTTTAGTAAATTGATATTTTGCTTGTGGGTTACAAAAATAAATCTTTTCTTTTTATATTATTTGAGATTTCAATTATAATATAGTTTTTAATTATTTTGCAAATGTAATAACTGGCAGTTTTATAAATGTGAAAATCCGTTTGTTGATCTTGTTCTCTGATTCTCTATCTGATTGTTTGATCTAGTATCTTCACCGTATATAAAAGTTTGACAACCAATGATATTATATAGAAATACCGAGGTAAATATGACACTAAAGGACCGATACTGAGGCACTTACATTACGCCAATTGGTGTCATTAGATTGCAATTCTATTCACGGTGGTAGGGCCACGCAGCAGCCTCGGCTGTTGCACGAATGGGCAGGCCCGTCCGGGTAAGTACCACGACCTCACAGAAGACCAGCGTAAAGTGGAAGTATGACAAATACTTTCGAGTTTCGTTTGGTGAGTGAGGTAGCCAGAGCCCAATTTTCAAAAGGTTGTCAACGCATCTGAAACCCTCGGGTGAGGCAGATGTCCATGGACGGCGGTATTCACTTAACATCAGGTGAATTGTCTGCTCGTTTGAGAACATTTCGCATAAAAAAAATCTATAAACTGCTATCTCCTTACGTATGGTTCTGCATCATCTGTCACATTCATTTACATAAGTCAATAATGTAAAGTAGAACAATTTTTAAACGCCGCGCAGTATGGACATACGTTCTTCTTCATCATTGCCACTGCAAAGAGTACTTTTATATATCTGATCCTTAGTGTCATGTTTATGCTGAAACAACTCTGACCAATCGTCAAACACAGCTTAAAATATAAACGTTACGGAAAAGGATGACCACAAAAATAACAAAATGTAAATTTTACCTTTACATAATGCCATTGAAATCACGTGGCGCATTCATTTAATTTATATTGCAATGGCAGGACTCTAGTCCAGTCCAACAATCCGAAACAGAGACTTCCTTTAGAATCGCTATGTTTACACTGAAGGAAGTATTGCAAGAGAAACCGCCCTAAGGGAGTTTCAGTGTGATAGCAATATCCGCCATTATTTGCCAGTCCATAGAAAAACATTTTGTTCCTAGTTTCGCCAGACAGATCCGAGAGTTAAAATCGTAATGGCTTAGGAAATTGTCAAAAGACAAAGAGAAATAGGAGTTTTATTACCAGTGTTACTAAATTTAGTTATCGTCGTCTTAAATATTTTCGATTCGAACAATTAATTATGACTTAAGTAGATTTTTTTATAGTTATACTCATTATTAATTATTATAAACAAGTGGAATATTAATTTTCCTTGCAAGGCATACATACTTTTAACATGACAGTTAATATTGTTAATTCGAAGTCATTGACTTTCCCATTTTTATTTCAAACACTTAAAAAGTTACCATAACTATTATGTTATAAAAGTTATGCAACTATTTTCCCTTTGCAATTTGAAATTAAAAAAAAAACAATACATCAAACAGCAATTTTAATTCATAACACCTTAATCCACAGTGACCCAAATTTAACATCTCTTATCAGATATCTTTCATAAATTAGCTTATGAATTATTATGTACAAGTTGTATGATAATTTAAACTTGCTGTTTCTGTTTAGCCTGCTTCTTTTCAAGTTTATTTTAGTTATAAACAAAATCAATTCATTTAGACTGCAGGCTTCTTTGTATTTGGCAGTATGTCCTATAAAGTTTTAATTGTTATTTTCGCCTACTTCTACCTGAGAAGTGAGAATCCACAAATATTCGTCGTATTTGAGTAATCTGCATAGAACATACTAGAAAAATATTAAAATTAAATATCACATTGTTACCAGCAAAAAGAGCATTTGAATTATAATTATAAAAATTGCATGTATGTTTCAAAATAATTTTTCATGAAAGAATTAATCTTATCAAAATCATGATTGAAATTAATAAAATAGGAATTCATATACAAACTTCAATAAGTTTTTATTTACAAAACAAGATTTCTAATGTTTTTAGTAAATAGACCATCTTTTCTCTCTTACTTGAACTTTGTTTCTGTCCTTTTGTCTGTAAGCACAAGTCACTTGGATGAAAATTAAGTGTGTTGATAAAGCAAATTAGAGAATCTTTGGTATTAATGATTAAGGGAAGAAGTTAGAAAACTAATATAAAATTCATTACTATTTGAATTAATAATTTGTTTTACTTTGAAGACTGGGATTTTCTCTTAGTTTAAGTCAACTTAGATCTTCCAGTCCAGTTTTTAAGGTTGTGATAACTATTCAATCAACATATTAAAAAATAAATTTCGTTGACCTTACATAATTCCAACTTATTGACAATGTTCTACAATTATATAAGACTTTTTTTTATCTCCAGACCTTAGATTAAACTATTAATATTTTACATAACAACTTACAATAACTATACCCCTTTAACATGTGATCTACTTCTTGTTTTTAAATTTTTTGTAAGAAGTTTTTCATTTGTTTTGTTGTTTTTTTGGTAAGATCTCAAACTTTTGGAAGATATATTAAATTCAGATGAAGAAATATTGTCTTTTGGCAGAGGACTTTCAGTGGAGTTTACTATTTTGGACTTCCCTTGTCTTTTAGGTCTTCCCATCCGATGGCTTATTAATGTAACTGCTTTTGAAATTTCAGTTGGTTTTTGTTTCTCCTTTATATTTTGGTCACTTTCATGGGATAGCAAGCTTCTATTGAATAAATTACCATTAAAATTATTTTCCTTTGATACTGGAGATGTGTTTCTTTTGTTTCTCTTGTCTGTTTTGTTCAGTCTTTCTGGCACACTGGTACTTTTTATATCATTCCCTTTCTGAGATTTTTTCCTGATCCTTGTAACATTTGCTACTATGGGCATATGATCTGGTTTATGGCTCTGAAACTTTTTACTATTCTTATTGTTGTCAATACCTAGAAATAAAATATAATAATAATAAAATACTGAGACAAGATAATTAATACACAAAGATAGAAAATAAAATGAACTAATTATACTTACTTGTGTTTTCCTTATTATAAACCATTGAATTGTTTGAGTTACAAGGTAGTTTTTCATAATAATCCTGATCACTTTCAAGATCAGTATCCCAAAATGATTTTAATGTAATTTTTGAGTTTTTTTTACTAAATTCTGAAAAAACATTTAACACCATTGTAAAGAAGATATCTAAAAATTCCCTTATCATTGTAATAAATATAGAAGATAAAATATTAAAATTGCCATTTTGAGTCTACAATAAAAAAAAAATAATAAGTTTATTATAATTATAGTAATTTAATCATCAAGGTTGGAAATATATTGAAAGCCAATTATCAACAGTGAGGAACAATTTTATTAAACAATACAATTATAGAACTTGCTATGGAAATATGAAGTTAAAATAATTATTTTTAAAACAAAACTTTCTTTGTGAGACATCTCAATAATTTTGTTACTTTGGGTCTCATAGATTAATCGACATTTTTAGTTATAATTAAACAATAGGACTATGTTGAAACTCCAATTTTTTTGTTATGTAAAGGCATGAATGAAATTGTAAATTATTTTTGAATTTGATGTTCCATCTGAATGTATTGGAGAATTTAGAAAAAAAAAAGGAAAAAACTAATAATTTATTTAATAAAAATCAAGTCAAATTAATGGACTATATAATAAATGAACTTTTTACTAATAGTTCAGCGCCACTCTTTATTCTTTTGAAGCTTTGGAGCCTTTGACTTTTCTTTAAATGGAATTGGAAATATAATCTAATACCCACTTGTCTACAGCTTTAAGTTAGTAATCTTGCCACTATGACAAATGATTATAGAGATATAAATAACAGTTTATTTTAAAACAATAAACAGACCTTTAGCTCCATTGACAACAATCTTCTTACTGGCTATATTAGGTGAGATTGTTTTCGTTTCCTGAACTGGTGGCAATTTTTGTAATACAATTCTACAATTTGATGTCACCTTACTTTGAATTTTCGGTTTTGCATCACCTTTGAACTCATCACAACAATTAATTCCAATTTTAAATATTTCTTCATCAGTGTATGTATCACTTACATTATTATCATTACAAGTGGAAATAACTGAGGTAACATCCCATTTGTCATGAGAATCAGCTTGGCTATTTCTATTACATGCAGTTTTATTTGTAGCATTAGTTAAATTCATTTGTTCGGCTGGAACTATTCTGTGGATTAGATCTAAGAAATTGTTACCATCTTCTACAACATCATGAGTTAAGCATGATTGTGAGGACGCTAACTTCCTGGTCTTGGTCTTATTGCTTATAACATTTTTTATTAGGGGACTATTAGACTGGGATGTATCATTAATGTATTTTTTTTCTGTAACATCAAGCTTTTGCGTGAACAGTTTTCTTTTAATAAAACTAGGCCTCATGGAAATATCATTGCTCATATGGCATGCTTTATGACATTCAATATCAACAATTTCCTTTTCACAAGATTCTTCATTCTCAGCGGTATTCAAAGGTTTTTGTAAAGGTTGCTGCTGGTAGGTAGATTCGGTGGCTTCAGAAAAGGATTGCATTGACTTTGATATCAATTTTTCTGGACTACATTGTTTCGTTTTTGCCTTTACTGACTTGGTTGCAGGCATCTGTGGTTTTACAAATATAAAGTCAGTGTCAGTATCATTTTGCAATACATTAATTTCATCAGATTGCTTTATCACTTCAGTTCTTATCATTTTACTTTTCTTATGAGGATTGTGGGTTAGTTCATCTGAATCAATATATCTCTTCTGAGAACCATTAACAGCTTGAGTATTTCGTTCAATTTTTGTGATTTCAGAAAATATCTCTTCTTGTTCACTACCTATGTCTTCACTTGAATAATTGTCAAGTACATCAGTGTCATCAACTTGTTGCCTAGCATTTTTACTTACAATTTGACCAGTTTGCCAATTTATATCCCTTGCCTTGGTTCCATTTCTTAAAAATCCAGATTTGTTGAACCGTTGTGAAGGTAAAAGAAATCCTTTTTTAAATCTATCTTTCATTACAAACCCTTTGTCAATATTAGGAAGGACTGCCTTTGGTGCTGTATCTAGATTTGGATTTTTAGTCGAGGGGGCATCAAGACCATATTTATTTGTCAAGGAATTATTTCTTAAATTATATGTAATATCATTATACATATTACCTTCGTTTAACTTTGTTGTCTTGTAACTAGAATTACTCATTATACATGGGACAGTTCTTGTAGATTGGCAGTCATCACTACTAATAGATGAATTACTACCCTGTTCACCTGAATCTCCACCAGATACATGTGTTGATTTTTTTGAAAATAGCCTTCTGTTACGCCGTTTTTCGACTCTTCTGCGTAATCTGCTTTTTATACAGTTGTTATAGGCTTCTTTTATTAACATTAAATCACGCTTATTAAAATTTTCGTTTTTAAAGGCTAATGCAATATCTCTTGCACTGATGCTTGTAGTTGTATCTGAAATAATGTTCCAAGCTTACCTATATTACTACAAAGCAATGTCAAGATGAAAGCTATACTAAGTTCTTTTTATTGAAAAGCTTTATAAGAATCTTTACCAAATTTTAAAATTACAATAGCATTATAATGCTTAAACTTATTACATAATTATTGTTCAACAGATCTGTAAAAAAAAAATGGCATAAACGACATACCTATGCTTCGCATGGACGTAGGTGAGCTTCTACCATTAAAAACAGATCGCTGATACGCAAAACCACCTCTATTGTAAGGATGTGGGAAATTACGAGGTCTTAAGCTTTGAACACTGCGTACGGACATTGGTGAAGTATCTCTTTTGTAATAGAGGCTTCGTTGATCATAATTCATGTCTCTTCGTTCGAAGTTGCGCGGTAGTATATGCATTGTTGAGATCGAGAAATTATTTCGACAACTGAAACTACTGACGTTAGTAAAATTTGGGCCCTTGGCATGTATCGTCTGTAAGATAAAACATTAATTAAATAAATATAAAAATATCTTATTTGAACATTCTCAGTAATAAATCTTAACTGACCGGTCCCTCATTTCGATAACTGTGAACATTGTTTGGAATAAGTTCGTCTTCACTGTCAGTCATATTGGCAAAACAATCTTTAACGACACACTACATTCATTAGAATTGCCTAAAGTTTCAACATGCTATACACGAATATACTGTGATAAATCTGTTTTCTATTTTAATGTTCTCATCAATATTTATAGTTGAAAACCTTAACAGTCCAAATATTAATTCAGTTCAGCGTCGATGTTGTTTTGAAATACTATAACGGATAAATAAAGATAAATCCAGTGTTACCAGCTTTCGAAAATGTTTGTCCCTCAAGCCTAAGTCAAAAACAAGTTTACGGAGAGGACTATACATATGAACGACAACCATCCGTTATTGGTTTGCCCGGTTGCGTTCTGGAAATTTCGAAAAAATGATCCTTCCGTGCGGTCCGGAAACTTTGGTTAATAATGAATAATGATGAATTAAAGGCAACTGTGGAAGCTGATGATATGCAATATACAACCGAGGTAGCAGTAGCTTTCGATGTTGCCGTCAAAACAATAATGGTCATTGGTCCGTTTGCGATAAACTGCCATTGGCAAGGTAAAAATCTTGATGGATGAGTGCCCCACGAGCTTAACGATCACTTTTTTTTTGACGTGGGGGAAATGCCTACGCATACCCGCCCTCGCGGGGGCAAGAGCGGGTTATGTCGGACTCGCACCGACTAAAACCCCCACGATGTTCCACCTAGGCGCATATCGGCAGGGTCACGGGAACGCTTTCGCACACTTCCGCGATCCTGCCAGCGCTGGCCGCCTTAGCAGCCCCCTCACGGGGAGAAACTCCCCTCTCCTCCAGGTAAGGCGCGCTGGAACATTCAGCGCGCCTTCCTACTCGGCTCCATATTCACGGCCACCGAACACCCCCGAGTTCGCTGACCGAGGCCATGGGAGCCAGGAGAGCCACGGCATTCTAAGCCCCTTCGCCACGTCAAGGCGGGAACCCGGTCGGAGGGGGACCTTCACGATCACTAGCAACATACGCTTCAACATCGAGACCTGCCTCGCGTTGCTCAATAGATAGGCAAAGAAATGAATGAATTTTAAAAATGTAAAAAAGCCCTCAACAAGTTGGGAAACAGCCCTGAGCAAGTTGGGTAGAAAAAATGGAAAAAATCCCTCAGCAAGTTGGGTCAAAAATGGAAAAAAGCTCTCAGCAAGATCCGATGGTGCTGAACCAACCAACGCAATGTCCTAAACGAAAAATGAGTGATGGTTGATGTTCGATGGTTTATTTCCGGTGTGAATCATCACAGCTTTTTACAAAACCGCATGTTATGGCAGATGTATATCTGTGAGGAACTGAAGACTATGATGGACAAGCTGACCCCCATGGTGCATAACAGACAGTCTCCAAGTTGCAAGAGTAGTGGTTTGAAGCTCTCCATTATCCGTCATATTCACCAGACCTAGCATGTACCGACTATTACTTTTTCCAAAATTTGAACAATTTTTTAGCGGGAAAAAAAATTAAATTCCCTAGAGGCACTACAAAATGTTCAAAGGCAAAATGGCAAAGGAGTTTGTTGCCATCCAGCTAATTTTTACTAGGGGCAAAGATGCAACGATTGTATGGCAGTTAAAAAGTTTGAAAAAAATACTTTTACTTATTTTATACAAAACGGCAATTTCATAGGTAAAAACATAATATTAAAAATGGATATAAATGATAAATAGCTCCAAGATTTTTGCCTGATTTCCAAATGTTGGTCTTATAGAGCCGCATGTCCAAGTTTAGTTCCCATGCCAAGATGGACATCGAACCATCGAGGTGACATGCAGGATAACACAGTCACACGGTCGGTGTTTGGGCCACTCCTGAGGAACAAAGATTATGACTAGGTGCTGCGTGGCACCTACATCAGGGGTGTCTAGGTGACTTGTTACGCCGACAAAACCTTTGTGCCCGTTCGCGTCAATTACTTGTTGGCCGGCTTCCAGCCATGGAATTTAAAAACTAAGATCATCGCGTCATTGTACGCCCGGCACGTGAATGCAAAAGCCCAGTGCAATATGCGGTCCAGGAGGAGTTGGGAGAGCGCTGGGATCTCCTGCACTCAAATGCTACCGTGCGACGCAGGACTTCTCGGAATACGGTTGTTTCGGAGGTATCTGATTCTCTTAGCGAGGAATGTCACTTCTGTGATATATGCCAAGGAGACGGTCCAACATGCGCTGGAGAGGTGCCTAGCCTAGACGGAGCAAGCGCCTTCCGTGATTTCTGCTATGGTTATCAGTGAGAGGCCGTGGGGTGCTGTCCTCGCATATTGTGAGGATATAATTACCCGGAAGGAGGCCGCGGAGAGAATAAGGGAGGTTAACTGCCACCCTGGATATCTGCCGGGTGAGACCAAGGCGCAGGAGGCTGTCCTACGCGCGCAACCTTCCCCCCTGATAGTGAGACCCCTAGCGGCACGCATGGGCTAAATCTTTGAATTGACCATTCTGATCATTAAGAAGATCATTCTGATCAATTCAGAGAGTTTAACAAACCTTTTGGCAACTCTAATAACATTGGAAAAAAGCCATGTGACAGCTGATTAGTTGACTTCTACCATGATCAGTGTTTCAGAAACCGGGCGTTAGGCTCAGTAATTAATAACACAGGCAAATACGTAGACGAATAAGGATAGCAGAAACGGCAATGACTCAATTGAGGAACGTGTGGAAATACAGAAACATAAGCAATCTGACTAAAATACACCTGGTTCGCACATTAGTCTTTCCCATCGCTCTATACGGCACAGAGACATGGACTTTAAGGGCGGCTGACAGACAAAGAATACACGCCCTTGAAATGTGATGTTGGCACCGTATGCTGCGAATACCGTGGACGGCCAGTCGCACAAATATCTCCATCTTAAAGCAGTTTAAAATAGAAAATGCTTAGAGTCTGTATACAATCTATTTACAACGCATAATGCGATAGTTTGATCATATTGCACGCAGAGGAGACCTTGACCACGAGAGCGCCTTGATCGTTTAACAGTGACGGGGAAAATAGACGGTAAAAGACATAGAGGCCTACTCTTAAGCGGCGGATCAAATTTCAATCAAACCTGGAAATTCCCTTAAGCGCCGCACTCCACCAGGCGACGTAGCGAAACCGATGGAAACAGCTCGTTGACCAAGTAAATATGAGTCGCGATCCACAGTAGTGAGGGAACGACAAAGAAAAGAGATTTAAATATTAAAGTAAAGTAACTTTAGATGATAGCATTAATATTTTGCATGCTATTATATTGCAGCCATGTTAGTTCTGTGTCCGGGCACTCGCCTTTAATGCAATATACTCGAGCAATCTGAGTACGATCCCCGCTGCAGGCTCCAATGAAATTATTAACCTTAAATGCTGACTTATAACGTTGTCAGCGATGAAGGAAAATGTTGTGAGGAAACCTGCCTATTTTCGAAATAATAACAAGAAAAATATTTTAAACCCACTTTTCTTTTCAGAGGAGGCCTTTGCCCAGCAGTGGGACATGTATAGGCTGTTACTTTACTTGTTGTGCTATTTATAAATTAGTTTAACATGTAGTTCAATGTTAATGATTAGTAACACCTCTATACCATGTTGTACCTTAGATATGGATGGTATAAAGTACGAAGCATGAAATTGTAGTATAAATGTCATAACTCTATCACAAAATCCAACATTGCATCTCAATACTAGTCAGTCTTGTGTAGTTCGCGAATGGTTAGGTAACGTATCTACTAATGTACTAAAAGAAACGTTTCCGAATGATAACTGTTGAGCGGTATAATAGCTCTTTCGTTCTTTCCATACATCTACCAATACTAGTGGTACGCGATTGATTGACTGATCACTGAAAGAGAGAGAGAGTCGATTGGTAACCGGTGACCGAGTAAAATAATATATCGGTGGAGACCCGATGAAGCACGGTTTTACTGATTGAACTAATCGATTAAAATGTGACTGTAAAGATATTTATGTTGTATACAAAATTAATAACGATTATTTTAGCTTAACGACGCAAAAATGCGGGAGACTCCTATCTATTGTCTTCTTCTTCTTCTAAGGCAGTTGGCGGTCCATATGATATCGCTAATGACACAATAATGATAAAGAAACAAGTAGTTTCAAATATCTAAGAATATCTTCTGGTTGTTTATTTTAAAAATGTGGAACGCTTCACAATTTTGCGTGTCATCCTTGCGCAAGGGACATGCTAATCTTCTCTGTATCTGTCAACGATCTGGTCGATGACAGTTTGAAATGACCTGTGTGATGTTCTTTTAAATAATTAAAAATATAATTATAATTTGAAACATGTTTCGAATTCCAGAACTTTATTTGAAAAAAGAACGAAATTCCTAATAGAAAAGAGGCTCAGAGTGCCTTAGACGGCATCCGCCCGATAGGGACGCCAGCAATGCCGGACGAAGAGAAAGCCGAATGCCTGGCTGACAGTCTAGAGTCTCAATGCTCCCCTAGTCTGCTTCCGGTCAACCCCGAACGCCTTCGTAAGTTAAACGAATAGGTTGATAGGAAAGCTTTAGAGCCACTTCGCGATCCTGTTCCCCTGGTCACGTGCTCAGGACTAGTAGAGACCATTAAAAAACTACGCCCACGCAAAACGCCTGGCTCAGATGGTATCACCAATAAGGTGACCAAACTCCTCCCTACTAGCATCCTTCAGATACCAGTAATAATATACAACGCGGCTGTAATCGAAGGCTTCTTCCCCTCCGAATAGAAAGAAGCTGATGTCATAAGGTTCCTCAAACCCTCATATCTTCAAATAAGTCTTCTCAAAACACCGCACTCGCCTGCGAGTGCGGCAATCATACACTAGGTTCCGCCACGTACCTGGCAGGTTCTCCCCATTTAATGATAGAAGCGTTGCTGAAGTTTCTTCCGCCACTTCTTTTCCCAGCGCCAACGCTTTACGAAGTGGTAGTAACGATAGTTCTAGAAATTCCCCCAGGCAGATAACAGCTACCGATCGAGCCGAGGTCCGGCCCTCTCGGGCACCCTCGAATCGGAACGCTACTCGGAATGCTACGCGGAACGCTTTTTGAGTGACAGTCCAAGCCGAGGTCCCCTCTCGGGGACCCTTGAGCCTAGTCACTCCATGGAGCGTCCGCCAAAGCGCCCTAAGAGCTTGGCGACCTCCCAAATCGGTGAAACTAATAGCGTAACTGCCCGAGCCGAAGCTCCCTAGGTAGCCCTCGAGCTTAGTCATCATAACGCGTAATAATAATACGCCGAGGTTCAGGCTAGGCGCCCTGAGCGCCCGGCCACCTCATGCCCGTCGGATCTGTAAAGGCGCTAAGGGCAACAGTGGCTCATCCAGCCAAAAAAAAAACCTTAGACGGCAGTTCAGTGGAGGAACTCAAGGAATAAGGAACAAGTAGAAGAATGTGGAAAAGTGAAGTAATAGTGAGTGAACAGTGACGCGAAGTGACTAGTAAAGTAAAGTCGTACACGGCGGGTTGGTGCAGTAACGTGTGGATTCGTTGTTCTGTAAGATTGGTGCGGAACAGGAGACTCGTCGCACCGATGGAAGTTGTAGGGACTAAAACGCTATTGAGAGGTTTATTGTCTTGAATGGTAAATGTGGCTAATGGGATCACTTTCAAACCGAAAAGACACTTAAGGATTGATAAGAAAACTATTTTTAACGAAACGTAATCACTATGTGTAAAATACAAGGGTTATATCAGATAGCTAGACATGTTACTTCTTTAAGCGATTTCTACGGAATCATCAAATATGTCACAATTCAGTCTGAACAAATAAAACTAACATTCCAAATTTAAAGTAATTCAAACATAATACATAAACCAAACAGATCAGAGTTGACATCAAAAGAGTATGTATAATCTGAGATTATCAATCAACATTTTGTGCACATCTTTGTTGGCGACAATAAAGTAAACATTTAAACGACCGGCTTTCACTCCAAACCCGAACCCCCAGCTCGTAACAATGAGCACATATTATTTTATACAAACAAGTCAAATTTTGTATGATAGTCGCAGTTAATAAGTTAAAATATAGTATAGAGCAGGGGTGAGCAACCTTTTTAATCAATGGGCCAATTTAAATTGAAATTTTTTTTGGCGGGCCGCACATAATAATTTACGAAACTTTATTTATAATAAATATTAGTAATAAAATATAAAATTAAGAAATAAAAGATAAGTAAAGATTTCATATACAAATTTTAATGCAAAAACAAACAAGAAAAGAACAAAAAACCGAACAAAAAATATTTCGGTTCAGTATGTACTACCATTTTATTATTATTAATTTTATAACAATATATTGCTGGGAGAAATTCGATAAAATAAGTTAAATTTTAGAAATACTTGGCGGGCCGCATAAACATGTTTAACGGGCCGGTCATTCAAGCGGCCCGCGGGCCACGCGTTGCTCATCCTTGGTATAGTGTTTGTACTTTTAACTTTTTGAATACATATTGTGCTTTTGAACAGGTTTTATTTTCGCATGCTGTGGATGGTTATGAGATGATTCAAATTTTGTAATTGTTAAAGTAAATAATTTTTATGTGACTAACATTAATCTTATTTTATGTTTTCTTTTCTTGATCAACTCATTGCTAAAAAGAATAGACGTATACTTAGATTCAGATAATTTGTGTTTTTGTGCACGAATTTGTCGCGTTATTGTATATTGTATTATTGCTTTTAATGTCTCAAAACAGTAACTTATGGTTTCATTTAACAAAGACAGTCCTAAACCTGTATAATTATGATGGGAAATCAAATATATAAAATGTAAAGGAAATATCTGCTAATATTATCAATTTACTATACTTTAGAATTTTAATATTTATTTACGTTAATTAGTAACATAGTACATAGAATAAGATTCTATTTGATATTTGATAATCATAAAACTAGATTAAATCTATGGATCACCATAGGTGACACGATTTTTTTTTATTTTATGGCCCGGTATCAAGGACACGAAATGTTATATCTGTAGCATATTCATACACATTACACATTACAGTCTGGCGAAACTAGGAACAAAAAATTTTTCTATGGACTTTACGCGGCAAATAATGGCGGACATTGCTATCACTCTCCCTCAATGCGGTTTCTCTTTCTTGCATTACAAGAAGTGCCATGTTGTTTGTCAAAACTTAATTTTGCACCGCGTATTTTGAATGTAATTGCTTATTTCATTGTAAATTTAAATTGTTTAGAGTAAACTTTCTCACGAAAACTAGTGACAGGCGATCAGAGTTGTACTTTTAATTCAAAATGCCAAAAAGACGGCTTATTATCTGTGAAATTGGTGAAAATCCAGCAAGTCATTCGAACCTTGAAAAAAGATGTTTATGGCGAGATTCCCCTTAGATGAAGCCCATGTAAGCACTTAAATATGATACTTTGCAGCCATATGTAAGTAGAGCAGGCTAAGAACAAATTAAATTAACAAATTTATCTCATTTAAATTTTGTGCTAGTGATGTACTGCAACTGTAATATCCACATATAACTACGTTAATGTTTATCATTAAAAAAAAAATAAGAAATAAAATGTTGCGTAAAAGAGTAGGGGGTAGTTTACATATTTGAATGTTGTGCCTACATAAATGAGCAAGGATCGGAATAGGTAAATTTTGCAGGATTTTGAAACATAATCTCTGTAATATTGATACGTCATATAATTAATTTCGTGCGCTGAGTATGCAAGAAAACTAAAATATTTTTTGCATTTTGATTCTATTTTTATGTTTCAATTATTACCAGACTCGTGTACAGCAGGACAACAGCTGTTGGCTGAAGAATCAAGAGACAAGAAATAAATTTCATTTCAGTAATAAAATTTTATTTGAATTATCAGAAACCTTTTTTTATCTTATTTCGAGTGCGCATTTAACTCCAATCTTGTATTAGTACCAAATATCGTTAACATTGGACATATATACGGACTTACCTTAAATTGATTAAAAAAAAATATTAAGTGGAAACCTCGCTTTCTACCTAGTATATTTTATCGATATCGATAAGAAGCTAAGCTAGCTTGGTTAAGCACTATTTGTCTCGTTACGTTGGTACTCCTGTTATGCGTTAGCATCTTTACCATATCTGTGCTCCTTTTGATTGAAATCTTTGTGGTATTTTTGTGGTATGGTTGGTATTGGAGTGCCGCGTAAACTGATATTTTTGGCTAGTGTGGAAATCCCGTCTCTTAAACGTAGTGATTACATAATTCCTATATTACAAAGTACTCTGTGGATTACATTCTCTTTGATCCTTATCATCTTCCGAAATGAATTCAGAGCGCACATCACGTCTCTATGACCAAGCAGGCACAAGACTATAGACAACAGTTTTTATCCGTTCATTTTTACTCTTTTACGGCTTAGAATCTTTAACAGATTCAGCCAAATTAAATTCGAATAAAAATATCGTTTTTGATACGATTTCGGCATTCAATTTTCTATATTTATATATCTGATCCAAATATATCGGCTAAAAATGTCGTTCAATAAAACGTAATTCAATACAAAGTAAGTACAAACATACATAACTGAACTGGCCTAAAGGTCTTGTTACCCGGGCATAAAGCCTTTATTAAAAAAAAATACAAAAATAACCTCCAAGCGTTTTAAAAGTACATATCCTGATATTCTCATAAATAAATTAATACCGAAATATGTGTCTCTTCTTCACAATATTTTGGTAAAAAAAATTAAACGTGGAGCATGTCTATACATACTCGTTTATTTGTGGGTAATATTCCCTTAGAGATAAATGATGCTGATGTACATGAGGCTTTTTCAAGTTATGGAGAAATTATTAATTTAGAACTTAAAACCAAGCCCGGAGTTGAAAATGAATATGACAGAAAACGTTTTGCGTTTATAACTTTAAGTGCTTCAAACTACGATGTCGAATCATGTATGTAAATAGTGTATATTTTAATAAAAAATATTTACACTATTATATTTTAGTTTATAACATTGTTATTTGTTCTTAATTTTAAAGGTATAAAGTATTTTACAAATGCTGACTTTAAAGGAAATAGGCTCTATGTAACAAGAGCCAGGGAAAGTTTTTTAGAAAGACTTCAAAGGGAGCGTAACCAATCAATAAAAAGGGATGAAGAAAAGGTAGTCATTTTTTGTTCTCATATAAAAGTGATGCAATTATAAAATTTTTTTTTTAAATCACATTTTTCCAGAAAAAAGAAGATGAATTAACAGCAATGTTTCCACAAGCTAATCCCAATATCAACTTAAATGTGAAACCTTTTCCACAAAAAAGGAAGTTTAATTCCTTAAATCTATCATGTGAAGGTATTGTTATTGATAAACTAAAAATACCCAATCAGAATAAAACTTTTGAGGCTGATATCCAGCATTCTAACTGTACTTCAAACAACACAACTTTTGATAATAATGATAGAAAAAAAAAATCTGACACAAAGAGATTAGAGTCAATGAAAAGGAAGAGGCGAGAGTTTGCAGAGAAAAAAAAGATAATAAAAACCGGATTAATAGGCATTGTAAGTTTAAAAACTGTTGTAATGTTTTCATTATTTACAAAATGGACATATTTATATTTACCTCTTACAGGATAATGTATCTAATAAAAAAGTTATTTTTTCTGACAATGAAGATGAAAACTTACATAGCATAGTGACTTCTAACAGTAATGGAGATATTATTGAAAGTCATGTGAACACCAAAAACAAAACTCTTTTTGATGATGAAGAAAGTGAATCTGAAGTAAATTTTGAAATAAAAACTCAATTTGAAGGAAAAAAGGGTCAGAAGGTAATAAGTTTATTATTTTAAAATATTCATTACTTTGGTTTTTTTTTGTTTTGTTTATCTAGAATTGCTCCTTATCTTTATGTCAACTTTTTGCTATCTTCAAGCATTTTCATTTTGTATGAATTTCTAATTTGTGTCATAAGTAGACCAATCATGAAAAGCTTTTTGTATTAATAAAACCTACCAGACAAAAAAGTTTAAGAAATTAATTTAATTAAACTTACCCAAATAAATACTTGTGTGTGTTTAAAAAAAGTACATTTTACATAATATATAATTTCAATGTTTTGTTAATCGAAATGTGGTGATTTTTCTGGGATTACTGAATTTCTGCTGTATTTCAACTATTCTGCTCATATTGGCAATATGTTTTTTAAAGCTATTAATAATTATTAACTGTGATATTAAAATTAAACCCTCCAGTCAAGTTCATAGATTTTATAATATGGATTCTTATTTTATGATATGGATATCTGGTTAATAGTTTATTTAAAGTTTGTAAATTTATATAGGTTTTAGATTTACAATCAAGATACAAATCTGATAAGCGTTTCACATTAGATGAAAGGTTTATTGATGAAGACCAATCAGGTGATGAAAACGAACTTAGAAAGAATGATGAAAAAGTTGATATAGGACAAAGCAATGAAACATTAAAACAATTGAACATTTTGCAAGATGTTTTAGGAGTTTCTTTAAAAATGAATAACTCAGATTCTGTTCAAAAAGCAAGGTAATTATATATATATATATATATATATATATATATATATATATATATATATATACAATATTAATTTACTAAAGAAGCTATAATTATATTTGTCAACAAAATATAAAGCTATGTACTCATTTTTGTTATTCTTTTAGACCTAAACTAGGCATGCTAAGGTATGACCCAATGCATCCAGACCATGCAAAATTTTTAGCTCCTTCAACTACTCACCATGACATTCCCAAAAAAGAAAAAAAAAAGAAAACTAATATTCAGGAAGGACCTGTTGGAGTAGAACCAGTTGTTGAAAAAGTTGAAGTGTCCAAGGAACAATTTTATAAAGTCAGTGAAACTTTAAAAGAGGCCATGATTCAACCTACTTCCTTCAGTTTAAGGAATTTATTTTCAAAAGAAGAAAATAATGACAAAGGTAATTCTAAATATAGGCCACCAAAACACACATGCCATCCAGGTATTAAGTGCCCTTTTTGAGTGTATTAAATAATGAACTAAATTTTTATTTAATTCATGCTAGATGCATTAATTAAATAAAAATTTAGTTTAAGCCAACAAGTTGCAAATTTAGATTTAGTGAGCAAGCAGTACAAATTTGTTCTATTATCCTTTTCAGCTGGTTGTTTGTTTGGTTATCACTTGAAGCTTTGGGCATGCACTGTTTAGTTGGCACAATGCCAAGTTGATGTGCTAGAGTATTTTTTTTATTTATGCAAGAAAGTGGCAAGCATACTGGCAGTTTACCTGATGCTAAGTTTGCAACACCTCAGAGGTTACAGATAATTGCCACCTTTTAATAAAGTGTGTCCCTAATTACCTCACTCACCAGAGAAATCACACTTCCCCAGTCCAGTACTTCCCCAGATGAATTTCCCCATTTGTGCAACAGCAAAACTACTGAAAATTGTAAAATATTAGCATGATTGTTTCATTATTCATTCCCCACGGTGGTAGGGCCACGCAGCAGCCTCGGCTGTCGCACGCATGGGCAGGCCCGTCCGGGTAAGTACCACGACCTCACAGAAGACCAGCGTAAAGTGGAAGTATGAAAAATACTTTCGCGTTTCGTCTGGTGAGTGAGGTAGCCGGAGCCCAACTTTCAAAAGGTTGTCAACGCATCTGTAACCCTCGGGTGTAGCAGATGTCCATGAGCGGCGGTATTCACTTACCGTCAGGTGAACCGTCTGCTCGTTTGGCAACTTTTTACATAAAAAAAAAATAATAATAATAATATAAATTAATATTTTGCATAGGAATTGATCAACAAAACACCGATTATGTGTCTTTACCTAAGGGCAATGTGAAAAAATCAAACAATCCCCTGGACAATGCTGGAAAAAATCCATTTGTGTATGATTCTTCTGATTCTGAATATGAGGATAGTAAAAAAGAAATAAACAAAATAGAACCACAAGAAAGCCAAGAGATAAAAGCTGTTTGGAGAGAAAATTTATTTTTTACAAAAAATGATAACAGGCTTAAAGGTACATTACAAATTACTTTTGTATTATTAAATGTTACTTATTATAGTATTCTTAATATTTGTAAAACTTTAACTTGTTTAAAGTGTACATAATATGTATCATATGAAAATAATGTTTTGTACTGTAACAGACAAAAAAAATTAAAACTTGTAGAAAAAGAACGAAAAGATTGTCGCCGTTGTGGGAATCGAATGCACGTCTTCGGCATTCGCGGCCTGCAATTAGCCACTAAGCTAAACGGCTGATTGCCACACCGACGAAAATCTTAACGTCTTTTATCTACAGTGTTATTTAGCATTTGAAGCAATGCTTGGCGCATCTATTGTTATATCCTTTCCAGCATACAAACAATTTCGAATATCGTTTTACAACGATAACTTCGAACGAGAGATGTCGACGTGCGTTCGATTCCCACAGCGGCGACAATCTTTTCGTTCTTTTGTACAAATTTTATTGTTTAATCTTAAGTGCAAAGATTAGCATTATAAAAAACTTTTAATTTCTAAAAAGCAATGGCGACATCTCTCGTTCGAAGTTATCGTTGTAAAACGGTATTCGAAATTTTTTATACGCTGGAAGGGACATAACAATAGATGCGCCAAGCATTGCTTCAAATGCTAAAAAACAATGTAGATAAAAGACGTTTAGATTTTCGTCGGTGTGGCAATCAGCCGTTTAGCTTAGTGGCTAAAGCGTCAGGCCGCGAATGCCGAAGACGTGGGTTCGGTTTCCACAGCGGCGACAACCTTTTAGTTCTTTTTCTACAAGATTTAATGTTTAATCTTAAGTGCAGTGATTAGCACTATAAAAAACTACTTAATTTCCTTTTATAGTTCTCATGTAAATAAAGAAGAATCTAATTTAGAGGAAACATTTTTCTGATATTTACAAGTCCATAGATAATACAAATAATCTGGAACATGGCACAATCACAATTCTGAAAATGTTACCTCTTTCATTCTAAAGAAGCACCCTTAAAATACTTTCTTCAATATTTTCTTTTAATATAATATTTCATAAGTAACAAGTACACTTATTATGTAAGTTATTTTTATCCTTAATTTATGTTAACAGAGGGATTACTATTCTTTACCAAATGTGACAATGAAACTGAAAGACAAAAAGAAAGAAGAGGTTTGAAATCAGTTATGAAGAAAAGAATATACAATAAAGATAGAAAAACTCAAATGTTTCATAAGAAAATTGGCGGTAGGAAGAAGTCTATGAAACGAAAAATAAAGGGAAGAAGATAAATTTCCTGAAATAATTATAAGGCTCACATACTACATTGTTTTATTTAATGACCACAAAATGTTCCATTTATGTTATAACATCAATAAAAATTATCTTCTCTTCCAAGTTGGCTTCTTCCTGGCACCAGGTTGACCTGGCTTCTTACGTTCACGTCTTCTATGATCTCGTGTTAACAAACCAGCTACCTGCATTGCCTCTAACATTGGTTTGTCCACAAAACTACGAAGCCCCCATGCTATTCCCCATCTTATAGCTCCAGATTGACCTGAAGGTCCACCTCCCTCAATATTGCACTCAACATCTACTTTTTTCTGTAATCCAGTAAATATCAAAGGAAAAATAACCTGCTCTCTAGATTGAGTATCTCTAAAATATGTTAAATCCTTCCCATTAATAGTTATCAAACCAGTTCCTGGTGATCGAATTGTGACATTTCCTCTAGCCTTTTTCCTTAAACACTCATAAGTAGTAATATATGCTCTACCTTGCTCATCATAGTTAGGCTTTGGAATTTCTAATGCAAATTTTTGTGTAGACAGTGTTTTCCTATATTTATCAATAAAATCTTTACATTTGGATGAATATGGTAATGATACAAGTCGTTCCATAACTAGTTTAAAATTGTCATATTCCAAGTCTGTAAGTTTCTCAACCAAATGTTGTTCAAGTTGGTCTTTGGTGAACCATACTGTGTTATTCAATTTTAGATCTTCATTAGGACCTAGGGTCTCTTTTTTTCGGATAACTCTATCTTCAAATTTATATAGGAATTCAATGTTCTCAGCAGCATCATATAAAAGTTTGAAAAAGTTTGGTTTACCAGTATAAAATAGAAAATGAAATGGTCTACCTGCTTCATCAAATTCAGCGGCTTTTCTAGCTGGAAATACTTCTTCCGGTGGTTTCATAAGTGGCCGTGCAGCTGGGTCATAGATACCACTAGGAAACAAATATTCGATTGCACGATCGACATCTTTTTGAGTAAAAGTCTCTGGATCTTCGCCCATCATATTGGCAAGATGCCTTTTACCGATATTAAATTCAAGTTGCTGTTTTCTCATGAAGTCATCATGTTCTTTAGCTCGTTCTAGGTACGCTCTCATCGCTTTACTGATTTTCTTTTTTTTTGCTAATGTCTCCCAGTCTGTAAAGTTGTTAAGGACTTCGCTGGATGCCGTATTTACTTTATTGGTATAACATCGAATGTTAACTACGAATGTATTTTTTACATAGCCACAAACGTACCTTGTGATAGGTGGTATTTGCATCAAACTAGTCTTTATAACGAGAAGCATTTTAACTTCTATTTAAGTAAAACAAGTACTCTATATCATAATTCGTTTAGGTTAGAAACGTAATGGTTAAGTTTAAATGGTTATATTCTCTTTGGTTAAAAAATAGAAAACAGAATACTAAAATACTCTCACTATAGAAAAGTGACATTGACAGTAAATCTGCTCAGCAGTGTGACCCTAGATTTCATTTGACGAATCTACTGCTTGTCGAGGTTAAAAACTACTGAATTCTACTAAAAGAAAAAAACTAAAAATGTAGTGTATTGTTTGCTGTCGTGTTAAAACCTAAAAACATGAATGTTTTCTTGATTAAACATCAAAGTAATAAAAATAACAGAGAAACCACCATAAGTAAAGAAACCAATGTTTTTTTTTAAGTTAAATTCTAAATGAAATATAATTAAAACTAAACTTAAAGTTAAGATGGGATAGATATCCCTCTTTCCTAAAAGGCCGGCAACGCATTTGTAAGCCCTCGGGTTTTTTTTTTTTTTTTTTTTTTTTGTTTTTGGCTGGATGAGCCACTGTTGGCCTTAGGGGCCTTCACAGATCCGACGGACTTGAGGTGGCCTGGCGCACGAGGCGCCTAGCCTGAACCTCGGCGTACTATTATTACGCGTTATGGTGACTAAGCTCGAGGGCTCCCGGGGGAGCCTCGGCTCGGGCCGTCACGCTATTATTGTTACCGGTTTGGGAGGCCGCCAAGCTCTTAGGGCGCTTTGGCGGGCGCTCCATGGAGTGATCAGGCTCAAGGGTCCCCGAGAGGGGACCTCGGCTTGGGCTGTCACTCAGCACGCGTTTAGCATTCCGATTCGAGGGTGCCCGAGAGGGCCGGACCTCGGCTCGATCGGTAGCTATTATCTGACTGGGGGAATTCCTAGAGCTAACATTACTACCACTTCGGAGAGCGTTGGCGCTGGGAGAAGAAGTGGCGGAAGAAACTCCAGCAACGCTTCTATCATTGATAGGGGAAAACCTGCCAGGTACGTGGCGGAACCTAGTATATGTTTGCCGTACTCGCCGGCGAGTGCGGTGTGTGTTGGTGTGTTTCTTGAGTTTTTTGATCCTTTCGATGGCGATAGTCGTCTCATCGTCAGGGAAGTCGAGAACGTGACGCGGTCTTCGGTAATCGCGGCGGAAAATGTTTAGCGGCAAGGGCCTGTAGGTGACGGCACCTACGATAAGTGGGTTGGGATGCGCGGCGGCGGAATCGAAATATCGGCGCGACGCCGACTTCAGGAATTGCGCGATGGTGGGCAATTCTAGGTCGACATGTAGGTCGATATTGCGCATGAACCAGGGTGCTCCCGTGGCTCTGCGCAAGAATCGATTTTGAATCACCTGAAGCCGGTGTATTTGCTTCGGAGCAATGTGAGCGAAGACGGGACTCGCGTACGTCATGATAGGGCGAACTACTGCCTTATATAAGGTCACCTTGTTCCGAAGGGACATTTTTGACGTTTTATTGAGGAGCGGATAGAGGCGACCGAGTACGAAGGCCGCCCGGTTCCTGACCTGGGTCACGTGCTGGGTGAATTTAAGCTGGGAGTCGAGGACGACGCCTAGATATTTGACTTTATTAACCCATGGTACTGGGCTGTCCAAGAGTTTAACGGGGGGAATGGGTATGTTCTTTTTGTGCGCGAAAAGGACTGCCGCGCTTTTGGCGGGATTGATTTCGATCCTCCATTGCCGAAACCAGTCACCGATGGTGATGGCCGCAGCTTGGAGGCGTCGATGGATCAATTCGGGTGTTCTGCCTGAGGTATAAATACAGGTGTCGTCGGCAAAAAGAGCAAGTTCTACATCTTTGACACGTGGCATGTCATTGGTGTAGAGAGTGAACAAGACTGGTCCCAACACCGACCCTTGGGGCACCCCGGCTCGAACGGGATGCGTAGTCGAACACAAAGCCCTCGGGTGTTGCAGATGTCCATGGGCGGCGGTGATCACTTACCATCTGGTGAACCTCCTGCTCGGTTGCTACTTTTTTCCCATAAAAAAAAAAGATTCTCCGTCTTTATGTTGGGTAACATGTCATAAAGCTGTTTTGAGTCCATTAACTTGATCATACTTCTGTCAAGATCAAATCTCCTACATCCTCCTTCCAACTGACCCTTCGTAACCCTTTTCCATGCATTATTGCATGCAACATTCGTATTATTAAATCGATTTCGAACTTGATTTTTAATCCTATTAATATCGGAAAATATTCTTTCTACTTTGGCATTTGACAAAGGTAGTATTGTCATTTGCTTCACAACTCGGGACAAATTGGCATACTTTGGCTTGCTATTAACATCACAGATTTGGCTGACTTCACTCCAAAATTTATCCACCATAAAAGTTTCAGACATCTAACTAGCAGTTGAGTGATTTTTTTAAACATAATACGGGTTCACACTACTGTGTAAGTTGAAAGTATTAAAAAAAGTCTTTGGGGCCGGATATGTCGATAAAACATCCCGTGGCCCCTTCATCTGGTTTCTTAAATAGGTGACTGTTGGTCAATAAAATATTCCGCACTATATAAATGGCGTATATTTACAAATTGTTCGACTTATTACACTGGATATTAAGGCTATCCGATGGCACAGTATCTGCTATTGTTGCAATGAAAATCTGTGAGCCATAACGGACCAAATATCCAATTTTTACAAGAAGTCTGCCAAGACCCCCGTCAAGTGTCAACTAACGTGAAAAAGAAAACGCGTCGACCCACAGATAATCATCTTAAGACGCCTCTCTCTAAGACGGAGGGCTAATGCCACCCGAATTAGACGCTACTCGCAACTTCGGTTGCAATTTAAATCTTTGTGCAAGCAGTGCAGTAGTTTAGTGTTAGTGTTGTGCTCGTAGGCAGGTTCCTGTTCTGTAAGTAGAATTCTATACACACTTATCGCCTCAGAGGCGGCATTGTTTTTATTTAATAACTGTGTGCTTGTTGCGAGCCTAGCGCACCTAAAGCGCAGGCGGATTAGTTGTTAGTTTTAGGCACACACCTCCCTGCCGCAAGGTGGGGAGGTCTATTTAGTGACTTACACGCCGGCGGGGCGCAAGCCCCAAAGGCTCAAGCGCTCGAAATGGGTTCCCTCCTACAGGAATTCCTTCGCCAACGATGTCCCGAAATGTGGGTAAACTTTCTCGCGTTCGCGAAAGAAAAATGTTTAGTCGTCGAGTTCGCCAACGACAGCCCGGCTTCACCGGCAGTCGCCTCGCCGTCATCTCCGGCGCCCTCAGCGCCCGCTAATGCGTCGCCTTCAGCGACACAAAAAAAGCCCGTCGCGTCAACCTCCGCCACCGCGATCGTACCCATCGCGCCTTCCGCGCATCCCATCTCGGCCCCCTCCCGCGCCGTCGTTCCCAACTCACAATCGGACGGCGGATCGGATATGGAGGTCGAAACGACCCCCGCTGAACGTCGACGGCTTCACCGTCGTAAAGTCGCGTAAGAAGGGCAAAAAACGCCCCGCTGCCGACAGCGACCCCGAATGCGAGGCCGCTTCAACTAACCAATCCACCGCGACGCCCGCCAAAACGCGGCTGCGGCGGCTAAACCGATGCCCGAATTCGCCTCCGAGCGAAAAATAAAGCCTCCTCCACCCATCATCATTCAGGAGAAGGCTAAGTGGCACCAAATTTCTTCGTGGTTTGAATGCCACAATATCCGCGACCCCCGGTCGAAAAATACAAAATGGGTATCCGCGTATACCTTGACACAACGGAACATTTCGCCGCGTAACGAAATACTTGCGCAAAAATAGGATAGGTTTTCACACCTACTCTTTGCCCGAAGAACGCAAGCTTCGGGTAGTTATCAAGGGCGTCCCCAAAGAGTCGGTTGTCGACAAGGCGAAAACCGACATCCGCACTCAGGGATACCCTGTGCATGCCGTCCGACGCCTCAGACACCCCAGAACCCGTGTCCCTATGGACATGGTGATGGTTGAACTTGACCCTACCCCGGAAGGTAAGGCCATCTTCAACCTGAAGAGGGTCTGTGGGTTCAGCGACCTCGTGATCGAGCCCCCGCGAAGATCGGGAGATGTGGCGCAGTGCCACAACTGCCAACACTATGGCCACATGGCTAATAATTGTTTCGCTCACCCTAGGTGCGTCAAATGCACCGGTGACCACGGCACGCCCGATTGTACGCGGCCAAAAGATTGCGCAGATCCACCGGACTGCGTTAATTGTCATACCACCGCCCACCCGGCTAGCTACAGGGGCTGCGCTAAGGCCCCAAAAACTCCCGCGAGAAAAGCTCCCGCGAAATCTACTTTGCCCAAACCCGCGCCCGTGAAATACGTTCCCGCGCCCGTACCCGTCGTAAACGCCTGGGCGAAACCCCAGGTAGCCGCGCAGGTAGTTGCGCCCCCGGTCGCCTCACGACCAGTCGCTCAATCGCAGCCCGCCTATCAAACGGCGCCGACGCCGCAGGTGCAGTCGACACCGTCGGTTTTCGCCGAAAACAAGGACGACCCGTTCGCCCAAATTGCCAACTTCTGCGCCTTATTAGACCGCATTAATAGACAAGAACTCGCCGTATTGTCCGCTAAAATAGCGGCCGCCACATCTGGCAACGCGCGATTTAAAGCCATTAGCGAACATAAAATGCTTGTAGAAGCCCTCTGGGCATTTACAAGCCAACCATAAACTTAATAGTCCGCGCAATAAAACCGCGCTCCGCCGCGTCGTTAGTTAGAACTCATAAAAAAACTTTAATGGGAAGTACAACCGCAGGTAGAACAAAACCTCGGGCTCTGGTTGTTTCGTATTTCAACGCAAACGGCATTAAGGGTCAAAGGGACGAATTCGCAGATTTCCTTCGCGATTATAATGTAGATATTTTTCTAGTGCAAGAGACCTTCTTAAAACCTAGTGTTCGCGATCCCAGAATCGCAAACTACAACATAGTCCGCCACGACCGGTTAGCAAACCGTCTGGGAGGCACCTTAATTTATAACAAACGGTCCTTGCACTGTAGCCCGCTCGACATT